TGGGGTCTGTTTGGAACAGGCAGCTTTCAAGATTTTTTTTTCTTTTCGCAATCACCATTTTTTTTTGGAAATGATTTTGTAAAAAATTTTGTTCCAATTTAGGTAAAAATATTAGTTCTGGTCACATAACAAAAATTGAAAAAAAAAACTAATCGAAAGCATAGGTGCGTGCTATATTGATGGCCTGATGGGTTAAAAAAGTCCCCATTTCTGTTTTGTCGAGTAGTTGTTGGATAAGAAAGATTTGAATTGTATGTAGTTATTTACAATATAATATCATACATTTTTTAAAATCCTATCCCCCAAGCGAAAAAAAAAACCATCACCTAAATAAGGGAGTGAGAAAATAATTTTCAATACAAATTATTAAAATGAGTAGTTTAAAAAATTCATCACATATTTTATACCTAATTTTTTTAATCTCTGCAAATTAATTATCAAGTTTTTGTATTAAAAATAGGAGAGGATATTTTAGTTGAGAGGTGCATAAATTTATGATTTTTTATCTAATAGCATAAAAAATTAGTAATTTATATGACCATCATGCTTTGTCCATAAAAATTGAGACATCATTTCATTATTGAAACAAGTGGATCTCATACATACGAATATGGCACATATAGGTAATTTATGATATGAATGGATGAATTTGGGAATGCAGATCCATTGTCTGAGAAGAGGGTGAGAAGATTTTACGTTCCCAGAGATGAATGCTTCTCGGAGGTGAAGCAGCTGACATTCTCAACCAAGACGTTACACTCGGTGTTGCTAATCCTGCTTCCAACTCTGGGGAAAGTGATCAAAGACAAGGATCTGCCTTTCTCATACTTCCATGATATTGATTCCCTTTTCAGCATTGGACTTGACTTGCCTCATTCAGAAAATCTTGAGCAAGAAAAAGGATTCCTCTCCGCCATTATGCCCAGGCTCGTCAAGCCCATGAACGACGACGACGACTCTCCGTCTGCTCGTCCTTCAGGCAGTGTTCTTCGCTTTGAGTGCCCCGAGACTATCAACAGTTACATCCTTTTTCTTCGTCTTTTTCAACTCTCTGCTCCTTTTCCTTCTCATTTATCGATCACAGCCTTCATTATCATCTTTCGCCTTGCAGGGGATAGGTTTTTCTGGTTTAGGGATGAAGAATTTGCTAGACAGACTGTTGCTGGTCTCAACCCGTATAGCATCAGATTGGTTACTGTAAGCATCAATCATATTTTCAATATTTAACCAATAACTATTTGTTGCAACTCTAGTTATTAGTACATGCTACACATACTCTTGGATCAGATTTAATAACGGTCTCAATTGGCGTTAATTAATGGTAATATTTGCTCTAAATTATTGTTGTTAGTCCTTTAATATTAAGGTCACCAACAGATCAGGCCCTGTTTTAACTTGTTTGGGTATGCAGGAATGGCCATTGAGAAGTAAACTTGATCCAACTATATATGGTCCCTCAGAATCAGCAATTACTTCAGAAATAATCAACAAAGAAATTGGAGGATTGCTTACTGCAGAACAGGTCTGTCTCTGTGCAAGTGAACCTCTCTTATAACTAACCTGAAACAAACAACCGAAGTACCAATGCATGCAATTATTTGCAGGCCGTAGAGCGAAAAAAATTGTTCATTCTAGACTACCACGATCTATTATTGCCTTACGTGAGCAAAGTGCGAAAACTCAAAGGAACGACACTATATGGATCGCGAACCTTATTCTTCCTAACTCCAGCAGGGACCCTTAGACCTCTAGCAATTGAGCTGACAAGACCACCCATGGATGGAAAGGGTCAGTGGAAGCAAGTCTTTACGCCCGACTGGCACTCAACTAGCGTTTGGCTTTGGAGACTTGCCAAAGCCCATGTTCTTGCTCACGACTCCGGTTATCATCAGCTTGTTAGTCACTGGTTCGTCATTCTATATAACGTTCTCTCAATTTTTTTATTTGTTATAGGATTTAGATGGGAAAGGGGGAAGAAAGGAAACAGATAGATAGAGATCAAAGAGTAATCAGAATAACTAGGCTGTGATACCACTGATAGGAAAATTGTAGAAAGAAAGGTGAAAGAGGGGGAAAGGAAACAAACAGATAGAGAGTAAGAAAATAATTAGAATAATTTCAGTCCTATTGAATTCAAAGACGAATAAGGCATGCCAATGAAATATTACCTAAATCTATACTTACATATCAGACTTCTACTTAGAGGCTACCGTTAATGTATTTTTATTTTATGTGCAGGCTAAGAACTCACTGTGTAACAGAGCCTTATGTCATATCGACCAATCGGCAACTTAGCGAGATGCACCCAATATATAGACTGCTTCATCCTCATTTTCGATACACTTTGGAGATTAACGCTCTGGCTCGTGAGGCTCTTATTAATGCTGATGGCACCATTGAAAGCTCCTTCGCTCCTGGAAAATACTCCTCGGAGCTTAGTTCTGCCGCTTATGATCTTCAGTGGCGTTTTGACATGGAGTCTCTCCCTGCAGACCTCATTAGAAGGTAATTTAGTTACCACAAAACTCTTCGGGTTTTACAAGGTTAGGATCCAGTTTTGATTTTGCTATTTTGAAGGGGAATGGCTGTGGAAGATCCATTTCAACCACATGGGCTGAGGCTGACGATTCAAGACTACCCATTTGCCAATGACGGTCTTCTATTGTGGGATGCTATCAAACAGTGGGTCACTGATTATGTCAACCACTATTACCCAAATCCAAGTCTGGTGGAGACAGATCAAGAGCTCCAAGCATGGTGGACAGAAATTCGAACAGTAGGCCATGCGGACAAAAAGGACGAACCGTGGTGGCCGCGTCTTCAAACCCCAAAAGACCTCATTGAAATCCTCAGCACAATCATATGGGTAACTTCTGGCCACCATGCTGCTGTGAACTTTGGCCAATACGCATATGGGGGTTATTTTCCAAATCGACCAACTATCGCGCGAACTAAAATGCCCACGGAGGACCCTACACCAGAAGAATGGGAAAACTTCATCAAAAAGCCCGAAAGAGAGCTCCTGAAGTGCTTTCCTTCGCAGCTTCAAGCAACGAGAGTAATGGCTGTATTGGATATACTCTCAACCCATTCGCCAGACGAGGAATACATAGGGGAGAAGATGGAGCCATCATGGGGCGAAGATCCGGTGATAAAGGCAGCCTTTGATCGATTCAGAGAGAGACTGAAGAAATTTGAAAAAATTATTGACGAGAGGAACCGAAACAGTAAGTTGAAGAACAGGAATGGAGCAGGCATCGTCCCATACGAGCTGCTCAAGCCTTTCTCCAAGCCAGGGGTTACTGGCATGGGTGTTCCTTGCAGCATATCTATCTGATTTGAAAAAAGCAATGTTGTTCATCTCTTAACCTGCACGAGCCACAATGCATCACGCGTAACATATCGTGAACTTGAATCGGGGAAAAGGAAAATAAAAGATGGAGGTAGTAGCTAATGTTTGTTGAGGATGCTCTTGAATTAGAGTGAAAATAGTTTTGGGTATTCTTAATCCAACTCGCAACCCGCATCCCATTGGGAGCTGCCCTGCGCTGCAACGTCCATCACCTTCCCTTTCCCTGGGTATATTAGTTGCATGCAATAAGTATCGCAGAGGCTGATAATGGCAGTCTATAAAGGGATTTTCAAGTCATGAACATCGTTGTCATTTGATATTGATCCGGAGTTGACATGGCTTTTCAACTTGCATTAGGCGAAAATTGGCGTGGGAGCTGATACAGGGAGATCTGGGGCCATGGATCCTGTGCTAGGGCCCTTTTTCGGCCCTTTCAGCTCATTTTCATAAAGGTCATTCCAGAACGCGCAGTATGGCACATATTCATTCGAAAGTTGCCAAGTGATGAGACATATACCCACGCCCATATTTTGGAACAACATCCTTTAACGTCACTCTTTCGTCCCTACTAAATATCAAAAGACGCAAAAGAAATACTCCTCCGGTCCTTATTATAAGACCCAATTTGATCTTTTATTTGGTCCTAATTATAAGACCCAATTCATTTTCTCTCTTATATTTATGTATTTTTTTCCAAGATAATCCTTCTAATAATGATAGTTTTAGCCAATATACTTAATTAGTAAGGATATTTTAGGAATAACAACACTTATTTATTATAAATAACCAACTTAACTTACTTTCTTAATCTCCTCAAATAAGTCAATTGGGTCTTATAATTAGGACCGGAGGAGTATGTAATTATTTGAAGCGTACAACAATTAGAAGAACAAGTGACTGTTGGATCAATGACGTTATCGATATTTATTCTTTATTTAATAAATGCAAACCGTAAATAAATGCCAATTCTGAGCAAATACTTGAATCAATTGGGAGTCACTGCGATCTGAGCTCGGTGCCAATTGTGTTGTCAGTTCTCTCCACTTCAGTTTTCTTCTCAGTTCTTACTGAAACGTCGAAGTTTTTTTTTTTTATTTAAATAAATTTGTTAATTATTTTTTTAATCTCAACATATTTTTTTTAAAAAATAAAGATATAAAGTACGAGATCTAAATAATCTACGTCTATCCTCAACAATTCAAGTTATACAGGCAAGGAGGGGGGAAAGTCAGAAGCACTTCACTGCTTTTTTCTTTATAATATAATATAATATAAACTACTCTCTCTGTCTCTCTCACAAGAGTGAGTCTAAAATTGTGTATGCGACCAGTGAGACAAACTTCATCTTTTGTTTTTATTCTTATCTTTATATGAGCAGAGAGAAGGTGCACTTCTTTATTTTATAGTAGTTCTCATATTTTATATCTTCTTTTTAATAATAAAAATGCATCCATTCCCAGTAGAGAGAAGCACGATTTGGCAATTGTCTAGTTAAAATTAAAGATGGCTACTGAAAAGGTCTCCCATGGGGTTTCTAGTATTGAAAAAATAATTTGCAAGATTTCATTTACAAAACGTGAGAAATTGAAAGACGTTATTTTTTCAAATGACAAAAAAAAAAAAAGAGGAGATCGAAACAAGCTGAAGCTGAGTCAACAATCAACAAAAGGTTGAAGCTTCTTTATGAAACAACGATATTTAGATCTGGTGAACTTACAACACGGAACTTTTCTGTTTGTTCTTTTCTTGCCTGGCAAGGGAGGTCAACTTGAGAAATTAAATAGTAAATGTCTGATACGGCATTCTTCAACAAACACTGGCAGGATCAAGATTATTTATGAAACAACGATATTCCCTCAGCTGTGAATCCGTTCAAGAAGTTCTTATAAAAGCTCAGCTTTGCATCATCATAACGGAATGATGAGGTCATCCCTACGTACGCTCAAAGGCTGAACGCAGACAACACCAGAGATATCCCAAACTTGGACCATTATCTGTCATTTTCTAATCTTCCCTTTTTAAAGTAACGGGAATTTGTTGATCCAAGAAAGAAGTAACTGCAACTTTGATCAGGCAAAAACTTCATATCATGTCATCACAATGCCAGGGAAATCCAAATCTTACGGAACCGCCGCACATATATCAGATGTATTATCAAAACATAAACAACCTTGTTTTTATGGACAAGATGATGCACAGATCACAGCAAAAGCATAACCAACAATGCAAACTTCTAGATCCTTCCTGAAGCCGATTAGTTAACTATTTCAGAAAGACGAGTTAAGCCAGCTGAGAGAAGCTTGCTGAAGGACTAATATTGATATTGTCACACATAATTAACGAAATCTACACACCTGCCTGTCTGTTATATGCATGCTTATTGGCCCTACAAGAATATTCAGGAAATTCATGAAGAGTTGTATCAGGGTGATGGGCATCAGAAAACATCTTAACAGAGCCCATACACAGATTATTTGCCTTCACCCTTGTACTGACTTCACGGAACTGAAGGGCATTGATAATGGAATAGGTCGACAAATATTTAGTGAAAACAAGTAAAGTACAAAGACTGGTAAAGACTCATTTCAACAACCAAAAAAAGGCTTTGAGACTGACAGGAACGCGGAGAAGATCATTTCTACTGAGTCACCTTATCAGAAAGAAGTGGAAGCATTACTACTTTTCAGATAAGAGGCATGATCATAAATAAAAAATAAAACCCCAGCCTGATTTTAATGCAGGAAATTAAAAAAAAAAATTCAACAGGAAAACAACTTGAATTCAAATTCAAATCCTGAAAATCAAAAGGGAATTAATGATAAGGAACCAAATGGAAACCCATTGCTGCGGAAAGTGAAGACATGGGAAAATCAAATACAAAATAAAATAAAGAAATCAGATTACTACTTCTCAATTCCCATCCTCGATTTATCTAGTAAAATGAGAAAGATGGAAGATACTGCTCAGCCTGCCATTTGATTACTTGCACTGCACACCTGCTTCAGCAGCGCGACGAGGCTTGCTTTTACGCCTGCTTCCATTCTGCCTAAGTCCATCACCCTTTCTCAAATCATCAGTGCTTGATCGATTTCCATTGCTCTTTTCCTCCTCAACTGACTCTAATTTCTCTTTCACGAGTGAATTTCGTTTCCTCTTCTTCCCTGGTTCAGTTGCAGTGGGACTTTTCATCTCCTTGTTAGCCACTCCATTCTTAATATTATCTGTTTCGCCTTCTTCTATTTTTTCAACATCTTCTTCATCTAAGTCATCCTTTAGTGGTTTTTGTGGTCTTCCCCTTCTCTTCTGCGTGGAAACTTTCTCATCCTCCCCACTTCCAGGATCGTCGTGACTGGTAACAGTTAACTTTTTACCCTTTCCTCTACCTCTACCCATGATCTTAAAGCCCCTAGTAAAGATGTGACCTTACAACGAAGGATCTCTGCCATTAAAATGCACACAATGAACCTTATAGCTTTCAGTTTAGCCAGACGAAGCAAAATAGAGCGTTTAATTTACCAAAATTAAAAAAAAAAAAAAATCGACATGTATGAACAAAAGGAATATTATGGTTCGACATAGAAGTCTGGCAGATACCTGAATAAAAGAAGAAACTAACAGGATCACAAGCACGACAGAAACAAGAATTATTGCGTAAATTTCCACACTTAACATGGAAAAGCAACGTTACGCATCATCAATACCACTGACATACATAGAAGACACGTTCGTCTACCATATCCACCGGGTAAGATCATACTAATCCGAAGGATTTTTCGCTTAGTCAGTGTTTAAATTCATTGAGATCATCGTATTGGACTTCAAGGTGAAGAAAAAGAAAACTCATTTTACAATAAAGAAACTTGTAAGACAGTTATATAAACTTATAAGCTCCATTTGGAGTAATACAAAACTGAAAAATCTGTTCGGAAATAATACCCTCTGTATGCCTACATTATAGCGCCAGAAGTGAAAAATTATATGCAAAACTACAGGCTGGCATAATGTTTATATGACAAGACGAGTTTTTCTAACTCAGTTGGTCTCGCCTTTTCTTTCTAGTCTCAAATCTGACGGTCCATTAAATTCATGCTTTAATTTTCCAGTCATGTGACAAGAACACTAGTGTCTAATACTGCCGGCGATAGAAAAAAGAATTAAACTTTAGTACTGAAAGGTTCACAAGAAGTTTGCCAAAGCCCAAAACCTATAACCCGGAACATGCAAAAAGATTATTAGGTTAAATGAAGAGGGAAAAACATGAAAAATTGATATATGAAAGCTAACGAATCGAGGAAACATAGGCAAGATGAGCTTCTAACCATACAGTATCTTAAAGAGATCTAAAATAAACAACGAAAGAAATAGGCCTGTAATTGAAAGAAATGATAATTGCGATCAATAATACTGCTTTCAAATTTCAAAAACCACAAATTGAAAGTTTAAAGCAACGCACGACGAATGATGTGCAGATTCTAATCGTAATTCAATCAAGAGAAGAAAGATAGACGATACTGACCGGGAACGAGAAGGACTTGATTGGCATCACTAGCACGACGCTCAATAAAAAGAATCTACTGAAGCTCTGAGAACTCAAACAATACACAGAAGTTATTCTAAGTAGATTCGTCCAGTAAAGCCTCAAGGCATAGAAAATTTAAAAGGCAGAACCGTGATCTAACTAAGAAATGCCCGATACAAAGATAATGAAACACTGAGAATCAATGAACTACAGATTAGAAAACGAGTATGAGAAGGGCGGGTTCACAAGAACAACTGGGCAGATGAAACAGAGGCGAAGTAGGGATAGAGAGAGAGAGAAGCAGGGGGAAGCGAAAATAGAGATATTTGTGGATTGGCTCTTCTGGTCCTCGGCCTGTGACTCAGTAAAGTGTAGTAATACGTATATGCCTGTGACTTGGGGGGAACCTAGGCGTGGTAGAATTAAAAGAGCAGGGTTAAATTGGTAAATTGGCATGTCAGACCCCGAGCTAAATTCGCACTACGGCTGGATCTAAGATAGCTGAACGTCAACTCCAAAACCAAGAATGCAAGGCATCTGTCTCCCATTAACGAGACCCATAAAGCTACGCATCGTTGAAAAAGAGGGACGTTCTCATGTTCACCAGCTTCGCCAGCCACTGGGACATCAAATTATTACATTAATCTTCGGATTAGAGTGCAATTATATATGCTCATGCTCTATCGCTCCTAGGCAGCTTGCAGATGTGTTTTCACTTTTCAGCAATGTGTTCGTCGGAACTTAATAGCAGAATATCACAATAATGCTCTGCTTTCTAAAATTCATCACGCACTGTTTCTAAAGAAATCAGAGCAGTCCCCTGTCCCACGTGGCTTCAAATGAGTATCTATCCTATGTGGAATCTTATGGTTTTTTTTTTTACCAGCGTAGAATCTTAAGGGTTTTTTTTTTTTTCAAAAACCAGCGTAGAATCTCGTGGTTATAATCTTGAGGCTTCTTGGGAAAGAATTTGGGCCAAGACCAGTTATATGGACAAGGTGCATTTAAATAAAGGTAGATGTAACATTTTACTCCAAAAAGACTATAGGTGTGACAGAAAATAATTGCATGCGATGTTCACAGCACATAATCATCTTATAAGGAAAGAGAGCCCGTCAATTACTGTTCACACACAGTGCTTTAAACGATGCTTGGTAATATACCAAGTGTCTGCTTGGGATAGCAGTAGAAATCTCCTATAGGCACATTTCACATAAGTTGAGATAAAATTCTTCTTACGTACTTGTCTTGTATTTGTAAATCACTATTAAAAAACTAATTATAAATTATTTATAAACTGTTCCAAACGGGTCCTGACAATTTTAGGGTTCTCAAGCTTTTTAATCGAGGAGTACACTATAATACTCCCTCCATTTCAATTCATAAGATTTTTTTTATACTGTAACAAATTGCGAAGATCAACAAATTTCACTATATACAGTTAAAAAAGTTTAATTTTTTTAAAGAAAAGTATAATTTTTCAAAAAAGCCTTTCATGGGCCAAGATGGTTAATAACATGTTCACTAATCCTATTTATAAGAAAAAGAGATTTTTTTAAAAATGTTATTTATAAATCTCATTTTGAGTATGAAGTTGACCCAACTACTTGAGTGGGCTTAACTAAGTTCACCTAAAATATACTACCTCTGGTTTTTAATATAAGATCCCGTTTGACTTTTATATTGATCCTAAATATAAGACCTCAATCTATTTTGTCTCTCATATTTACTTAATTTTTTTCAAGATAGTGCTTATAATAATTATAGTTTTAGCCAACATACTTGATTAGCAAGAATATTTTAGGAAAGAAGAAATCTATTTATTACAAATAACTAACTTAACTTCTTTTCTTAATTTTTTCAAATTAGTCAATATGCTCTTATAATTAAGATTGGAGGTAATATGATGCTAATAAATGGGCAGGTGTGTATAACTATAATGCAGCTGCTTAATGCCTTGGTAGTTGATTGACTCATCACACACAAAAGGTTGTTTGACAAACTGAAAAAGTGTTTTTAAAAAGTATTTTTTTTTCAAATCAAAACAAACTACTACTTATATATTTATTTTATATACGGTAAAATCTTTTTAAAAATTATGATTTGGTTCAAATACTCCAAAATAAAAGTGGGATGATGAGAGGTGGAAGGCATGGGCCTCAACATTGATACTATTAGGCTTCGTGTTTGTTTCTGGTTTTATGAGGGTGTTCATTTGTGTCCGGTACGATGAAGCCCTGGTGGCGACATCATGCGCGCGCGTCTCCTCCTGTCACCAACAGCAGTATGAGTGTTGAAGTGGTGTTTGGTGGAGGTTTGAACTTTGAACTGTTCATTTAATCCCACTACATTAGTGGATGCAACGCCATTGATAACGACCTCCAGCCAGCCTGCCTCCAAAATTCAACCCTCCTCCTTCATGTTATGCATGGTACTAAAAGAAACTCATAATTTGCTCTAGTCTTATCGTTCAAAGGCGTAGCCTTTCGAATTGGTATACCAGGTGCATGAGTTATATAAAAAATAAAAATAAATAATTTTCTCAATTAATTTAATGAAAGTGCTTGGCATCTTTTGTTTAATTTTGTAGAGTTTGATTGATGTTCTGCGTTATTTACAACTCATAAACTGCACAAAACTCTATTTATGGCCAACGACACTTACTGCACATTTCTATATATTATATATTGAATATTGATATTGATTAATATATTATTATTCCAACGAGCCAATTGATACATACAATAAAATATAAGGATTAAAATATAAAGCATGAATCATGGATAAAAAAATAAGCTACAGAGACGTTACAAAGGAAAAGGCAAACCAATAAGAGGGAAGATCAAATCTCTACTCTGCAGATTGCAGAACGTGACTGTAGCGAGTCGATGACTTCTCTTTGCAGTAGTAGTGTTGAAGACAGCGAGCATCAAATAAAAAGAACAGTGGCTGATAGAGTCCAACTTCTTCGTCACTAATGCTGCTTCCCCAATTGTACCCATAATTCTCTCCCTGCTAATTAACAATGGATCAAAACCTCATAAAGGCCAGTAAGAGGCCCTATAACCGTAGAGAACTCAACAAAATTGGACCTAACTCAACCTCAAAATACAAAGCAATCTTGTTTCTAGTCCAAAAGCAAGAGTTCTATCGTATGCAGCAGCCAGCCCGCAGGTAAATTTCAATACCAGTGCTCTAGACCAATTCATAACCACAACTAGACAAGGCGGAAAAAAAGAATAAACAAGTCATATCATTTGGAGGAATCAGCTACCACCTCTTTTCCCCCTTGAATTGCCAATAGGACTGCCTAGTCTTGTTTTTAGAAGAGGCCAAAGATTTTCCTGGCATGCAGAAGAATCATTGGCGGAATTTAATGACCCTTGCAATGCTGAGAGCAACTCACCAGAACCCGAGTGGGGAAGGAGGAAATAACTTGACCTCACCGGCATCATAGAGATGGAGGAAGAAAGTGACCGGCCCTGGTCTTCCATATCCACCAGAAATCATGGCTCCTCAACGCTCGTTGGATTAGCCCATCAACAGCATGACTCCCGACCTCCTTTATCCCACTAAAGACTTATTTGAAGTGATTTATAACCAGTTTTTTAATCGTGATTTATAAAATACGAGATAAATAATCGTGGAGAGTTGTCTTAATTTATGTGAAATTTGTTTTCAAGTATTTAAATAAATAGATCCAAACCTCACACATCATTCACACAGCTTTTATTCTAAAATAGAGCCATGCCATGTTGATGGTGGTGGGGCTTTGATAGGCAGCGAAACAAATATATTGAGTTCAAAACTCTTCCGCAAACAAAACGGTTCTCATAGCTCCAGTCATTCAATTGTGATGCCCTGTGTTTTGGCCACCAATGCTGCCTTGGAACGCCACCCCATGCTTTTAACCACGTGCACCATTCCAAATGTAATCTGAATTATCTTATGTTTGCTGCGATTGATCCCGATCAGTGGATTGTCATATCTTTCCCCCATATTTTTATTTAAAAAACACTGTGAAATATTTTTAACCATGTGCAATGGAACCGGATCAAAATATTAGCATCATTTAACAATAATGTAGAATAAATACTACATTTGATCTTCAATATAAGAATTTGTTTGACTTTTAATTTGGTTCTAAATATAAGATCTCAATTCACGTTATCTCTCATATTTATTCATTTTTCCTAAGATAATCCTTTTAATAGTTGCACATGTTAAATGTTTCATCAAATAGCAATTCTAACTAATACACATAATTAGTAAAGGTATTTTAGAGAAGATAATGCTTATTTATTACAGATAGTTAATTTAATAATTTTTTTAATCTATTTAAATTAGTCAACTAGCTTTTATAATAATAAGACAGTGAAGTATAATTTTTAAACTGTAAAATTTAAATAATAAATATTTAATTTAATTGAAATAATTAAAAATGCGGCTCATTTATAGCGAATGTTAATTTCTCCCTGCCTCACCGTGACTGTAACTCGGCTGATTTCTTAGACACATTCGCCGCTGGATGCTTCTTTCTTCTCAATTATACCTTTTTCCATTGTTTCTACTCATTCTGCTGCAAGCTCCTCCATCCTCTTTCTCTTTCTATCACTAGAAATAACCCTGTGCCTTCATATTCTAAACCTTTCGTTCGGACGACGAAAATCCACACCATAAAGCAACAACCTTTGCCCTTTTTTCCCTTCCGATTCCGAATTCCTTTGCTCTAGGTCTTTCTTCAGCTATTCCTCCTCCCCCTGCTGCCGCTTGACAATCTCAGTCTTGTCCGAATTCCGACTTCTAGGGTTCTTTCCATGGACTCCGAGGATGATATGCATGATGCCAACGATGTCGAGTCCCTTGATGATGATTTCTACAGCGGTGAGACCGAGGATGTTCCTATGGATTACTACAGCGACTACGACGATGATGCTGATGATTACTTTGATGACGGCGATGAATCTGACAAGATTGAGTCTCGTCGGCCCGAGGTTAGTTCCCTTCTCAATTTCGTTTCTTGTCTGCCTATCCGCTTATAGGTTGTTATTGACTTCAATGTTGAGGATTTCGCTGAAATCCACTTTGGAGGTAATTATAGGTTAGCTTGAAGCTTCGAGTGATTTTAGGAATTACTGAGATGGAACGGCCGAAGCTGTTTTACTTTTCCCAGAGTTTGAGCGGTGGCTGGACAAAATACTTATGATCAACTGAGGTTGATAAACTTAATAATTTGTAAAAATTAGTTAATATTTGGGAAGCAGGTAGGTTTAAACTATAAATGATAAACGTGATTTCCGTGATTCCTCCCGTCTTGTTACTAATTCAGTTTCTGCTTTTCATGCGGCATGGATACGAGCTTTATTTTTTCCTGTGCCTTTCCTTGCTCCTCGATGTCTTCTGATATATGTTCTCCTCTAATTTATGGATTCCTGTCTCTTTCTAGCAAAATTTTATCATCTTGAGGGAATCAGATATTCGGCAAAGACAAGAGGATGACATACTAAGAGTAGCGACTGTTCTTTTTATCTCGCCAGAGGCTGCAAGCATCTTACTTCGTCATTATAATTGGTAGATTTATAACTTTTATGTCTTTACTTATCAATATGCCTTCTCGTATGTTTCTCTTTTTGAGATTATTATAATATAATGTTATTAAGCATTTTATCTCCTTGGTGCTGCATTGGATGACATGTCTGCTGCTGGCTTTTTTTTTTTTTTAATAATTATTATTGCTGCTAGCTATTTTTGGTGCACTTATGCGTGGATGAGAGTTGGTAATGCAGGAATGTCAGTGAAGTGCATGAAGCATGGTTTGCTAATGAAGAGCATGTCCGAAGAACAGTTGGCTTACTGGAGAAGCCAGTTGTCCAGTTTCCTAACGCTACGGAAGTGAGATTCAAAATTTGGTGAATGGTTTGGATTTTGTTTTTTCTTCTCAAATTATACATCACTGATTTTTCTTGTGCGATCAGCTTACTTGTGGCGTCTGTTTTGAAACTTATCCCTGTTCACGGATTAATTCTGCTGCTTGTGGTCATCCCTTCTGCATCCCATGCTGGGAAGGTGCGTCTCTTTTGTTGTAGTGCTACTACTTTGTTAATCTTAGATCTTTGGACAAGGTTTTGAAACCATTTGCATTAATCTTGCTTGTACCCTTTTCATTTTCTGGTATTCATCTCAATTTTTTAGATGTGTTTATGCCTCAGGTGATTTAGTTTTCTCAACCTGTCCAGGCAAATTTTTCAGCTGTTATAATGCCATATACTATCCTTTCTTACTGTTTTTCTTTTTGATATTATCATATTCTTATTTTTTTTAATTTTTTTTAATTTTTTTATACATACTAGCGTATATTGCCACGGCTATTAATGATGGTCCTGGATGTTTGATGCTGCGGTGTCCTGATCCCTCGTGTGGTGCTGCTGTTGGTCAAGATATGATTGATCGGCTAGCACCTGTTGAGGAGAAGCAGAAGTATTCTCGCTACCTTCTCAGGTCCTATGTTGAAGACAACAAGAAGGTATGTACCGTGCTTGATATTGAATATGCATAATGTTAGCAAAAGGAAAATGGATATATATATATATATTCTTACTTGATACTGCCAGTTGAGTGAGCCACATTTTCAATTCAAGGACTAATCATGAATGTCAATTCCTGTTGTGTGTGACTGATGCGTGCTATAATAACCTGCTCAAAATTCTTTGGCCATTCTAGATTTTGAAGGAAGATGGAATTATACCTTCTACCTGTAACTCTGCCCTTTTTTTTTTTTTCCGGTCAAAATACTCTGCCCCGTTGTCAAATTAATCAAATTAATCTTACACAGTGCTTCATTTGCTCTGTGTAGACCAAGTGGTGTCCTGCTCCTGGTTGTGAATATGCGGTTGCATTTGATGCTGGTAGTGGAAACTATGATGTTTCTTGCCTCTGTTCTTATTGCTTCTGCTGGAATGTGAGTTGTCTTTTGTTGTCAAATAGTATTACACTTCTGATTACATTGTTGGATATGCTTGCTGATGTTATGACTTGAAACTACAGTGCACTGAGGAGGCTCATCGTCCTGTGGATTGTGGCACTGTGGCAAAGTGGATTTTGAAGAATAGTGCAGAGTCTGAGAACATGAACTGGTAGAGGATAGATTATGACAGTAACAGATGTTATGTCTTGCCAGCATTTTATCAGAATATTCTATTGCTCCTGTGTTTTCTGTCTTGCGTATTCCATGCCTAATTTATCATCTATTCTGAATTTCCTATTTTAATAAGTATGGGCTCGGAATATTTTTGTATCTACAGTGCATTTGGAGCATATTAGTCACTGCCTTGAAATGGAAGTATCTACAGTGCATTTGGAGCACATTAATCATAGCCTTGAAATGGAGTGTGTAGTGTGTACTTGTTTTAAGATTCTTCATTCCTTCGTTATATCTTTATTCATAATAAAAAATGGTGGGTAATCGCCCATTATGCAGGTTCTATGACTACTAGTTATTTGATCATTTTTATAAAATAAAATAGGATGATAAAGATAGATTGTTTGGCTTGTCAGCACATTAGTTATGTTATATATTCTTTTTGTCCTTGGGAGTGGGGGAGATCTATTAGCTCAGTGTCAGTGTCAGTGTCACTTTTTCTTGTATATTTGTTGATGTATACATGTGTGTCATTGTTAATGCTTTCCTAAGTGAATTACTTGGTTTATTTATTCTTTTCTTTTGTGACAGATTCTAGTCTATAGTTTGAGTAACATGCTGTCCACTTGTTGACAATTATATACACTGATACATTGTGGCTTTCTAAAAATGAGAGACTTAGCCAGCTGTTTATTTGATGGCTATCAGGATTCTTGCCAACTCCAAGCCCTGTCCCAAGTGCAAGCGACCAATTGAGAAAAACCAAGGGTGCATGCATATGACGTGTACACCCCCTTGTAAATTTGAATTTTGCTGGTATGTCCCGCCTACCCTTTTTAACGAAATAACGCAGCACACTTCTCTTTTTTCATTGATAGAAGTTATTAGGTTTCCGAGAATTTGATAAACTACGGAGTTGAATTTGTATTTGTTTATGAAGAATGACTTCTTTTTCTTAGTGCCCTTGACATGCTTGTAATTTGTTTTGTTAACTGAGTTTCTTGTATCTATTTAAATAGGCTATGCCTTGGTGCATGGTCAGACCATGGTGAAAGAACTGGGGGTTTCTATGCTTGCAATCGCTATGAGGCAGCTAAACAAGAGGGAGTGGTGAGGGACATCAACCAACTTATTTTGGTTGTGTTTTCATGAACTCACTGCCTTTTCCCATTGATCTGGTGCTTTACATTTGCCTTTGACCTGGCTTATGACCTAATTACATTGTATTACATGCAGTATGATGAGGCTGAAAGAAGAAGAGAGATGGCAAAGAACTCATTGGAGAGATACACACATTATTATGAGCGATGGGCTAGCAATCAATCAGTATGCAACTCCTAACTTACTCTATCAGCTGACAATTTTTTAATATTCATTCTTTAAAAGTTTTGCATCAATAATTACTTGACTATTATTGATATAAATTATTTTCTTTTCTCATCGTAACTTTCTTCTGTTTGCTTGCTTGCTTGTTGAATGCTAGAATCTTAAATTTTATGGTTCCTATTCAGTTTCATAAAAAAATTCATATAGTCCATCATCATCATTATCCCCTCCTCCGCCTCCTTTTTAACCCCTAAGAAGAGGGAATCTAACTGGTTAAGTTTTTGTGAAACCATTGTTGTGGATGTGAATTTTCTTAAATAGAAATTGGATTTAAATTTTTCTGAATTCAGTATTTAAAATGTTATATATCATTTGATATTATAGGTGTTTTCAATAGATTTACAGTGGGATATTTTCTAGCATTATCATCATGTGCGATATTTTAGGTGTTTTCAATAGATTTACACTGGGATATTTTCTAGCGTCATCATCATGTGCGATTTCTTTTTTCTTGTGTGGCAGTCAAGGCAAAAAGCTCTTGCAGATCTACATCAGATGCAGACTGTCCATGTAAGTTGCATGCGTATCTACTTTGTTGAGAAATGCTTAAGTGGAAACTAACCTAAACATGTAGTTCTCTGAAAGCATTATTTTATAATTATATTTTCTTGGCTTCAGCTGCATTACAATTTTTTAATCATTGTTATCTATCTGAGCTATTTTGGACCTTTCGAGGCAACCATATGACTAGAGAGGTGTATTTCTTGTTTTTTAGTTGAATTTTCTCATTTTGTAATTAATGTACGGCTCAATAAGTGCTGCTGGAAGGCTGGTTTCCTAGTCTAATTTCTTGTGTTTACCAGCTTGAGAAGCTTAGCGACGCACAGTGCCAACCTGAGTCACAGCTTAAGTTCATAACTGAGGCCTGGCTACAGGTAAATAATGGTTTTACCAGGGATTGTAAAATTTCGGCTTTGAATTGTGAATAAGTTATCTTACTCTTGATTTTTGAGGGCGGACATTTGTTCACTGACCCCATTCCCTTTGGGCCACCACGGCAACATCCCATTCCCACTATGAAGTTTCTTTCATGTTGAATGTTTTCTTGAAGTTATTCAGTTAATGGGACTCTTTTGGCTGATAATTTTCTTAGGATTTTATTAGTTAATGAAAGGGTGAGGGGAAAGGGATACCATTGGAGAATGTAAAGGCTGAACAACATTATTGAGATCCCGAGGCTTGTTGCTGAATAACAATGAAAATGAGGCTTGTTGCTGAATAACAATGAAAATGTGGGCTGGAAAGAGAAGCAATGATAGTTGTGGTGGTTGGGGAGTAGGTAGAAGTGGCTATATAACAAAAGTGGAGGCAGGGGGAACTTTTGGGGAAAAAAATACTAGGGAGTGATTTGGCTGCTCAAAAGTCGACATGGATATTATTTTTGTGTTTGGTACCTTGAGGTGAGAGTTCTGTGCGGTGATTAGATGGGGAGTGTATATCTGAACATGCAAGTGCTGTATGCTTCTTCTAGTGTGAATTAATATAATGGTGTGACTTCTGTTTTTCATTGCTGTGATAGCTTTTGTAACTGCAGGATAGTGTTTATCAATGCAAGTTCCTCTGTTTTTTCGGCTGTGTTCTTGCTGTTTGTGTGTTCACTGGTTGGTTCCTACCACTTCCTAATCCTCGTTTTATGTTCACAGATAGTTGAATGTAGGCGAGTGCTGAAGTGGACATATGCATATGGATACTATTTACCGGAGCATGAGCATGCTAAAAAACAATTTTTTGAGTACTTACAAGGTCAAACATGTCAATTTGAATTTTGTCAGAATGTTTTGTATTTGTTGTAGTTCCACCACAAATAATAATTTTCTTTTTCTTTCAGGTGAGGCAGAGTCCGGTTTGGAGAGACTTCATCAATGTGCTGAAAAGGAATTACAACAGTATCTCAATGCTGGTGGTCCATCTAAAGAGTTCAATGACTTCCGGACCAAGCTAGCTGGACTGACTAGGTATATGTTGATCTGAATGTTGCTAGCCACTGCCATTCGCTGCATTGTTTTATCTATGCTTATATATCTGATCAATGCTTAACTTGCTTTCCACATGGCCCCAAGTAGTTATGTTTTGCTTTATGGTGTGTTTTGGAGTTGGAAAGGAAATTTTGGCATGGCTAAATTAAATGGCGATTTTCCTTCTCATTGATTGAATGTTTAATATGTGATAGAAAATGGAGGGTTGAAAAAAATCTTCCCCCAATTTTAAAGACGCGTTGAAATGATTAATTTTAGCGGTTTAGTTTCACCACATTGAAGTTTCAGAGTGATAGAAAATATGATAGCAAGTAATCTTTCTCCTCCCATACCCCTCAAACTGGGCAAACACAGGAGCACGAAGGCTTGATGGTTTTTTGGGGATTAGGTAAAAGTCACGCCTCCTTTGTTTATATCCAACAAGTAAAACCCCTAAAATTTCCTTGGAAACATGGACATGCTGTTGAAAATGTTTGGAGCAGAAGTCACACTGTCATATTTGGAGTGGGCATTTACTTGGTAGCGTGGTTACCGCATGTATTGTGTTTAAAAATTTTGTATGCTGTGTTGTCCGGTCTCATCTTGTTTTGAGGTTATTGTTTCCTTTTAAATACTAAAGTAATATGCTTGACATCACGTTCTCTTTTCTGTTAGCATGGTTGCTGTATGCGGTTTACTGAATTTGAAAGATGGTTTGAAGTGTCATGTATTGAATTTGATGGGCATGGACGTTATTTGATTTCTAATCCGTTTGTTTTGGCAGTGTGACTAAAAACTACTTCGAGAATTTGGTTAGGGCATTAGAGAATGGTTTATCTGATGTAGATAGTAATGGAGCTACTTCCAGCAAGGCAACGAGCTCCAAAAATGCTGCAGGCAGCAGCAAGGGGAGAGGTGGAAGAGGAAAAGGATCCACACGAACCGGCAGTTCCAATAAAATGACGGATGATAATGTATTTTGAGCACTGAGCACCGTCCCTATGCAAGTACTTTTAACACATGCCAGATCTGCCATCAACAGCGTCGTTGAAAATTTGGGTTTTCCATGGGGAATGCATCTCGCCAAAACCCAAAGCCGAAAAACACAGTTGAAATGGGTTCTCTTTCTGTCGAAATATATGCTGGCTCCTATTTTGGGCTATTTAATACGTGAACAGGATGAATGAAAGAAGGGGGTTAGTCTCGGAAGCATGTTATCCTCCTTGCACTTGTATGGAATACCGACTCAATTTAATGTATATAGCGATCTACTTTATATTTTAGGTATGGCGTTTCAACAACAGGCTTTATAATAACTGAGCATCTTGTACCGCACATGCTGGAGATGAACGCAAATTGCTTGTTTGTGTCTTCATTTCTTTCATTAAATCCATTTGTAGCATTTGTAAGACAATGTCTTCGGAGTGTAAGCCGGGTGTGGGCGTGTTTTCCATATCCTCATCATGACTGACTGGCAAACAATAGCCCAATATGCATTTAACTAGTCAAACAGAACGCTGAGGGAGGGCGATCTACCAGCTGTTGGAATGCTTCGGGGTGAACTTGTTAATCGTTATTCGTTTCCTATAACTAAATAAAGAAAAAAAATATCCTGAAAATGTTTTGATTTTCAGAATGAGTACCACTAAGCAAATAAAAAGAATGTCTTGCGCATGTGGCTTTTTGACGCCAAAAAAAGAAGAGGGAAGTGCATGCAATTGGCTGAGTTTGATATTTAAACCAATGATACCGTCCAAAAACATGCCTTGTGGACGGGCTAATACAAATTTTAATCCATCAAGTTTATTTTTTAATTGGTTTTGGTTTCTTAAACTTTAAACTATAAGTTTTAGTTTTTTAAGTTCTTTTCTTTTAACTATAGTATTAGTCTCTATAATCTAATAAAAACTTAAATAATTTTATCTTTTTAAGGATCAAAATTTATAATTTAAAATTTTAGGGACTGAAATCAAAATGAAGATAAACTTGAAGAATTAAAGATTATATTAACTTTTTAGAGATTAACTTAACAAATGCAAGTCTTGATACAAAGCTTAGTGCGCGCGTTCACAATAAACGGGAGTTTTCTTTTCAGGAAGTCTAAATGATTGACCGCTTGTATATTCGATAGTGATAGCGAGTTGTTGGAACTTGCAACTCATTAGGGTTAGAGTTGAGGACTCGTGTAAGTTATTTCAGCTTTTTGCAAGTTATTTCAATTTAGGGGTAGTGTTCAAAAATATTTATTAACATGTTTTATATAAGTTGAGACAAAATTATTTTTACATACTGATATCGTATTTCGTAAATTATGATTAAAAAATTATTTATAAACTATTCTAAATGGTTTTTAATACTTTTTCTGCAATGCCCTGGTGAATATAAATTTTGGGACAGGGGTTCGGGTCCATTTCTGAGGGCTTAACGGTTCAATCACAGTGGTCAATAGTCATTAGTGGCAGCGGTTATCTTGCGATTGCCCCAGTTGGCAGTTGCTCGTTTCCAGATTCTGATTATATATATAAATATATATGAATTTTTCAAATAAGCACATTATTAAAAAAATTAATTAATTAAGAGTATTATTGTCTAGCCAAATATAAATATTAACATATTTTCATAATTAATCTTTGACCTGAAAATATTTTCATAATTAATGACATACTTAATCACTTGTTTAATTTTCCTGCTTTCATTAAAAAAGATATTCTCCGCAACCAAGGCGCTTAGTCTCTTGTTATCTTGCATAGAAAGATGCGGACGATTAACGTGAATTTAGAATTTTGAGTTCATCATCCATGCAGGACAAAAACCAATCTGAGTAGGGTAAGAATTGAGAGAACTACATTAAGATTTTAAAGAAAAAATAATTATTAGTAAGTCTTAAGGGGTTGTCATACTGCTACTGTCGTTTTACTCACTTGGAACTAGAAGTTCTCCCGTAGGAAATTGTCCCACATCACATGTTTCACTTTTTTGGGCGCGAGCAAACGTTCACAGCTCCGCATTGATGAATGCTTGTTCGTAGGTAACCACGCATGGATTGGAAGCCAAGTTTTTCACAAACAGTTGGCATCTCTCGTCGGTAAATCACTCTGGCATGTCGACTGGCCGACTGGGGAGTTTCCTCGTTAACCCGAGCAGAAACAGCAAAACACAGAACGGCATAGTGACTTCCACGACACATATTCCTACATTTTCTATTATTTTATTGATTTAAATTTTTTTCCTGCGTCGTTGATATTTGAGAATATAATTTCTGGTTTTCTGGGACCAAAACTCTTGGAGTGTTGGTTGATGTCTTTACCTGTTCCTTGTTAGGCACTTCTTTCTTCTCAATTATACTTCTTTTTCCCGTTGTTCTTGCTCATTCCGCTGCAAAGCTAAACACTGCATCCTCCTCCTCTTCTCACTTTCCGTCTCTCGAAACACCGTTGTGCTTCCAAATTCCCAAAGTTACGTCCCGACGACGAAATTCGTGACCATAAGGCAACACATTTTGACCTTTTTCTTCCAATTTCTAAATCATTTGCTCTAGGTCTTCTTCAGCTGCTCCCGGGGCCCGGGGGTGACTGTTGCTTAACAATCTCTTGGGTCCTGTCACTTGTGCCTGACTTCCGTTTTTTAGGGTTCGCGCCATGGACTCAGAGGATGATATGCATGATGCCAACGATGTCGAGTCCCTAGATGATGATTACTACAGCGGTGAGACAGAGGATGTTCCTTTGGATTGCTACAGCGACTACGATGATGATGCTGATGATTACTTTGACGATGGTGATGAAGCTGACAAGATCAAGTCTCGTCGCCCCGAGGTCGTTTCCCATCTCAATTTCGTTTCTAGCCCGCCTATTGGCTTAAAAATTTTATTGACTTCAATGTTGGAGGATTTCGCTGGATAAATTGTGGAGGTATTAAAATAGTTTATTCTGAAGGCCCGAGCAATTCCGTGAATTGCTGAGATGGTACCGCACTATTCGTTTTACTAGTTTGAGCGGTGGCAGGACAGAATATTTATGATCAACTAAACTTGAAAGCAGTATTAATTTGTAAAAAAGGAAATTGATATCATGGGACTAAACAGGTTTAAACTCTAAGCGGGAAGGATAGTTTCTATGATCCTTCCCGTCTTGTCGATACTTCAGTTTTTTTCCACTCCACGTGGCATGGACATGAGTTTTACGATTTCCAGTTCAAGACCTATGCCGTTGCTTGTTGCTTAATGTTTTCTGATATCTTCTGTTCCCTTCTGATTTATCGATTCCTGTCCATCTTTTAGCAAAATTTCACCATCTTGAAGGAGTCAGATATTCAGGAAAGACAGGAGGACGATATCACAAGAGTAGCGACCGTTCTTTTTATCTCACGAGTTGATGCAGCCATCTTACTTCGTCACTATAATTGGTACATTTACAGCTTTTGTATTATTTTACAAATTGATATGCCTTCTCATATACATTTACAGCTTTTGTATTATTTTACAAATCGATATGCTTTCTCATATCTTATGCCTGTTCTTAATATCAGCAATAGAGTTGTTAAACAATTTATCATTTTAATACTTTATTGTATGATATTTTTGCTGCTTGACGTTTTTGGTACACTCATGAATGGATGAGAGTTGGAATTTCAGGAATGTCAGCGAGGTGCATGAAGCTTGGTTTGCTAATGAAGAACATGTCCGAAGAACAGTTGGGTTATTGGAAAAGCCAGTTCTCCAGTTTCCTAATGCTAGGGAGGTATGATTTAAAATTTGATGAATAACTTGGACTTCGTATTTTTTATCCCTTGCAAGCTTGTGCTATGTTTTCAAGCATCTGATTTTTCATGCGTGGTCAGCTTACCTGCGGCATCTGTTTTGAAACTTATCCTTGTTCACGGATTGAGTCTGCTGCTTGTGGTCATCCCTATTGCATCTCCTGTTGGGAAGGTATGCCTCTTGCTGAAGTGCTATTACTTTTGCTTGTAGTATCCTTCTCACTTTCCAGTATTCATCTCTATCTTTTATATGTAGCAATGCCTTAGGTTATTTTGTTTCCTCAATTTGCCCAATCAGATTGTTCAGATGTAAGTATCAGTTACTATCCTTTCCTAGAGTTCTTTTCTGATCTTATCATGGTACATGCTAGGATATATTGGCACTGCTATTAATGATGGTCCGGGATGTTTGATGCTGCGTTGTCCTGATCCCTCTTGTGGTGCAGCTGTTGGTCAAAATATGATTGATCGATTAGCATCTCTTGAGGATAGGCAGAAGTATTCTCGTTACCTTCGTAGGTCTTATGTTGAAGACAACAAGAAGGTATGTGCTGTATTTGAAATTGAATCTGAATAATGATAGCAAAAGGAATTTGGACATCTATAACTTCTAAAGATCTCATTTGTTATAAAAGATGAAAGAGAATGAAATAATAGATTGTTTCTTGTGTTTCAATGAATTCAGTGTAGTTCAGTATGAACCACATTGATAACTCCTTGGCTAGTCTGGAATATAATCTCTAAATCGCATGATTGATGTTGTAATAACCAGTTCAGCATTTTTTCATAATTGGGTTTTTTTTTTTTTTATGGAAGATACAATTAAATCTTCAACCTTCTTTTCTCTGCCCTGTCACCAAACTAATCTTATGCACTGCTTCCTTTATACTGTTTAGACCAAGTGGTGTCCTGCTCCAGGATGTGAATATGCAGTTACATTTGATGCGGATGGTGGAAATTATGATGTTGCTTGCCTCTGTTCTTATAACTTCTGCTGGAATGTAAGTTATCTTTGGGTGATCAAGTAGTATTGACCATTGTTGCCATGCTGACTGATAATATAATTGAAACTACAGTGCACAGAGGAGGCTCACCGAGCTGTGGATTGTGGTACTGTGTCAAAGTGGATTTTGAAGAATAGTGCAGAGTCTGAGAACATGAACTGGTAGAGAATATATTTAGAAATCATTGCTTGTAGATGTTAAGTCTTGTTTGAATTTCGTCTGAATATTCTGTTGCAACTGTTGATTGCATGGCTTTCAGGATACTTGCCAACTCAAAGCCCTGTCCCAAGTGCAAGAGACCAATTGAAAAAAACCAAGGGTGCATGCACATGACCTGTACACCCCCATGTAAATTTGAATTTTGCTGGTATATTTCTGCCCCTGCCCTTTTCAACCAAATAATGCAGCATGCTTTTTCCCTTTGTTTCTTGCTTTTGTTTTGTTCCTTGATAAAAGTTACCAGGTTCTAGATGTTTGGCAGTCTGTTTCGTATGTGGTTATTAATTATGACTTATTTTCCTTGGTGCCCTTAACATGTTTGTGATTGCTTTCAAATAGTATAAACTTATTGTTAACTTAGTGCTATGTATTTATTTAAATAGGCTATGCCTTGGTACATGGTCGGAGCATGGTGAAAGGACTGGTGGTTTCTATGCCTGCAATCGTTATGAGGCAGCTAAACAAGAGGGAGTGGTAAGAGGCAGAGTTACTTGACTTATTTTGATTTAATTTTCATGATACCTTGCCCACTGCTTTCTTCCTTAAACTTGGACCGTTACAGTTTTTTATGAACAAATTACATATTACTGCATGCAGTATGACGAAGCTGAAAGAAGAAGGGAAATGGCGAAGAATTCATTGGAAAGATACACACATTATTATGAGCGGTGGGCCAGCAATCAATCTGTATGCAACACCAAACTTATTCTGTTCAATGACAATTTCTGAATATTCAGTCTTTAACATTTTTATATTTGGTGGCTGTTTCTTCTTTCATGTCGATAGTTAATTGACATTTTGATGATATCTTTCTAATATCTGCGTTCTTAATTTCTCCTGTTTAATTTGAATGCTAGAATAAACATTTTATGGTTTAATAGTTTGATAAACTTTATTTGGCACGTCTTCCTTTTTCTTGGAATACTCCGGAGAGCGAATCCTAGTGATTTGTTGTTTTGAATTCATTATTGATTAATACTATTTTTTCTTTAATTGAATAGAAGTTGGATGTTAAGTTGGTTCTCAATTCAGTATTTTAAATTGTTATTGATTGTAACTTTGTATTAAATTATTGGATGCGGTAGATATCTAGGTGTTTTCTATGTTAACTTTTTTAATAGATTTAAATCTGGGGATATTCTCTATTCGTGTCATCATATGCAATCTCTTTTTTCTGGTCTGGCAGTCAAGGCAGAAAGCTCTTGCAGATCTTCATCAGATGCAAACAGTCCATGTAAGTTAATACATATCTGCTTTGTTCAGAAATTCGTAATTTGAAACAACCCAATAATTTAGTTCTCTCCATATGACATATCATCATTTTTTTTTTGTTTTTCTTTTTGTGCGCGCGCTTTCTTCAGTTGCAGCATATATTTTTCTAATAATTATTTATCTGCAAGCTAGTTTGAACCTTTTATGGCAAAAAGATAAGCAGACACGCCTTTTTCTGGTTTTCTGAAGTGCTTTTCTTACTTTTTAATTGATGTGTAGCTCGTAAGTGCTGCTGGAAGTCTGGAAACCTTATAATTTCTTGTTGATTATGTTTTGGCAGCTTGAGAGGCTTAGCGACACACAGTGCCAACCTGAGTCACAGCTGAAGTTCATAACCGAGGCCTGGCTACAGGTAAATAATGCTTTCATCAGATATTGTAAAATTTCTCACTTCCAATTATGAATTATGAAGTTTTCTTTTGCCTTTTTTGGTTACAAGTTTGTTCTGTTTACTTTCAAGGGTAGTAAGTTGTGCACATTTCACAAACCCCTTCTCTTTATGAAATTCCCATTCAGTTAAAATTTTTAGAGGCAAATCATTTGATGAGGCTATTTTGGCTGATGCTAATTTTATTAGTTGATATTATTCGATATTTACTGGGTGGTGGTTGTTACAGCAACTACAATTTTGTTTAGAGGCGTATTTGAAAGCTTCTTGATAGGATCCAATCCACGGAGACATCACATACGCACAGAAGAAGATGAAAATGGAGGAGAAAGGGAAGACATTGGATAAGGGAAAGGGATTGAAGGACGAAAGAAAGATACAGAAGTTTATGGCGAAAAGAAGCATAGAAGCTCAGACCAAAAAAGACGAGCGATGGTGGAAAAGCAAAGTTTATATAACCACAGACACCAGATCTTATAGTGAAAAGAAGCATAGAAGCTTGGACCAAAAAAGATGAGCAACGATGAAAAAGCAGGTGTGGGAATTGGAGAGTAGGTAGTAGTGGGTATGTAGCAAAAGTGGACTATCTGTGGGAGGGGCTAACTTCTAGGGAAGGAAGTTTTAGGAGAGTTGGCCTCTTAAACGTCAATACTTGTGTTACTCTGTGTTTGTGCGTTGATCCTTTCTGTTTCTTTTATTCTTCTTGTTTGGTGATTCTATGTGAACCTGGACCAGTAGTTCTGTTTTAGTACTGGTGAATGTTCCGTGCTATGTTTTCATCGGGATGTGTTAGTAAACATGTAAGCACTCAAAGCCTGTGCTGGTAAGTGTGAAGGCGTGATTTCTGTTGTGTGCGTGCTGTTATTAACTCTTGTACTAACAGTATAATATTCATCAATATAAACCCCTCTGTTTTGTGTCTGTGTTCTGGCTATTTGCTTTTGTTGGGTGGGTGGTTCCTATCACTTCCTTATCTCTGTTTCATGTTCGCAGATAGTAGAATGTAGGCGAGTGCTGAAGTGGACATATGCTTATGGTTACTATTTACCAGAGCATGAGCGTGCTAAAAAACAGTTTTTTGAGTACTTGCAAGGTCAAATATGCTTGCTTTGACTTTATTACAGCTTTTTTCGTAGCAAAAATAACTGTCTTCTATTTGCTCTAGTTCCAACACTGATGACACTTCTTTTTGCTCTCAGGTGAGGCAGAATTCGGTTTGGAGAGACTTCATCAATGTGCTGAAAAGGAGTTGCAGCAGTATCTCAATGCTGATGGCCCATCTAAAGAGTTTAATGACTTCCGAACCAAGCTAGCTGGACTGACCAGGTATCTCTTGATTTGAATTTTGTTAACCGCTGCCATTTTGCTTTACGCTTTTGTCTACATTTATTTATTTATTTATTCAAGTGATTGAACTCCAACCCCCCCCCCCCAAAAAAAAAAACCCCAAAAAAAGAAAAACCATATTTTCATCTGCTGCAAGTGTGTATTTCTGATTTAGGGTGTATAGTGGAGTTGGGAAGGAAAAGGGAAGGGAGTTAGTCGATGGAAAAAGAAAGGGAATTTTTTTTTTTTGGGGGGGGGGGTTTGTTAAAATTAAATGAGGATTTTCATTCTCCTTGATTGAATGTTAATGATGAGGAACAGGAAATGGAAGGTTGAAAATAATTTTTTCCAGTTTCACAATTTTATACTTATTGAGGTGACTAATTTTAATGCGTTAGTTTATTAGCATTGAAATTTCAGAGTAATGTAAATTAATAGCGAATTATTTAGCTTTCTCCTCCAAAACCCCTCAAAGAGAGCAAACACAGGAACATGAAAGTTGGAGGGTTTTCAGGGATTAGTTGTATATGCCTTATGCCTCATTTTGTGACATCCATAAAAAGCATACCCTTGAAATTTCCCTGGAAATATAAAGACACACTATTGAACAACTATTTGGAGCCGTAAATAGTGGCTGTCTAATTGTGGCATGTGCCACATGTAATTTGCTTGTTAAGATGTATGCAGTTTGTGTTGATGGAAATCGTGTTTTCAGTTCTTTATTTCCTATTTGTTAATTAGAAAGATGTCTGTCATCACATTCTCTGTTCTCATAGCATGGCTTCGGTTTGCAATTTATTCAATAGAACATCCTCAAAGATCTTCTATTCCCCTGTTATGTGTTGATATTGAAGGGCGTGGGCCTTATTTGATTTCTGATTTTGGCAGTGTGACTAGGAACTACTTTGAGAATTTGGTTAGGGCTTTAGAGAATGGTTTATCTGATGTGGATAGTAATGGAGCTGCTTCCAGCAAAGCAATGAGCTCAAAAAATGCCGCCAGCAGCAGCAAGGGGAGAGGTGGAAGAGGAAAAGGAACCACTCGAACTAGCGGTTCCAGCAGAATGGCTGATAATAGTAATTGGTATTGTGAGCACTGTACCTATGCAAATACAGTGTCTGTTAACACATGCCAAATGTGCCATCTACAGCGGATCTTCCATGGAGGAATACCTCTCGCAAGCCCAGGACTAATTACATGTGAACAGAGTGAATGAAAGAAGGGGGTTAAGTCACGGAAGCATGCTATCCTCCTTGCTCTTCTATTGAACACGACCCAATCTGGTGTATATAGTAGTCTATATTAGGCATGGCGTTTCTGCAACGGGCTTTATGACCAGGTATCTTGTGCTTCGCAGGCTGGAGATGAACACAAATATGCTTGTTTGTGTCCTCATTTCTTTCAGTAAATCCATTTGGAGATGAGCACAAATGTGCCGCGTCTTTACTATACATCGTGATGATGACACGAAAACATGTAGCTTTACCCATACACAGCTTTCCATTTATTTAAAGCAGGCAAACGGAATATAGAAAGGTAACCTACCAGCAGTTGCAAGTGCGTAGGAATGCACTAATTGTGCTACGATCTTTAATTTTAATTATGTAGCTACAAAAACTCAGATGTTCCAGCCGTGTAGGTTGAGTTTGCCATTTAAGCTTGGCCGAGTTCACTCTGATAATTTTCCGTAGCCTGTTTCTTGGGTTGCTGGATTGAGGTTCGTCCATTAGGTCGGCGAAGCGTACAATGATTAGCACTGATTATGTTACCCCTAGATTGTTTTAAGCTTAAGGAATCTGGCAGGGGCTTTAGAAATCGTGACCAAGGGTGACGCTTCACGCTTCATTTTAACGCTGAAAAGCCAAGTTCTGAGGTTTGGTGGCTTTTGTAGAACGTTGTTGAGATTCGTGTGTGAGTTGGAAGCCTTTGTTCAAATCTTTGACGCGAACTTTCTCTACTTTACCGTTCGATCGCATTCAAATAGTGCTTAGTTTTTTTTTTTTTTAACATTATCTGATACTCGATATTACCTTTGAATTGTTAAATCCTCTCAGCACTAGTACTTTTTTTCCCCCCATCTAAGAAATTCAACCACTCTACTTTGGGAATTCAACTTTGTCATCCAATTCAACAATTGTAAGGGTTAATCTTTAACTAGGCCTTGTCTGCGGAGAGCAAGGCAGGTTATAGTCATGTCATCAGAACAAGGCAATGCCCTCGATTAGTGTTGGGTTTGGAAGGTGTCTAAAATAGCTTATAGTATAATTATAATGTAATTTCAGATTGAACCTTACTGGTGGAAAATGCTCCCTGCTAGTTACTTCTGAAAGTTAATGTTATCAGAGGAGCAAGACCCGTGTCTCGAAGCGATCTTAGCAGGAGCCATGGAAAGTATTCATAGCCATTGAAGCTATGGTGCAATTTCCATCCAACTAGCTTATTTGAGTTATAACTGATTTTTGGGACTTTCTATCCCGATCCCAAACATGCACACGGTTATTTGTGAACTGAATATGAATTGGTATTACATTATCTTTTTGAATGTTCTGTCTCTGATAAAATGGTTAGATTTGCATTCAGCAATTTGAAGGGAATTTTCTGTTTCATCTGCTCTACTTTTTTTGTAGATGAAGGATAAAAGAAAATCGGCACAAACAACAAACATAAAAACATTCCTGGACATCACTGTTGGTCTGTCCCCAATTCAATTCTCCATTGAGTTTGAAGAATATCCCATTCTCAGGACCAATGTCAATAGTCTCCCCCGTAAATCAGTGAAATTACATTCTGAGACAAAAAGAATTTGACAGTTTTCATGATATGACCAGAACTCCTTAGTTACTTTCTGCCCCAGAAAGCCTGTGAGGCCCATTTCCTTCTGCGGGTAACAGCCAACTGTACAGAGCTCAAATAATTACAGCATGTTGTGCCGTCGAGCTCGAACCTTCCTAGCTTCCAAGAGAGGTATGAACCAAGGATCTTGATCATGAGCTTACTTCCTCATGAAATTTAGGCGCATTTCACAGACTTGTTATTGAACATTTTGAAGCTCAACGCATTTAGCATTGCTCTAGAATATTGGCGAGATGCCATTTTCCAATCTGGTCCTGTCGTCATCATCGCCTTGAACTCCTCAAAACTGATCCGACCGTCCTTTAGAAAAACAAAAACAAACATCTATAAATTCCAGCTTGCTAAAATTACATTTTATCAGAGCATAAGCAAGGACCACGTTGTTTGTTACCTTATCCAAGTCGACTTCAAATAGGATGTCATGGACCACCTGATCATTACAGGGACCTAAGTCATCATCCAACAAGGCCTCTCTCAATTCATCAAATTCCACGAATCCACTCTTGTTCTTGTCAAAGTAACAAAAAGCTTCGGAGAGATGCTCGTCACTTCCAATCTTCCCCAGATGGACATTCATAGTGATGAACTCTTCACAATTCAGCGTGCCATTTCCATCTGTATCTGCCTTTCGCCATGAACAAAAATCACATTTCACTTTCTTATCTAACGGGCATAAGTTGTCAGATTAAGACTCGTTCTACTTAATATTGCCACACAACTGCTAGGAAGAAGAGAGTAACTACGGAACGGTGATGGAAGCCAGCAAAATAGGTAAAAGCAACTTACTGCGTCCAATAACATCTGCACATCAGGGTCAGGAAGAGGGTGTCCAATCCTAGAAAGACCATCTTTGAGCTCTTCAAACGACAAGTTTCCATTTTTATCCTTGTCCATCATATGGAACATCTGCTTGATCCGATCTATTTGCTCAGTTGGAAGGCTGTCTGCCACCACCTGTCCACAAGCCAGATCAAACAGTTTACGCTAGCTTTAAGATACGATCATATAATTTATCCAGGGGCCTTTAAAAAGTCGTACTCTAAGAACTTTCTTCTTGAACTTGTTCATCAAGGAAAATTGCTTGATTCTCATTCGTACATGATCTCCTAGATAAACATTTGGACCCTGTTCTCTGTTCTGTATCCACGGATGTTCTTCGCCCGACAAAAAGAGCAATCAGTATATTTTCATGTGACCAAAATTTTCAATTCTCTTACAACCTCAATTACGTACATACCAAGAACTTCTTGACTAGTTAATCGGCTGTATGGATTTGGATCAAGCATGTTTTTAACTAGGCTTTTTGCTTCTTCTGAAACCTTAGGCCAAGGATCTCTTTCAAAATCGATGTTTCCCCGGATGATCGCCTGTGCTATTCCTTCCTCAGATTCTGTTCCAGTTGAATCTCATTATTCAAACATAATTTTTCTTAACAAAACTTAATTTCTACTTGATTTTCTTGCTTTTGAGATTAATATATAAATGAGAGGGAAACAGTGAACCCACCTGCCCAAAAGGGTGGAACTCCACAAAGTAAAATATAAAGGATTACGCCGGCGCTCCACACATCGATTTCTGGTCCATAGTTACGTCTCAAGACTTCTGGAGCCATGTAATAGGGACTTCCGACAATTTCATTAAACCTCTGCCCTGTAATGTAAAACCCAAAACACACGTCATGGCTAATTTCCTCCCCCAAAAAAATGGAAAGCTTATTGATTCTAGGCTATAATTATAATAAATAGAGCTGCACCTGATTCATAGAAGGTGGAGAGCCCAAAATCAATTGCCTTCACCGGAGCAGACTCACTTGCATCTCCAAATAAGAAATTTTCGGGCTTCAAGTCCCTATGTATCACCCCATGCTCATGGCATACCTGTAAAATGTAGCAAATGAACTCACAAACGTGTTCCAAATTTGATCAAACAAATGAGAATAAACTGCTGTACAACTAAACACAAAAGGTAAACCTTGCAAATCTCAAGAATTGTCTTAATAACATTAGCCGCGGCACGTTCTGTGTAATGGCCTTTAGCGACAATTCTGTCAAAAAGCTCGCCTCCTTCACAAAGCTCCATGATGAGATACACGGCATCCTTGTCCTCGTAAGCTTCCTTGAAGCTCACGATATTAGGATGCTTTGGCAAATGCCTCATGATCTGCACCTCTCTCCTCACATCTTGGATATCAATCTCCGTGCGAAGCTTCGTCTTGGCGATCTTCTTGCACGCGAACGCCTTCCCTGTCTCAATCTCCACGCATCTGTGTGTCACGCCGAACTCGCCGCGTCCAAGTTCCTTGCCGAACTCGAACTTCTCAAAGATGTTGTCGGGGGTCGGGTCCTCGATGACGTTGATGGGGCCGACGTTGAGGGCTTTTTGCTGCGGCGGCGCGTGAGAGCCAGATTTGGGTATGCATGACTTGACGCTCTCCTTGGACCTCCTGCGAGGGAATGTCTTGCCCGGCGTGGATATGCAGCTTCCCATGGACGACACTAGAGTGTTGGCGGCAGTTTGGAAATTATATGATGACGACGATCTGATGATGGTGGGGATTACTTCAATAACAACCATGGGAAGACCAACATTGTTCCTAGCAGAGAAAATGGGAATTCTAAAACGAGAGAGCAGGCATTGAGACAGACACACACAGAGAGAGATGGTTGTGCGTACTATATTTGGGGAGATAATGCGATGGAACTGTAATGTTTGGAGCACTTTTGTTCTGTACAGTTTGTCCCGCCATTTTCTTAGGACCGTTGAGCTTCTATTCTTTTTCAAGACAAATGTGTGTCCTTTGACCCCAAAATAAATAAATAAACTAATAACAGAACTCAACATTATTCTATGTCCATTTCATTATCACATTCGCGCTCACCTTTATTAGCTCTGTTTGTTATGTTTACTGTTAATATTGAGAGGATATTCGCATGCGTATGCCGCTACATATACGGGATTCATGTGATTTCCAAAATAAGATCTTCAATCCTAAAGTAGAGGGATCCAAATTCCTGACATTTGAAGATCCGTATCACTCTAATATAGCAAACAGGTCGTTCTCGAATTGCTCCTAGTCATGAAAGAAGCGAGCACAGCTATGAACTGAAAGGGTAAAGGAGAACAGAGCAGAAAGAACATGAATTCATTAAAGAAGACAGATTCGCTGAATTTACAGGTAAATAAGCCACAAGCATCGATCTGAGGGAAGACCCCAAGTTAAAATCTGAAAATTTCTTTTCCCTAGTAACTTGTCTGCATGATCAGGAAACAGATGAATGTCTCAACTTGGAATTGATTTCTAGAATCATTGAGCAGCTAGTATCGTCATCATGGCTTGTGTAGGAGCAGGGGAAGCTGCAATCTTGGGGCAGCCAAGCAATTCCTTTGTTGCTCCATGGAGATTCCAGAGCAAGCAGAAACAGATAGAGAAGCAACAGAACTGAAATTGCGAGGGAGAGATATATGTCGGGCGTGAAACAAGAGAAGTTCATTATCACACGATGATATGAAGGAGATGAAACAGATGAGATTGTTGAAAACGTAACGCAGGAAGGGGATAGATATATTGGTGTTGAAGGAAGTGAAGAGAGAGAGAAAGAGAAACAGGGACGGGGGAAGCGTGATTGGGGGAAGCCAGGGGCGATGCTCAGGGGGAGGAATGTGGACGAATCACTGGAGATTACCAACAATTCAGTGAATGTGAGAGTGCAAGTGGGTCATGTGGCCCAACTTGTCAATCATTTCCGACCTTGATATTTAAAGTGGGTTTTTCTAGTCAATTCCTTTTCCCGGTATGTAAAAGGATAGGATTTGTGATTCCTTTGTGATAACGCTGGAGACCATGACGATTACCTAAGCCACCTTCTTGTGTTTAATACTAACTCTGGTTTTTAATACTACCTCCGGTCCTAATTATAAGAACCAGTTAACTAATTTGAGAAGATTAAAAAAGTAAGTTGAGTTAGTTATTTGTCCTAAATAGGTGTTGTCTTTCCTAAAATATCTTTGCTAATCAAGTGTATTGACTAGAACTATCATTGTTAGAAGGGTTATTTTGGAAAAAAAATATATAAATATGAGAGACAAAGTGGATTGGGGTCTTATATTTAGGATCAAAATAAAAGTCAAACAGGGTGTTATATTAAGGACCGGAGGTAGTACAAAATTCTGTTTGATTTTTATTTTGATCATAAATATAAAATTTCAATCCATTTTATCTCTTATATTTATCTTTTTTTTCCAAGATAGTCTTTTTAATAATAATAGTTCTAGTCAATAAACTTGATTAGTAAAGATATTTTGACAAGACAATACTTATTTATTACAAATAACTAATTTAAGTTATTTTCTTCATCTACTTAAATTAGTCAACTAGCTCTTATATTTAAAACCGGAGGCAGTAATACTCTTCTTATGCTAAATATAAGACTCGTTTTATAATATAATCTATGCACTATAAAGTGAATCTTATATTTAAAATCAGAGGAATATTAAAAATAAGACGGATCACATACTCTCTGTTTCTTAAAAGTAAGTGGATATATTATAGATTTTATTTTAATTTGAGAAAAAATGTCAGAGAAAACTTTAATTTGTGAAAAATATAGAGAAAATGGATTAAAAAAAATCACATGCGTTCTTCTATGCATTTATAGGGAGTGCGAGATTTTTTTTTTTATTTTTATCATGGCCATTATAAAATAAGTTGAACTATTATTTACGACAAACCTTTTATAAAATAATATCTTGTCAAGACGAATGTCAGCCTACAAAATATTGACATACCCCGCAAACTAATGGATGCGTAAGAACAGGGAGCTAAAAAAAAGTGAGTTAATTATGATATACACAGACTCCACAAAACAATTAGGATTCACAGAATCGAATGAAAAGATATGAACAATGCATGGAAGTTTTAGAAAACAAATCACCAAACCATCAAGTAAAATGTATAATTGAAAAAACAATTATTTGCAAGAACGAATGAAATCTGCGTTAGAACTTGCAAGAATCAAGAACGCGTTGGTTCCCACTCAAGGCTTGCCCCCCACTTCACGCTCACCCTACTCTTTCTGCTATCCTTTCCAAATAATCTCTTCTCAATTCCAGGTGACCCTTTTGCGTCCTTTCTTTTCCCCTCACTTTCACATCTCACTAATAGATGTTCTTTCTTTTCCAAAACCCCCGTCACACCTGACTTGTTCTTTTTAATACTATAAAACATGACGTAATTGACCTGGTACGCCAACGGCCAACCAACGATTGGCCGCTTTAGATAATTAAACCTTTAGTCAACAATGTTCATGATTCTTTTTCCTTCATAGGTGCTTCTTTTATTTCTCCCCCTTCCCATCTGCCTCTGCATGACATCTATTTGGGTGGAATTTCCTTCAGCGACGGATAATATTGGGTTTCTTATTATGAGATTTCGTTGTAGTTGATGTTTGTCTTTTCTCCTCTTTCTGCCAGAATGATCTTATATTATCTTTCCGGCTAGTCTGTGATTATCGGCAATGGGAGCCCATGCACTTAGTTTGACTGATACTTGGAATCTCCACACAAGATCTCAGCATAAACAGAAATGTCCGTTCTGTGATCTTATGAAGGATGTGAATTGTTTTACATGTCCCTTGGTAATGGTAGGAGAAAGTAGCGACCTTGATCGATGTTCAAGGCCAGATACGCCTCCAGACAGAACATGTACTTCGGCCCCTGTCAAGCAGAAGACTTGCTCTGCTTCATTCTACCTATGTGCCGATGGATCATTAGTCTCGTGGTTTTTGATGATGGCAGACTCATGTATTTTTTGGAGCAAAAGCGCCAATCTTTTTCCCGTCTTTGGATTAGATGGTACTAAAGATATTGCATTTCCTGAGAGAACCATCCCAAAAGTCCGGAAAATTCTGAAGAACGAAAAAGCTGCTGCATGTGCATGGAGCTTGAGGGTGGATCACGCTAAGGCGATGGGTTCTCCAATTAGCTTCTCAGGCAATTCAGGGCACTCTTATGCATGTGCGTCTGAGAACCCTCCGAATCCTCCCAGCAATAAGAGCTGTTCTTCTCCTGAGGTTTCAGATTTAGACAAAGCTAATTATTGGCAGTCTTTGTTGAATCTCCAAAGCGAAGACGGTGAATGGATTTCAGATTTCAAGTCTTCAAGTCCTTTGAGCACCAAGTCCGATTCTTCCACCAAGGGAGTCGCTTACTTGGATTCTTTGCTTGGTCTTGAAGAGGAAGAAGAGCGTGAATGGATTTCAGGTTCAAATACAGAATTGGAGCATTTTGATTTTCCAAGCCTATGTCGTAGTAGCCGTGGGGATCCGGAAGATCTGTTACAAACCCGTGACATGGAACGAGTCATAACTCATGAACCACTCTTCTGGCCATTCCAAGAGGAATTTAACTGGGATTCTGAGGAATCCTGGAGTTCATTCTGCATCTCACCCAGGAAGCATATAAATCTTCTTGGTACGCCTGCTAAATCTTCTGGCTCGAAACTTGCAGAGGGGAAGTTAAAACCCAGGAAAGGTTGTACAACAGGGCTTGTCTTTGGCAGACAAAATGGTGATGAGGCTGAGTGCAGATCAAAATGCGAAACTTCAAGGCGTAGCACATTATGGACAACTAGTTCAGCAAAAAGAGTACCCAGAGAAGTGCCTATGATCAAACCGGTATCCGCCGGCGAGAATTCAACTCGGAAAGATCTCGAGTTAAACAGGGTTGTTCCATCGGAAAAGGGCTACTTCGCACTGGATCGAGAACTTCCAATAGAGACGCTAGTTGGGCTCAAGGAATTTGATGGGCACGAGGGGCTTGATCCAGAATTTAATGGCACTGTCTTAGTTTGGATGGATGAATCTGTCTGATAGCTCGATCGAGTCACTCGAGTTTTCCTGATAGGTGAAATTTTATTTTTAATTTTTCTGTTTGACAGCCAAAATTTTTGGGGCAGGGCTGCCGGCCTCCCGCATTAGCGCTGATTACTAGATTCCTGTTTAGTGTTTATTATAATAAACTTTCTGCAAGAATATGATGGCTGGTGTGTGTTTTATATTTCCCTTCAAATGAACTGTGGCATCAAAGGTCAGAATCATAAATACTTTTTTAAATGCTTAAAGAGCTAATTTTTCTTAAAAATTTTCACTTAGAAGCATGTACTATTGAATATAAATTTGTCTTAAAAATTTAAAATCATAATAATGTTACACCTTAACATTAAAGAGTTAATTTCATTTTTGCGATTTTAAATTTTTATAACAGAAAAATTTTAGGTGCCAGCGTTTTTAAGTAAAAATTTCTAGGTTAAATTTGCATCTTAATTTTGTTTTAAAATCACTTCATTCCTACACTCTATTAGAGGATCCGATGGACTGATGCATATTGTGAGCAAGCATAACCCATTACTTTGAGAGCAGCATTAGTTTGGGAGACCGAAGTGGATCCACGACCACGAATTACAGACGGCAGAAACCGACGGTCCCCCCCCCCCCTCCCCAGCTTGCCTTCCTGATTCCTCACTGCTCTTCGATGACGGAAAATTGCAGAGTCGACAGGATTGATGGAAATGGAAGGGGAACAAGTCCTGTAGTAGAATAGAACACAGAGATCTCAAAGATGGGCTTAGACTATAGAGGGCCTTACTAAGTTGTACCAGTCTTTTCCTGCGTTGTATGAGCTTTGACTTTTTCTACCTGGCGCAAAAAGTCAAATGAGCTGGTCAAAGATGATAGCTCGTATGAAGAAAAATTGAATTGTAGTTTTGACCAAATGAAGGGAAAGAAAGGAGTGGGCGGGGAATAAGGTGGGAAGCAACAACCGTTGAAAAACTCCCAAACAAAAAAATGCTTGGAAGCACCTAAAATTTTTCTTAAATTTTTTTTTTCATAAATTTGTATATCATAAAAATATTTTTGAAATTATGATTTTATTTTTATTCAAACATATTTAAAACCTCACATCACGGAGGCTTCTCCGAAAAATGATGGAAATTGAATTACAGCAGCAGCTCAATGATGACTCACAGAGCTCCAAACCATTCCTTTAGGGGCCAAAAAAGAAAAGGCAATGGGTGTTACTTGTGGAAGATGCACGTGGCGTCATTGCGGGCCCGGTTGAAGAACACGTAGGAAGGTTAAACGACAGCCGACCAAGCCGCCGCTTTCCAGCTCCAACGGCGCCCTTGTCTTTTTCGCTTATTTACCAATCTGAACTTCGAGACCACCGCATGGGTATTCTCGAGATCCTACCCAACAACAAAAGGGTCGTTTTAGAATTCGAGCACGTCTCTCAGTCGAAGCTTCTCTGTTTCCGTGCCTTCTCCCCCTCGTGTTTGACTTGGGGTTGGCAGTTTGAACTTCCTATTTTCTCGATCTTCCGGAGCCTTTTTCCTTCACTGGAAAATAGATTCAAGTGTTTCTCGGTTCTTCCTTCTCTCAGATTTCGTGTTTAAAATTCTTGCCGATCACTGCCATTCTCTTCTCTGGTAGGTCTCCTATTTGTTTTCTTCTTCGATTTGCTCATCTCTGCGATTTCTAGATTTTCGTCCACTTTGTATTATTGGCCGATGTGATAAGATAAATCATTGATTTGTGTTCCTTGCTTTGAATTTGTTTATCTTATTCTTAACAAGTTTGTTTTGGTTGGTTCAATCATACATATGAATTTCATTTCGCAGCTGTTTCTAATTTCGCATGTTTCTAACTGTAGCTTCCCAATAATTTACGAAGCATGAGTTGCCTGTAAATTTCGGGCGTTTATTTCTTCTTTGTACCGCTAAATGGAATATATTGTCCCAGCAAGCTATAGAAGATTTAAGCAGCTTCTTGATTATCATTTCCCGAGGCGTTTGAAGAATTTCTTTCTTTAAATTTCCCTTACTCTTATGAAATTTGCTATAGAAAATTTTCACTTTTTCCGATTACAGTTCAATGTCTTGTTTCTGGAGTTGCTCCCTCATACATGCATATTCCATCGTATAGTAGCAGCAGCAGCTAGAAGTCGATGCATGCTTATCGTAATTTTCTATTCTGTTTTCTGTCAAATCCTCTCAAGGTTGGAATCATCTACTGTTTAGAATATATTTGTGGATATGCTTTTTTATGTTGTGATCACACAATAAAATGAAGGTTTGTCTTCTCAGAGTAAGTCGCTTCCTACTATCTACTGCAATGCGTGCACCATCATTGCTTACACAGTGCTTGTCTGGCTTGGTGGCTCATGATCGCGGAGGTCACAGCATAGCCTCGATTCCAGATAAAGAGATGCATCTGCCATCTCCAGCAGTAGAGATTCTCCCATCAAAGGTATACTTCTATTCACATTATCATTTAGATTTCAATGCAATTGATGGGGCCAATGTGGATCACATTGTTGCTGAAATTTCTTATGTCTAATGTTGTACAGGCAGTTCACCCTTACAAGTACATTGGGGAGAATGCAGACTTTCAAGGGGTCCATTCTAAGGTACATCATAGTCTGTTTCATTCTTTAGATAGTCCTTTTCGCAAGACAGCGTAATTAGATGACATCTTTCTCTAATTGTCATTCTTTATGGATGATAATCTTTTGTTTTCTTGGAATCATTTTTTGTGTAAGGATGCAGTTGGTTGGTTTTCTGTTTGGTTATTTGTATCCGTAAAAAAGACTCATCTCTTCACGTGTCAATTTGACTAATTGTCTCTCTCTTGCTTTGATAATTGCCAGGTAACATATGGCATCTGATGTGTTAAATTTTGAACTGTTTTTTCCTCCAATGGGTTTTATATATTTTTTAAACGATAGCAATTATTCCTTTTAAATATATAATCAAGTTTTTTGCAAGGCTACAGATTGTATTGCTGTTTGTTTGATAGTACGTTTGATGCTATATTCAACCTCGTACAGGGCAGAGTCAGCATTGCTGATATCATTGGCGTCAGTGGTTCGGAGACAGTATCCTCAAAACCTGATGGTATGTATTTAAGTAATATTACTGTGTCCAAACTGAAAATTGATGCCAAACACTTGATTGTTTGTCTTCGGTGAACTCACATGTTCTTTCTTATAACTACATGAGCGCCCCTCACACAAGTAATGAAGTAAGTGAATAATAATGGAGCCAATATGTAATGGTTTGCCTAGAACAAAAGCTAGTTTGCATTTAATGATTTTGAGAAAATATGGAGAGCAAGTGTTAGGAAGAAAGGGAAGAGAGACCTAACAAAAATTTATTGAAACGCTGCATTCATGTTTTTATGACACTGACCCATCTACCTCTATTAATCTAGACGCTTACAGAGGACACCCGTTATTTTGGGTGCACTACAGATAACTTTTCCTTAGCTTACAAGACCCAGCAAAAATTTTCTTCACTGCCTAACAAAGTAATAATTCGATCAATCAAGAAGACCTTTCTAATATCTCTAGACAAAGGAAAGGGCAAATAGGAAAAATTAATGATCTAAGAATCTAGTAGAGGGAAGTGTCTTTTACTTATATGCACGTACGTAAGGATACAAGGTATGGTGGTATTACTTAATTTAATTGACTTGGCAGGGCATCTGAAATCCTGGGACAGTTCCATTGACCTTGTTGGTGCTCTCAAGCATGAGATTCGTGATGGTCAACTGAGCTTTAGGGGCAAAAGGGTACTCGAGGTAACTAGTATACACAGTTTTCTTCCCATTCTGTAATGCTTTGATTTGATTATTCTCAATTCTACTGTCCCCTTCTCCTGTCACTACAGCTGGCATGCATGACATGCGTTGATGAAATTACCTCTTCTCTGTGGATTTATCTTTTGGTTGTATTTGCGAATAATGATTCATTATTATCTTCTGTCTATTTCTTGCAGCTTAGTTGCAACAACGGACTTCCTGGGATCTTTGCATGCTTGAAGGTAAATCTTAGCATGAAAACTGCTGTTTCTTGTTGAATTGTAGCCTGTATTTGACGGCTAGAAACAATAATATCTAAATGAAATGTGCTTCAATGCGATAAATTTAAGCATTTTTATGCTGCTGAGCTGTGTAGCGGTTGGTCTCATTTAATTTGAGTGCTTGAACTGTAACATGTCTTCCTTATGAGACGAGCTAAAATTTCTTTTTCCTTCATGCTAGGGTGCATGCTTATAGGACAATGAGTAAGCAGTGAGTCTAACGTGCTTTGTCCTTCATGTGGTTTATGTGGTTCACTTCACAGGGAGCGTCATTGGTACACTTCCAAGACCATAACGCAGAAACTATTAGATGCACGACTATACCAAATGTTCTTGCAAATCTTGAGCAAGCTCGTGATCGGCAGTGTCGGCAGCCAGAGTCTCCTCTGACTCCTTCAAGACAGACACTGGCACCATCGGTTCACTTTTATGCTGGAGACTGGGAAGAACTGCCCGCTGTGTTGTCTGTTGTGAAAAATGATGGGTATGAGATGACACCGGCAATGAGTTTGAGCTTTTCTGAAGAGGATTTCATGGATGCATGTAGCAGTCAAGACGGTAGCATCTTGGGACATGAAACTTCCTCAAGGAGATCTAGGAAGCTCTCTGGAAGCCGAGCTTGGGAAAGAGCTAGTGAGGCAGACCAGAGAGAGAGTGGTTATGATGTTATTTTAATGACGGAAATACCATATTCTGTTTCCTCCACGAAGAAGCTGTATGCGCTCATAAAAAAGGTTTGATTCCTTATACTTGGTTTCCTATGCTCACCTAAAATCATGCGCATGGTTTCCTCGAGGAACCTTGGCCTTGCTAATGCCTTGATAATATTTGCAAAGTCTACAATTTTGACCTCTATTTGCTGTTTGAATCCTTCACAATTTTCTAATAAAGAAAAAGTACTGATGAATTTGATTCTTTATGCTGTACTAAATGACACTACACTTGAAGTCATAGTTACATACTTTAAGATAAATGCACGATCAGAATAGATACAAATGACTCTCTCTCTGGGCTCGGTGAAGATGTGCCTCCTTTTGGTTGTTTCAATTTTCAACTGCAGATTGTTAAACAACTGTTTTTGGTTGATTCATGTACTTGTCCTTTTGATGTTAGTGCTTGAGGCCTCCATATGGGGTGGTTTATCTTGCAACAAAGAAGAACTACGCGGGCTTGAACAACGGAGCAAGGCATCTAAGGAGCCTGGTAGATGAAGAGGGCGTTTTTGGAGCTCACTTAATCAAGGATTTGTCTGATAGATATATTTGGAAATTCTTTCACAAGTGATCAAAGATACTGAAATGCAATAGACTGCATAAGCCATTGGCCAACTAAAGCCAAATTCTTCTTTGACGTCGGTGTTCTGGTTCGCAAGCATTCTTTTGTTTTTTCCTCCCACATATAATTGCTTCTATTTTCTTGGCAAGTTACAATGGAGATCAAAAATTCAAAAGCTAGATAGCATTGGTCTATGGTCAGTTAGCGGATTGCTGCTCGTAATTCGTTCACGCTCCTGTTGATTTTAGCACGTGCAATGCACGGTTAATTTGTTGTAAATATAATTCTCTTGCTTATTATAAAACAGAAACACATTGATATTATGCATTAATTGAATTGAATTCCATAGTTTACATCGTCGTCATTTATCTTATTCCAGATTTCTAGCATTTTAAAATGTTCGTAACTATGAATTCAATGTTATTCTTTTTTCAGTTTGATTATCTTCCAGATAAGGTTTGATAATTTATTTTTAATATTTTTTAGCTGATTTCTATCTTGATAGTGATTTATAATATAAAAAATATTTAGCAATTCCAGTAAAACTATCATAAAATTTTATTATTATATGAGATTTATTTTCTATTTGTTCACTTTTAATTTTTACTACTTAATATTTTTAAGCTTGAAAAAGAACATAAAGTTGAATGAAGGTCCAGCGCATTCACCTACCATGAAAATGGGGTCTTAATATCAAGTAAAGACTTTCCATTACCCATAAAATTTAAGCACCAGCTAGCATCTTAAATGTTCGAATTCCAACCAATGTGGTGAAGAAAATCAACTATACAGTGAGTGACTGAGAATAGATTTTAGAAAGGTTACTGCCATGATTGACCCTATCTGCTCTGGTTTTCTGTCAGCCTTCTCCATACCATTCTTCCACAGTGGAATAAAGTCAGCATTGCAATGCAATATAGAAGAGGAATTCCAACAGTGCAACCCCCAGGCGCCAAGTTTACGAGAGTCTGATAAGCCAACAGCAAGAAGCCAGTGTCATAAATATAATTTTCAAAATTGCTTGGGAACTATATGAAGGATATGATTATGTAATTGCGGATTTACATCAGTGACTCGGAAGTTATTCAAATAGCGCAGCGCCAAATTTAAAGTGTGTCTGATGTAAACGGCAAGCAAACAGTGTCATCAATGATGATTTTGAAACAAATAAAAAAACCATCATTAACAAATGACAATGAGGTTCGAAATTGTTACTGATGATTCCAGTGTTTCATCAAAATTATCCAGATATAAATAGAAATCTACCGATTGAAAGTTCCACCATCAACAAAGAATGAGGACTCTGACAATTCAAGTGACCTGCAAGCTATCAAGCTGACTCACCATAGCCGTTTATTTTCGGAGGGGGGCAGCTGAATAAGGATGATTTCAGCTGTTACGATTCAGTATGTCTGTCTGTCTTAGAAATAATCTTATATCATTTGCTTTAATGTTAAAAATCTCTAGGAAGCTTGTTTTAATTGATTGAATTCCGGTCAAATAAGCAATAGCTTGTTCGTCTAGGCTTGATAAATAGACGAGAGGCTAAACTTACGCATTTGTGTTAAAGTTTAAACTTACGCATTTGTGTTAAAATTTGTTTATCTGGTCCTGTGTAAAAGACTGGTTTGAGACAAACGAGAGAAAAAAGATGGCCAGTTAAAAGCTACAGTTCAAGATATCTGGCATTAATCAGCATTTGAGGAGCAGGAGTTTACCACCATCCCTGCGACAAGGTGGACAATAGGAACGGAATATTGGTCCAGCTTGTTCCCCTCTGCGTATCCATTAAATGCAATGACCATTGAGAAAGTGTGAATCGTGACAAAGGCAAGAGCGATAATTGCTGCAACAAATCAATGGAACAGAACAAAGGGGTGAGCTAAACGAGGGAAAGAAATGAAATTTTCTTGTTAAAAATCTAATTCCATAAATTCAAATTTAAAAGAAAATATTGTTTATGAAAAGGAAAAAAATATTTTCGTTTTTTCTCTTCTCTTTTAAGTATACTCGAAGATCCCTCAGCCCATTGACTACTGCATTTAATGAAAGAAAGACGCATTCAAGCTTCATAAACAAAAGTTCTAAAAAATGTGAAGATGCAGAATCCCATGCAATAAAAATGTATATAAGCATCTACTGAGGAGAAAGTTCACCAGAAAGGAGAAAAAAAGGGCATCTGTGAGCATCTGTCGGAAAAATATGTAGCTGGACCAAATGCAGGAGTCAACAGGCTGAGGCAGAAGAACACAGCATGTGCCACGCCATGACCCAAGCCACCGGCTGCGAAGAACATGCATAAATAACGTTAAAAGAACTGATTATAATGAATGATATAGGTCATACTCCAATAGCCATAGAGATAGCATTTCAGCAAATGATTCCACATTCTCCTTGGGATAACATCCAATTAAATTCATGAAAGCAGTCAGTTAATTTCAAAATAAAGTCCTAAAAAAAATATTGACAAGTATCAGCTAGGTTCTGGGGACGGCTAAATAATATGATTAAAATAAGATCAGAAGACCTCCATATTCTTACCCAGAGCAATTTGCATCTTATCTGTCAGGGAAAGATGTGGCTTTGATACTCTGTCAGCAAAAGCATCTAAAATATCTTCCAGCCTCCTGAGCATAGATCAACAGAAAAAAGATTAAAACACACACACACACACACAACACATTAATATCTTCTAGCCTCTTGTGTTAGGCCCTCAACAGCTAAAGTAAAACTTTGTTGAATTTATTTATATTTATATATAATTATGCCAGATACAAAAGCGGTAATAATACACCTCAACATTGCCATATAAGAAAGTAGAGGTTTGTCACACTTTACATCATCCCATAATTATATCGTAACATCCTTTTCATTGAGAAAAAAGAACAACAGTTTTTCTGTAGAAGATGAATCATTTCAAAAATTCAAATAAAAAGTTCATTGTCAACTAGCACAGGCAACAAAAATAACAAGATCATTCAACATGAGGATGCCATCGCTACATATGGCTGTGGCCAGAAGGTAGAAACCATCAGCACGAAGTGAATAATAAAATAAGTTAAGAAACATAACGAAAGAAAGGCCAACATCTAAGCACTCGATCAGCTATGTTAGAATTTTCACAGCCGCACTTCTCGAAATCCATCAAGCTATGTCGAAGAAAACTTTAACAAAGTAAACATGACCCATCAGCCACTTTTCCAAACTCCGATGCAAAAAACGCATGAAATCCAAAATTTCAAGAGAGAGGGAGAGAGGGAGAGAGGGAGGGAGGGAAAGAGAAAGAAGAAGTGTAGCTAAGAGGGACCTTTGAAGCAATGCTAGGATTTCACAAATAAGAAGAAAATTATCTGCGTAAAATACAGAACCAAGGTAGCATTAATGCATGAGAATACTTCATAACAATATTAGCTTACTTGTAGACTTTCCAGAATAAAACACGAAGCCCTTCTTGGAAAGCAACAGACGTCAATATAAGTATTCCAAAGGGCCACCATGTCGTGGTTTTCAAAGGAAGGAAACCCCTCCATACTCCAGACAGCACAATCATACTTATAAGCCACACCAATGTACTATATACAGAAATACGAAAACACCACATCAGTATTAAGTACCCAACGTGCCTGAGATATTTTAAAACAGCAAGTCTCACGGTTCATCCCTGCCAAAGAAGCTCATTTTAAATCATTGTAGTAAAGAAAATAACGTATTCCAACAGAACAATCTCTCTTTTCCTGTCAATCAAGTTCGGAGGTCCAAAAGATAAAAGACATAGTTTTCTGGTTGACAATATTTTAGAAGTCTAAACATCTGATCAGCAATTTAAACGCTCAAAGCATATTCACTGGATAGGAAATTCAAATATCCCTTTGAATGCTCGGCTTTCTGACCAAGAAATTTTGTTAATAAAAAATGCGGGAATAAGAAAATCATTTTGTAACCTGGGAACTTCGGGGGAAAAGGGAGTAGCAAAGCAGGAAGTGGTATACTGAGCTCTTAGATATGTTTTAAGTCGTAACTTCTGTTTAGTCTCAACTTTTAAATGCCAGAGTTTAGCATAATAAGAAGAACCAAAAACAAAAAAAGCACAAAAAAAATGTGATAGAAAAATCAGCAGAAAGGGCGTACCTGGAGAGAACAGTGAGGATCAAGAAAGGCTTTTTGGAAATTACAGAGACGAAGAGGGAGAGAGACGGGCCTAAAGCTAGCAGAGCGTACCCGATTCCAGCCGCTAGCGTCATTTCGCCCGGTCACCGAGCAGAACCAGCCACCACAATCACCCACTCGCAAAGTCGCTGATTCAGAATCCCAAAGTCGCTGTTCTCGGCCAAGAAACTCGAGAGTTGTATGGTCTCCTTCGTCGGACGGGGTAGATAGCACCCAATCTTAACAACGACATTTTAGTTGACCTGATTGGGCCGACAATCCCGTTCTACCAATTCAGGTAGTCTCATCGGGCGAGAGGCCCAAAATCTTTGTTTTGTCCAAAATAATAAAGAGAACAACTGATTTTGTGTGAGCAAAAAAAACCAAGGATGAAATTTTGTGTTTTTCTTGATTTGTTTTGAATGAAACCGTAATTCCACAAATAAGCTGCCTCAGATGTTACTTTCGAATTTATGACAAATTAATTTCACTTATACATTAAGATTACCTTCACATCACGTTAATGCTTCTTAGCAGCGTGTTAATGTTGTTTGCAAGTAACACCTGATGGCAGCATATTTGTGAAATCAAAGACTATGTGCCTTGAATAGTTGGTGGTCAACATAATAAGTTGAGCAGTAGCCGGTTATTAAATATTGATAAGCCCTTGATGATATTACCTTAAACTCGCTACTTATTAATATTGATGCACGAGGGCAATCAATGAATTTGCTTTCAGTAAAGTAGATACATAATGTGTTTAATGTTTATTAATTGCAACGCGTGCGTTTAGTGTTTGTGTGTAAAGGGGAAAATGAAAAAAAAAAAATGGCAAGGGGAAAAACTGTGGGTCAGATTATTCTGAACAACGTTTGGCCAAAAAAAAAAAGATTATTCTGAAAACGATCCTCTGGAGGAGCATGTAGCTTTTGAAGGCCATACGGAAGGGACAAACAGTAACAGAGCAGAGGTTAAAAGAGGATCACGTCCCATTGAAGCAAGGAAGGACCAAAAAAAAAAAAAACTCTCCCGCCAATTGCGGGCACTTCATATAAATATGGGCAACTGTCAGCAGAAGTGCCATCTATAGTCGATGTAAAGGATGAAAAAATAGCCAGTCCCCTGGAGTGAGAGACATCAGAGCACAAATAAGGAAGAATTATAATAAGGTTTCAAAAAACGAAAATAGTTATCAGTAAATCTTAATGATAAGTGCTCAAATATTTTCTATACAGATATTCTGTTATTATTAGAATTTTTTAGTAATTATGTTTCTTGTTTGCAAACGCCGCCGTCTCTGTTTATGTGTAAATAGGCCTGTTTATATATATATGGATCCATCAGCGTCCCGCGGTCACAAGAATTTATCAAAGAAGCTCGAAGGTGGTAGTGTCAGGGTATTTGCTCTTCGTGGTCATACAGACTGTGGCAAACTTGATCCTTCTCTGGGAATAGCCCCAATGGAAAACTCCGGCATCTGGGAAACAGCACAGTAGCAAGTAGGGACAAATGATATGTATAATCACCAAATGATAATCACTGACGTCAAATCTACATTTCCATACATCGTTTATGCAGTGAGCTCTATCATTGGCTTAATCCTTATGATGGACCATTTTGAAAGGTTGGATTATGTAGATAAACAAGCATAATTCATTAAATAACTACTTATTAGAACAGTCAAACATTCATATCAACCACAGGTTAGCCTAACCAATTGAATTCGACGGTCAATTGCGCGCAGTTCTTCGTCTTTACCTGAAATCTTATGTATCAGAGCAACTTTCAGATTAATTGCACGGTTTGCACGTCAAGCAATTTAGAATCAATAAACCAACCTTTCAAAATGGTCTATTTTCACGGCAAAGTGATAAAAGAATCAGCAACACAAAAAGTATAAACTTAGAAGGCAATTTGAAAACAGCTTCTTCCCCCTGCCTCTGACCCCTATTATTGGACGGCAAAGGCAAGGTATTATTAACAGCACCATACTCCAAATAGTCAGCTGATTATTATATAACGAATCAAGTGACAAAAAAAAAACTCCCGAGTCCTTCATATCATATATCTTCCCTTTCCCCAAAAATTAAACCTTTCGTCAAGGACAGAACCACTCGCCTTGGTCAGTAAAGGGGGAAATACTACTTCATTTTCACTTGACAAAATTAATGCCTTGGTTTCCTTCTCGTGGTTGAAACTGTGGAGAATTGACATTTTCTGATTTGTACCCATTACAAGTGCCTCGCATTGGTTCTTTATCCGGTCATAAGGTACAGGTGTTGAGGAAATGGGTATATCTGCAATTTGCTTGGCTGTCTCCAAAACCTATACATGCAATAATTCTCATTGTATCACTAAGATAGAAAAATAGTCTCCAGGAGAAGTATGCAAAAATGATTCAAATACTATAACATTTCAATCAGCAAGATTCTCAAAACAAATAAAACAAAATCACATTTTACCGATTCTAAGAGTTGATTTACGCTTTTAACATCAGGGCAATTACTAGAGACTGATGTTTTATGATCTGAATGAAATCGAGTTGATTCAGGCCCAGTCTCTTCATCTGTTGAAGCAACTGGAGTCGTCATCTGGAACCAATCATCAAACTTGTCAAACAAAGAAGTTTTCGAGAACCATTTAGCATGGAAGCAGTTTTCAGGATATTACTGCATCGAAATCTTGAAACTCAATCTCAGCAACAGGAAAGCACGGCCCTGTTGTCTCCATAAACAGAGGAGCTCCCCGCGGATATGCATCATCAGGTAAAAAACCCTCTGCAAGTTGCTTCTCTAAGTGAAATAACTCATCCTGCCAGCAAAGACTGGTTTAAGAGAGAATTTTAAGAACAAATGTGGGAATGTAACACTGGAACTTGTATTAAAAACATAAAATCATATGTCAGACACTTGAGACAACAGCAAATATTTAACTACTCAGATTCCATTAAATACTTGATCAGATAGTTGATTCATTGTTTTATGAACTTGTACATCTCTCCTGCTTCAAAATCAAAAGTCTATTGGTGGAGCAGGTATTAATTAACATGTCACTTTAGTTAATATAAATGAAGTAAACTAGATGATCATTTGCCCCTTGCTCCAATCCTGCTACCTTTTCCCTTTGGCTTATATTATTACCCTCCTACTTTTGCATGTAATCTCTTTCATATGCTCTTTAGCTTTTGTGCTATCCCTTTATTTAACGGCTGTGAAATAGAGAATAAGAAAGCCCCAGTTGTATGTGAATATGTCACACGCCTAATTAATCAATTATTCAGGCTCAAACGATATTATTTGTTGGTCAAAGCATATCAGACTATCAGAGTATCCTGTGATGAACCAAGAAAACAGTATGTGGAAGAGTTTCGTTCTGGGTTGGCATGCCCACTCACATGTTAAAAAAACTGATGGCTTATCCAAGTAGCTCTTTCTTTGATTAGATAGCTCCTCACACAGAAGTTTAAGTCAATCCTCAAACAAAATTAACATAACATATCCACTTATCGGAGAAGAAACTCAACAATCAAACATTAAAAACTCGGTTGAATATTAAATTCACCAATTCATCGACTTCAATGAGATCATGATTGGTTCATATGCTGAATCCCCATCCAATGAAAAGCTAAAACAGCATGAGGGCTGCTTTATAGTATTCCATATGACACGTCCCATTTGGGAAGCTAAGCAAAAATAGAGATTTTTCACGTTACCTCCGACAAATTTGCAAATTTAGTCATTAAGTTTGATGTCACAATCTCTTTCAACTTCTTGTCATCCAATCCAACTGCAGAAAGTGATTCCATGGCAGCAACTTGATCTTCCAGAGATCCATAAACTACCTTCTCTGACTCTAAACAAACAGCCTGCAGCCAGATATCATTGACTAACTCAAGAGAGGGATCTAGCTGTTGATTTATGAGTTTAATCAATTGACAAATTATAGCCCCCAAATAAATAAATAAATAAGTGAAAGAAAACAAAGAGAAATTTTCAAAAGGAAGGTGAAGAGGTTGGGTGAAGGAACTAACAGTAGTCTCTGTAATCGATGCTTTCACCATTGGAACTAGATCAGGAAAATTGACTGCCCTGGCAGAAATTATGAGCATGTATGTTCCCAAGGTAAACAGAGACCTCCTCTGAGATGGTTGTAAACCTCCTGAAACAAGCATAAAGATAAACACACCAGAAAAAGTATTTCAATTAATAAGTTTTGGTTGTTGTAGAGCATCTAACTTTACGCATAGATAAACATTGATAATGTATAATGAAGCATGGAATTATGTAAACCAAGTAGGAGAACTTAAACTTGATTTATTTAAACTACCATCAAAATTCTAGAAAGGGCTGCAAACCAAAAAGATTGTCCACCAATATCCCAACTTACCTTGCTCCAAAGAGAAGCTTCTGATGGAAAACGCCAGTTGGAAACATCTTACTAAAGCCAAATAATTGGATGGCTACAGGAAGCAACAGTAAAAAAAAAAAAATGAAACTCCAGTAATTTTGAAACGGGAAATTTAAAGTAAACTATGAGAAATGACTGAAAAAAAGGAGCAAGTCATAACGCATTTCCAAAAATAATCATGGTATTTTGTATAAAACACAATCTCACCTTTGAACAGGTAAACAATAGAGCGATGTTATAAGTGTGGGCCATAGCCTCAAAATTTGCAGGGCCATTTTCTATGGATGTTGCTTGAATCCAGATTGAAGAAAGCAAGAGACTCACTTGGTGACTGCTCAACCGAATAGAACTAAGCTCCTGAAAAACAATTGTTTATTAGAGCCATAATGAATTTCAAAGAAATTAGAGAAAGAAACTACAAAGCCAAATGAATTACACCTCTTACGTCATTGAAATCAAAGCATAACAAACAAAACTTTTAGCAGGATGAATACCTCAGCAGCCCCAACATCCCCACCCAAACAAAATATCACTAAGGCAAAAAAAAAATAAATAAATAAATTTAACATGTATAATAGTTCAATTGATGATTAAGAAAACTTCTTACTTTATAATCAGTGAGAGCACAGCTAAAGCTGTGACCAGGATACAGATACAATGCATGTTTACTGTCGTCCCCTTCCTTTGTCTTTCTTTCAGGTTCTGCTTCAATAAGGCTCGCATCCTCAATGGAGAAGCTTTCACACTGTACATTCTGAGGTGGCATTCTTTTCTGGTTTAACTGGGTAGAGAAGAGGCATGGAATAAGCACTGCAGAGAATATACTATGTGCCCCAACTCGTGTTTCATGGTCTGGATGGGTCATTGACCGGAGCAACTGATGAAATAGAGAGTCAGGGAAAGCCTGGAAAAGAAAAGTTTACCATTAAGTTTAGACAGTTCTGCGAAAGCTGAGCATGCAGAAAAAGACCTTTTTGACTCTATGGAACAACACTGACCTTTTTGTGATAAGATAAATTAGGGATGGAACTTATCAACCTCGCTGTTTGATGAACAGCTGACATTGTTGTTTTTGCTATAATGGCACTAGCTGATATATTCTCTAGCACCACAGCCATCAAATCAAGAATGGGTCCTATATCACCAACCTGTTGTTCAAAAAATGTTAAACAAAAGTAAGTATTACAAGAATGACTCAACATTCCGTAGCCAAATACTTTGCTTCCTCATAAAAGCATGTTTGTACATCCAGGAGAAGGAAGAATCGATGTCCTCCTTTTTTACACTCATTAGTAAGGAGAGGTTTTGCTTAGATGTGGATGCAAGCAATGAATTATGAAAATACCGATCTGTTGAAGTACAGGACACCTCTCTTTGGTTCTGGCATTACTGGATTCATGAGCAAGTTTATTTTTTCTATCACCTACCAAATGGGGATACCTTGTTTTCCTCTCTTTCTTTTTTTTTTTTGGACACCTCTCTTCTTTCTAATAATTATCAACCATAGAGAACATATAGTATTTGATGCTTACCTTACTTGAGAGTTGCAATATGCACATTTCTAAGGCATGCTGTAGATTAGCATTCTGCTTATATGCATCATTTGCGGTGCTGGATGATTGAATTAAACTTTGCTTGCACTTCCTTAAATGTTTAATGAGGTCAGATATCGTGCCAATTATTGCATTTGAAGCCGGCTGCTCCACATTTTGTGCAAGCCGTGTGGTGGCATTAATTATATCAATCTGTGGAATAGGTTGCTTGGCGACATTCTTATGATCCAAGTGCTTGATCAAAGAGGAAAACAGAAGATGCGAATTATCTCCTGGAGTTCAAAAAGTGATAATTAATTGCAGAAGTGAGAATAAGTTAGAATAAAATTTGTTTCAGTTAGGGCACTGCATGCTCAAGGTTACCTGACTCCGCTAAAAGGGATTGTAAATACGATAAAACATGAAAAGCAACTCCTTTTTCTGGAGACCAGTAGTTTTCAGCATCAAAATTATAGAAAAGAGGTTCAAGGACATGCCGCACAGTTGTAGCTTCCTTTGCCAATTTGGCCATGTTACACAAGCAAACCTTTGACCAATGAGTAGGATCCTTGGTAGTATCCCTGTAACAGTGAACGCATAAAGGCTGTTTCTTGGATCATGAATGATGAATTTTCAAAAGAAGTGACGAGAAGAAGAGTAAGAGTATGCTTAATTACTTCATTGAATCCATTTCAGTTCCCATTACAATCTTCGGAAATGAAAGATCCTTCTTACTGGTATCTGGTAAGGAAAGCAGACGGTCTCCTTCTTGAATTCCCTGAATCTGCTGGTCCAGAGACTGTGGATGCAGCTTCCCTTCCTTGGCATGGTTGTGTTCAATTGGGGAATTCAAGAAATTCTCCAAAGTCACGGATATGATCTATTTCAGAACACACCAAGGCAATCAACAGACAAAAAATAAACAATTAGAATGATGACAGATGTCTTTGACAGTGGCTAAAAATTCAAGCGATTCTGAAGACCCAAATTTCTGTGAGAAAATACCAAATTCTACGCATCTCTTTATGTCATTGTCTGTATCAATGGACAGCAATTGAAAGAGTGAAAGTACAAAACAACACTCATTGTCTGTATCAATAGACAGCAATTGAAAGAGTGGAAGTACAAAACAACACTCACTTGGTCAAAGTCCATTGAAAGATGTGAGTGTTCACCCATGAATTGCACCTAGTCACAGGGGAAAAACTGTGGGAAAGAAGAGAAGACAACTACAAGAGAAGGTACAAGTTGCCTTGTAAATCACACAAAAAAACAAATGGCAAAGTAAATAAATTCATCAATTCATTCAGCTTCTAAACTCACGGGAAAGAATAAGTAACTACTGGAAGAAATAAAAATTGAATTAGAGACGGAAGACATACCATAAAGGACAGAGCTTGTAATGCAGCTGAGCGTAGGCACATAACTCGTTCATCTTGTCCCACTTCTTGAGCCAGTTGGCATAATTTAGGGATGAGGCCTTCTAAGTTGAACATATATGTACTATCCATCTACTTTTAATTGAAAAGATCAGTATCATTTGACAAGAACAAGAAGAACTCAAGTTTTACGCATCAAGAAGACTTTTTCCCTTAAAAATGTGTACATGACAACAAAATGCAATATACAGAAAGGATCTAGGACTAGGATACAGTTAATAGCACAAATATGTTACAGTTCCCACCCTGATTTACTAACTGAAACTTATCCACTTCAACCAAAACCGACAACTTCCAATTAGAGACCTAGAAATTTGAATCAATAAACTTCTTGGAATGGTGGTCAAGCTCCTTACAACATGCACAAAAGCTACCCCTAAAATGATGTCATCTATAAGGTTTAGTCAAATTGATTGGAGGAAGGCTTAATAACCATGTACCTGGCAATTTATAAAGTCAACAAGGGTATTGCAACCTATGATTCTCATTTCATCTGTTCGAGTTTGTTCTAAGAGAGTCTGGATGATAACTAATAAACCATTAGCAAAAAGTGGCCTGCAAGATGAAGAAATAAATGTGTATGTCATCACAAATTTAAAATAGCAGTATGTAGCAATTGAAACATTGAAAGGAAACGAACAAAGACTTAGAGCACGTTTGGTAGGCTGAAAATCTATCTCTGGATAGATAATAAAAATTACACTCTCCGATACTACTTCAGTATGAATTTATAATGGCTGTAAATTGTTCGATTTGTACTCACCAATATGAATCCAACAGAACTTTCAGGGGTTCCTAGACAACATCATTTCGTATATTCAGAAATGTAATATAGATGGTGAAGCTTAAAGAAAAACAATGTTTCTCATTGGATTAAGAATCAGGAGCACAGTGCTGAAGCAGTGGTTGCAAATGTTTTGAGACACAACTTCATGTAAATTTTAAGTGCTTGATAATTTTCTACTAGCGATTGAACTGTTAGTTTTATACAGCTTGATAGAAGTGAAAAGTATAGGTCAAACTGATGTAGTTATATAAATTAACTACACCCCTGTGTTTTCCAGCCATGTTTAGATATTTTAAAATAGGATCAGCTATCAGTATGTCTAACATCTCAGTCAGTTTCCCGCTAGATGGGCACCAAATTAGCTCTTTTTACTTAATAAGATGCGTTCAGCTCATATCTAGTTAAATTATGGCCATTTAATGAGGCTGGGATCAAAGATCATTACAATCCAAGGGATATGGAGTTAAGTAATGCGCCACCAAACTTACATCTGCTCCTTACATGATGATAACATTTTCCTGTAGATGCACAAGACAACTTTGACTGAACCAAAGTTTTCATTTCGCAAATTCTTGTAGCACCTTTGCTCCAGACTATCTGAAATCTGCAAAGATAGAGAAGAAGAAAAACTCCAAAAAAAGTCAACTAAAATTTGTCTTCCAGCAGTATATAAACAAACCAGTGTTGTATAAGATAGACAACAACTTAGACATGAAACAACCTTTGCAAAAAACGAAAAGAGAAAAGTCCTTAAAAATCTAATCAATCATGATTGACAACTAAGGGCAGATGCGTCAGTAGAGGTTTAAAAGAAGCCCAAAGAACAAAACACTTGCTCAGTTCTTAAGTTTTTATCCTTGTTGTCAATATGATCACATAGAAATTTAATTCCTACATGTAGCAAAACTAGATCAGCACAAAGATAGCTTCTAAAAAAATTGTAACCTTGGGGATTCTTAATGGATTCTTAGTAGCATATTCGCATAGCTTCCCAATTTTCCTATCATTAGGTTCAGCATCCTGCCAAACACAGAAGTATAACAGAGATGAGATCTTTTTGTTTTGTTTTTTTGTTTTTTTTTTTTGTTGAAGATGCAAAGAACGGAAAGGTGCTCCAAGCATTGTAAGTCAACGTTCAAACTGTTTTACTACATAAGAGATCATATTATTCAAAAATAATGATGCACTCGCCACTTACAACAGCAGTAGCAAATCTCAGCATGTCTCTACCCAGAAAGGATTGCAAAAGAATTAATATATGCAAATAGGGTGTTAAATTAAGTGCAAATTCCAGAATTAAATAACACACTGAACTCGACAATGGTAAGATACTTGAGCGGCATGTTTTAAATAAAATTGCTCTAGCCTCCAGCAATTTAAAAAACCATCTCATGAATACATAACTTCCACCTGAAGAAACTAATATGTGATAGACATAAGAATAAATGCTACAATGAATTGAAATAAGATTTTTATTTTGGTATCAAATACATGGTAATACCAACTACTCCAAATTCAAACATTGTTAAGAAAGTGCCAATTACCCTGTTAAGTAAGACCTTCAACAATAACATCCACAGATTACGCATGAAGTGAAAAGATACACCTTGAGCTCAAAATTTTACCTGATTACGTGGGAAAATATCAGCTAGCAATTTCTTGTAACGTTTGACTGGTTGTCTTGACCTTGGCCGTAGAGAAGGACAACAGAAACATAGGTTGCCACAGGCGGGCACAACCCGCCGCGACATGACCCCCATAATCTATAGAATTACAAGCACTACCTGCAAATTCATTAAGAATAGAGTTAAAAAGCGGCTCCACCACCATAGTTTCTATTACTTCCGGGACTTCAGTCAACATGGTCCTTCCAGAAATCATATCAGTTGGAGCTGAATCCGCAGCCCATATATTTCTTCAAAGTTATTGATATATGCATTATTCTGGTAATATGTTTTATAGTAATAGTAACCGTGAGTGAAAAGGTAAATTCCTGAATAGTTAGTTAGAAGAGAGAGAATAAGTGGGTGTCGTGCCTTGAGGTTGGAATATATAAACTATGTACTGCCCGATTTGGTTTCTGTTGAATGAATATACTATTTCTCTCCCTTTGCTCCTATCATTAAAGGTATCAGAGCCGTTCTCTCCGGCCGTATGGCACCGCCGGAGACTCGATCCTCGACTGATCGTCTGGGTGACATTGAGCGTCGGTTAGACCAGCAGCAAACCATCCTTGATTCTGTCACCACTCGTATGGACCAGCAATCATCGGATATCGCCGACCTGAAAGTGACGTTACAGGATATATCCACCAAGCTATCCAACCTTCATTCTCCGTCTGCAAAACGTCCGGCGTCTGCCGATGAGGTTTCCCAAACGCTTGTCTCTCCCCGCATGCCTGCTTTTGGTTCATTCCATGAGCTGCACAACTCTGGGTCTTCTTCCAGCTACTCGATTGCCACAAAACAGAGCCGCGTTGAGTTTCCGAAGTTCGACGGCTCTGATTTCCGCGGGTGGGCCTATCGAGCTCGCCAATTTTTTGAGGTAGATGGCACACCAGCTGACCAACGCATTCGTCTCCTGAGCATTCACCTTGAAGGTCACGCGTTGCGGTGGCATCAAACCTTCATGCGCCACCGCCCCTTTGCTGATATTTCCTGGGCCGAGTACTTCAGGCAAATGGAGATTAAATTCGCCGATGTGCGAGATGAGCATCCTCTCATTACACTAAAGAAGCTTCAACAACTCTCTGCTTCAGTTTTCGAATATGAGCAGCAGTTCGACGAGCTCCTATCGGAAGTTGACGTTCCTGAACCCGTAGCTATCAATCTCTTTATTGGAGGTCTTCGGCCTGATATACAGAAGTTCGTCCTCAACTTCGCTCCATCTACCTTGTCAAGTGCAATGTCGACTGCCCGTTTGCAGGAATCGACCATTCACGCTCTGCACGAGAATGCACCGGCGTCTTATCGCCGTTCGGTCCCTCCAACAGGGAGTTCTACGTCTGGGTTTCAAACGGGTTCTGCATTGGGCCCAAAAATAAGCCCATCCGTGGATGCTACAGGGTTCTCCAAACCCAAATCCGTGTATCAGTCTTCAACCCAACCAAGCATCTCTGCAGCGGCTTCCTCTTTCCCGACTACTAAATTACCCGTTTCTGCCAAACCCACCCGCCAACTATCGAAACGGGAAATGGATGACAGGCGTCGGAAGGGGTTATGTTACTGGTGTCCAGAGAAGTTTGCTCCAGGTCATCGCTGTAAGGAGTCGCACTTGTTCACGTTGGTGATTGATGAAGATGATGAGCATTTTGAGGATGCCATAGGGGTCGCCCAGATTGATGCAGAAGGGTCGATCAATGCTATTGAAGGGGATGACAGGGCTCCTACTCTGAAACTTATGGGCCAGATTAAAAACCAAAAGGTGATCATTCTAGTAGATACCGGGAGCACGCACAATGTGCTGCACACTTCGGTTGCTAAGCGGCTCCAATTGAAACCCCTGGAACGAAAAGCCATTCGGCTCACTGTAGCGGACTCACGGCAGGTAACTGTTTCTAAATGTTGCCCAAATTTGTCTTGGGATATGGGCAACTCCACCTTTGTTGCTGAATTTTTAGTAATGAAAATTGGTGGTTATGACATGATTCTGGGCACCCAATGGCTGAGAACTATAGGTCGTTTTACTATGGATATTGATTTGCGGTTATTTGAATTCACTTATGGGGGCAAGAAAATTGAGTTACGTGGTTTAGGGTATGCACCCTCTCCTGTCATCACAGAGCTCTCTTCAAACCATGATATTCTTACTGCTGCATGCATTTTTCTTTTGAACACGTCATCCTCCTTACACGTCGGGTTGTGTAATACTTCCCCACTTCCAGAAACGTGTCAACAGGAATTACTCCGGTTATTGGACACCTACGCTGATATTTTTGATGAACCAAAGGAACTGCCCCCTTCAAGGCCCTATGACCATGCTATTCCACTTCATAATGAGAAGCCTATTAGTTGTCGACCTTACCGATATGGTCCTGCACAGAAAACAGAAATTGAGAAGCAAGTTCAAGAAATGCTTCAGCATGGTATTATTCGAGAGAGTTCCAGTTCTTTTGCAGCTCCAGTAGTTTTGGTACAGAAGAGGGAAGGTACTTGGAGATTCTGTGTTGACTACAGAAGACTAAACGAGGCTACAATAAAAAACAGATTTCCTATACCGGTCATTGAGGAATTGTTAGATGAGTTAACTGGTGCAGTTTACTTCTCTAAGCTTGATTTACGGTCTGGTTATCACCAAATTAGAATGAAGGGGGAGGATATTCCTAAGACAGCTTTTAGAACTCATGAGGGCCTGTATGAGTTTCTTGTGATGCCCTTTGGGCTTACAAATGCACCGGCTACATTTCAAGGACTCATGAACTATGTCTTTAAGGCATTTTTAAGGAAATTTGTTCTAGTTTTCTTTGATGATATACTCGTTTACAGCAAGAACTGGAACTCCCATATGGAACACTTGGAGCTGGCTTTATCCACCTTAAGGCAACATAAGCTATTTGCAAAAAATTCTAAGTGTATTTTTGCTGCCACCCAAATCGACTATTTGGGTCACATAATTTCTGCACAAGGAGTACAGGCTGATCCTAAAAAACTTGCAGCAGTCTCATCATGGCCTGTCCCTACTAATCTCAAGGAGCTGCGTGGTTTCTTGGGCCTTACGGGATATTATAGGCGATTCATTCGCAATTATGGAGCAATTAGCAAACCTCTTTCTGATTTGTTGAAGAAAGATGTACCTTTCCATTGGTCTACTGAAACTAATGAGGCTTTTCTCTTGCTGAAACGACTCATGATGTCTCCACCGGTGTTGGCACTTCCAAATTTCCAAGAACCTTTCATAGTAGAAACAGATGCTTCGGGCACAGGATTAGGGGCTGTTCTTTCTCAACATGGACATCCAGTGGCCTTTGCTAGCAAAGTTTTGCCCACTAAGAAGAGACCGCTTTCTGCATATGAGAGAGAATTATTGGCTATTATCTTTGCTGTCAGGCAATGGCGCTCTTACTTGTGCAGCCATAAATTCATTATTAAGACAGATCATCTTCCACTTAAACACTTGTTGGAGCAGCGAGAATTAAATCAAGATCAGTTTAAGTGGCTTCATAAATTGTGGGGCTTGAATTATGAGATTGTTTATCGAAAAGGTAGTGAGAATGCAGCTGCAGATGCCTTATCTCGGCGTGTTGATGGATCCTGTTTGGCTTTAACTAGACCTGTTTCTCCACTTTATGAGAAGGTTCGGGACTCTTGGCTAACTGATGATCACCTTCAGAGATTAATTTCAGATCTGGAACAGGATCCTACCTCCCACAGTAAATATACTTGGCAGCATCAATTGTTAAAACGCAATGGCAGATTGGTGGTGGGTGCGGATAGGAACCTTCGTCGTGACTTGCTGACATTTTTTCATGAGGATAGCATTGGTGGGCACTCTGGACAGCACTCTACTTTTGTGCGTATTTCTTCCTTCTTCTATTGGAAGGGGTTAGAGAAGGATGTTAGAAACTTTGTTCGTGAATGCACTACATGCCAACGCTTTAAACCAGAATTAATCGCTTCTCCAGGGTTAATTCAGCCTCTCCCAATTCCGGATCATGTGTGGACAGACCTCTCCATGGATTTTATTAGTGGCCTTCCCAAATCCTATTCTAAATCTACTATTTTTGTAGTAGTTGATAGACTCTCAAAGGCAGCCCATTTCATGGCTCTCAAACACCCCTTCACTGCTGTTGATGTGGCACAAATTTTTCTAGATAATGTGGTTAAATTACATGGGTTCCCCAAGTCAATTGTGTCGGATTGAGATCCTATTTTTTGTGGAAAATTTTGGAAGGAGCTGTTTAGGTTATATGGGGTTAAACTCCAATACTCTTCAGCCTATCATCCTCAAACGGATGGGCAAACAGAAGTTTTGAATCGTTGCTTGGAATGCTATCTTCGTTGCATGACTGGAGATTTTCCTAAACAGTGGGTTAAATGGCTGCCTTTAGCTGAACTTTGGTATAATACTACTTACCACTCTTCTATTGGCATGTCCCCTTTTGAGGCTGTTTATGGGGTTGCACCGCCGGTCCATTTACCTTATATTGCGGGGGACTCTTCAAATGATCTAGTTGACCGCACTTGTCTGTCCAGGGAACTCGTTTTACAGCTCCTTAAGCAACACTTACTGAGAGCACAGCATAGGATGGTTCAGCAAGCTAACAAACACAGATCTGAACGTTCTTTCAATATTGGGGACAGGGTCTATCTGAAATTACATCCTTTTCGACGGAATTTGCTGAACAATGCTTCCCTCCACAAGCTTGCTGCCCGTTATTTTGGGCCCTATAAGATAGTGAAGAAAATAGGGGCTGTGGCTTATGAGCTTGAGTTGCCAGCAACCACACGCATTCATCCTGTTTTTCATGTTTCACTTCTCAAGAAACATGTCGGTCCAGAGGCCCCTCTTGCCCCCTCTCTGCCACCTATTGATAATCAAGGCCACTTTATGCTGGAACCACAGGAGATTTTGGGCCGAAAAATTGTTAAACGAAACAATGTCCCTGTTACTCAAGTCTTGATTCGCTGGAAATTCTCTCAACCTGAGGATGCCACTTGGGAAGATTTATCTCTTATTCAGCAGCAGTTTCCAGATTTTTCTACCACGGCGCCTCCTACTAGGACCATCCTTGTGGACAAGGATTCTTTTGAAGGGGGGGAGTATTGATATATGCATTATTCTGGTAATATGTTTTATAGTAATAGTAACCGTGAGTGAAAAGGTAAATTCCTGAATAGTTAGTTAGAAGAGAGAGAATAAGTGGGTGTCGTGCCTTGAGGTTGGAATATATAAACTATGTACTGCCCGATTTGGTTTCTGTTGAATGAATATACTATTTCTCTCCCTTTGCTCCTATCAGTTATCATAAAGCGATGGTCAAAGAATTCCGAGAAAAACGATTTCAAGGTTTTAGAAATAAAAAGGAGATTAACATTATACTGAATTGCAACCAAAATCCCCCAAAAACAAAAAAAAGCTCCCAAGCAAGAATAGAACACGCCCCCATTCGAATTATATAAATACTATTCCTTCGCAAAATTAAGCATCTCCAACAACGACCACGACAAGAGAAAAAGCCATGATGTCAGAAGAGAAAAACCAGACAACACAAATCCAGTCAATTGCCAATTTTATCAAAATTCCATGGAACTGAACGAGGAAATAATAACAGCGCCACCTTCGGACTTTAGGCTTCAGCAACCCTCTCCCCGCCGTTTGTTTGTTTGAGCCGGACATTAATATGGAAAATAACATTTGAATAAAATACAGTTTATGTATAAAAAAGGAATAAAATACAATGTGAGCAACGTATAGAAAGTCTCATTGTCAAAGAAAATTTCTGATTCATATATTTGGCCAACCAATATATAAGTGTGTTTATATGATTTCCAATTTTGTAGCTTGATCTCGTAGTGTTGGCCAAAAAAGCTTCATCTCGTAGTGACAAATGACAAAAGAATCTGACTGTCCCGAAAATCAAGGGTCTTTTGACTCTAGAAACGGTATAACGGATACAAACGGTAGTTACTTTTTTTAGTGGATAAAATAAAGTTCCTTAACCCTTTGCTCTTTTGACTTTTATGAATGTTCCTTTTCCCTCCCACCCTTTTCCTCAACTCGTTACCTAGTTCATTTGGTAAATCATTTTTTTCACCGAAATTAATTCTATGACACAATTCTAATTTTGAGAATATATTTGCCCAAAAGCTTTCATATGCTTATCATTTTTTATAATTAAAAGTGACAGTTAAATGTTCAAGATTTAAAATATATAAGACATTGTTTTATTTTAAATATTAAAAAAAATATACCTTAATTTTCCAAACAAATTTTTTTTTCTTACATTGTTTTAATTTAAATATTAAAAAATATGGGTTAATTTTCCAAAAGAGGAAAAAAACTTTGGATCAGCCTTCAACTCAAGTTGGAGTGAAAACCTTTCGGGTTTATTTGTTCGGTCAAAGTTATGAGATTAGATGATCTTCTCTGAACTATACCACGACCACTACCATGATTACTATCACAACTACAACTACCACTACTACCACTAATAGCTTTATAGTTCCTTGGAAATATGGAAAAAATTAAATATTTTAAATAAAACATGTTATATCACGAAACATGCAATAAATTCTTATAATAAAGAGCAGCAGCGGTACTTTTCTCCTTGTTTTAACCTTGATCATTTTGTTTAGTTTAAAGTTTGCAAAACTCGGTTTGAACAAATATATGATTTGTTAAAAGTTTAATGTAACGTGATCCATGCTTCTACTTTATTTTTCAATTGATGGGGGTTGTTGATTTCTCTTGTCCCAGCGCTTCAATCTTAGCAAGTTAAATTGGCGAAGCCGTTCTTTGTTTTGCATTCACAACCGGGTGTATCGATTGGCTGCTACAAATGTGGCTTCCCTCATTAAAGTCCAACAGGAAAGCACGTTCAAGTTGCATTGAGGGGAACTGGCGCTTGAGAAAGAATTATGTTTGTGAAACATGCTTTAGGAGGAAGCCAAACATGCTAGATTAGGGAAATGCGTTTTGTAAACTTAACTTCGTTATTGAACTTGAGAACCTGCTTCAACCTTTGTTCCCCTGGTTATTGCAGGAATAAAAATCCAAACAAAAAACTACAGCAATCGAGTATTCAATATAGGAGGAAGGAGCAGAGTTATCCGACATTAATGTCTGAGCACCGGAAACACATGTCTTCACCACTTCCACCAACACAAAGTCTAAACCATCTTTTCTCGTCAGGGTTTGAGGAAGCGCCCGAAGCACGATTATCATTAGTCAATTTTTTCGTTCATGATGGGAAAAAAATACTGGAAATAACAGTAGATCGGAATCCGGGTTTGGAAGAAAGTCTTCGGGCCCGTTTCCACAGATACATTATTAGTACTTCTACATTGGTATCGTCGTTTGTCATAATATGGCCTGTGGCTTTGTGATTGCGTCTCTTCCTTGAGGAGAAGGAAGGACAGATAAACAGAATGATATCTTTCTTTAGGCCAATAATGAACAAAACAACATCCGTCACGCATAACTAACATAACTAAAAATTGTCCCCACAGCAACCTCTTGAAGTGAAAAATCATTTGTCTAGGGGGATGGGGATTCTAATCCGGTAATTCCCCCATTTTTCAAACCCCCCCCCCCAAAAAAAAAAAAAAACTCATTTGTCGAGAGTAACCCCGACACTTTCGAAACTTGGATAGATATGGTAAGAAAAGAACGAAGCTTGACCCAGATGTTTATCTAATACAAAATGAAATCATATGAAACTAGCAGTAGTTTGAGATAAAAACACTTTCTGACTGATCACTTATCTCTAATGCCTCAGCAAGGTAACTCTTTCCTGCAGCTGTCAGAGCCTTAAAGATTCCGATAGACTCTCTGCACACTCCCACAACTTTCTGTGTTCAATGTGAATAATTGGTCCAAGACTATGATCATGTGCTTTTAAAACAAATCATCCAACCGCTCCCCTCCCCCCTTTTGTTATTTGAAATTTCCGAATTGTTGAACGAAACATCCAAACGAAAAGTGTTGCTATCTAATCTTTCACAATTAATTTCCAAATTATTTTGAATATCCTACTCTTAAAATTTTGAAACGAAAAATAACCTCACCACTTTTAGTTTCTACAGCGACGCTATCTAGTTGAAATCCCAAAAACAACGCCCCAAATTTTTACCCAAAAAAAAAAAACTTACTCATGGTCGTAAGCCACCAGGCAATCTGTCGACTCCGGCAACCTCCACACCGGCACGTTTGACGGAGTCGAACAGCGGTAAGACCATCATTCGATAATGAACCGGCCGGGATTGCTCTTCAAGAACGTCAATTTCCACCGCGTTGACCCCAATTTCTTTGAGGCGGAACCCTAGCTTCTCGCCGACCCGAGAGGCGATCTTGGCGTCCCAAAAGTGATGGGATCTGGGAAAGCGATTGAGTTTGGCACGGTAATGGGCAACGAATTCTTGCTCGGAAGATGAAGCCATGGCTATGATGGATGATGTCGAAGTATTAGTGACCTGGGCTGTGATTTTCCGGCAAGATAGAACCAGCCGCAGAAAGTAGTTGTGGCTATAGCAGGTGGCGGCCATCTTCTGTGCCGAGGCATATCCTCAAGCCATCAAGGCTCAAGCACGCATTCGAGTTACGGGTTTCGCCTCCGGAGTCCGACCTCTGACAGACTGACACCCCCACTTTTTAATGGTCGGATCCCTGAAAGACCAGAATAAAAATAACAAACTTCAATCTTCTCGTTATCATTGCTTATGATCAATTTAGAATGTTGCACCTTTATTGAAATTGATAATATTATTGTGGTGGCAAACATGCAATATGTGCCAATTATAATAATTATTCCTTCCAATAAGCTTTACAAGGTAATGCAGATCTTTAACATAGAAATTAGGTTAGCTTTTAATTTAGTGTTTTATAAGACTCCGGTCTACTTTTTATTTATTTTGTTTTCAAGTAATTTTATAATAATTACATGTGTTAAAATAGTTATTATCAATTTATAATTCAAACACATATGTTTAATAAGATATTTTAGAAAATATAACATCTATTTATATAAATAACTAATTTAATTAACTTGTTTAATCTCTCTAAAATAATCAGCTGCCTTATATCAAGGACAAAAAAATACTAAACAACATTGATAATTGGATACATTCCCTATTTTAGAAAAAAGTGTATATTTTTAAAATAAAAAATCTTTATAATAATTTTTAGACTAAAGTATATATTTGGTTCTTTAACTTTATGTAAGGTTTCAGTTTAATCCCTTAATTTTAAAAAATATACTTTTAGTTATTTAACTCTAAAATTATTAATATTAAATGATATTTTTTGTAACAATCATAATTATTTTGAAAATTAAATTTAATATTATAACATTTGATAATGTTTTATTATCATTTAAAATTTTAATATCATTATTTTTTGTTGACGATTCTAGAGTTAGAGAACTAAAAGTTTACTTTTTAAAATTAAAAAATCAAATTAAAACTTTATGTAAAGCTAAAGAATCAAAAGTATGTTTTAGCTCAATTTTTTAAAAAAGAATAGTGTGTTTCCTATTGTAGTTTGCTGATTTCCATGTTTTTGTTGTTGGTTAAAAAAAACTAATAAAAGATTATTTTGAAAATATGATTTTGGATTTTGTCTGTTGGCATGATTTTTTTCTAATTTTTTAGCATGAAAAAATTGAAATCTGAATTAAAGAAACTTTTAAAATTTAAATTTTTAAATCATTCTTATTTACTACACTCTAATAATAATTGGTGATATTTAAAAAATAAATCCTAATATATTTTTATAATTATTTTTAATTTGAATTTAAATTTAAATTTAAATTTAAATTTAAATTTTTTTTTTTTCCAGAAGCCGCTCTAAGGAAACCGAGGGAAACGGAAAAGCAAAATGTCCTCTTACAATTTCACCCTTCCGTCTTCAGTTATTATCATAGCAGGACCCAGCACAAGTGCTCGCGCCACCAGACATGGGCTTGATCCTGTTCGGACTTCGGAGTAGTAATCACATAAAAGAATCGCGGAGAGGCTGGGTGTAAGCGAACCTCGCTCAAGGAAGGCTGGGGACATTGCCATTCTGACACTCTTTTGAAATTAAAGTTCCGATTTTTATTTACAACTTCTGATTGTTCCGCATGGGAATCTCTACATCTTGGCTGCACTTGCCCTGGATACTGGTGCATATATTGATCTTTCAGTTCTCATTAAGAACTACTGCAATCAGGTAACCGAATTGGTATGATGTACTTGTTATGCGTTACTTTCTTTTTTGAAATAAAAAAGTTCTTTTTGCGATACTGAGAATCCAGAATGAGATGATAAGTTGCTCCTAATTTTCAAATGGACAATTTCTGAGATTTATGTATAAATTTTCAATTTGACAGTTTTTTATATCCAATTTGAAATCTTTATTCTTGGTCAAACCAAATTTCATGAATGTCATGGCGAAAAAAAAAAGGTCATGATTTTGGAAATGATTGCAATGTCTTGGTGCTCGTGCAAATCTATTCGCATAGTTTTCTTTCTAATTATTTTAAATGTTGCTTTATTTTGAGATATCCTTGAGTACTTTTCAGATCTTCTGGGAAATGAATTTGATGAATTAGTTATGGGGAATTATTTTTATCTTAACCTTACTCTGCTCTTTCTTTACCTGCTCTGCATGTTAAATTATTGAGGGAGTCTGCTTCATAAACAGTGGAGATAAAAGGAGAACATACTGACTGTCTAATCTCTCATTTTTGTTGCATATTTGCCTTGAGTTGATTGTTATGCCTAGCTTGAATAGCTTTCCCCCCTCCCTCTTATGTAGCGGAGGCAAATTCCTTCCATGCTGATATCGTCCTCTTTTTTTAATGGTCTTGTTACAACCTAATGCGGTAGGAAGGATATTGGGTTTCAAGTCGTACGTCAATGCGAAACTACTGTCCAAGGACGATACCTTCTTTCTGACGACAACGGTGAGCTTTTCCTTCTGTGATCACATCGATCTCTATATGATATTATTTTGTTGCTGCGACAAGCATCATCAATATATCAAGCGAGTCCATTAAATTTCATGCATGATGATGTGTAAGGTTACTTATGAGTTATGGCCGATCCTTTTCCATTATGCACCAACTTTTTTCATAATTAGTGATATCATACACCACTAGACATGGAATTAGATGGTTGATGTGCATTGCGTGATCGTCTGTGTAGCCTTTTAATTTCTGCTAGCATGTCATGTTTGCTCATCTGCTGTCTTCTCCAAAAATATAGCATAACCAGATTTCAAATTGGGCTTCTTTACATGGTTCTGTGTTCAACAACATGAAACTCTTTACTTTTGTTTAATGCATGCAAATTCCTGCAATCTTTGACTTATCTGGTTGATTATGTCTTTCACTTACCCTGACATAAACTGATTTTTTTTGCTTTTGTAGGTTATGTGTGTAATGCTCTATCTGTTGATTCACAGTCTCGTTGCTGCCCTGAAATTGGGGAGAAATTCTCTTGTCAGTGAGTTCTTCTCAAAACATTGCAAACTGCTTGCTTTCATGAGAATTTTCTATTAGCAGGGTGTCATTGGTATTATTTGCAGAGGATGCAATCTTCTTTCACAATGTTGCAACTCTTATGAATATTGCGTTTCATGCTGCTTGAATCCTGCACGGGTAATTCCTTACATGCTGCTCTCTTCCTGTCTTAGTTTCCTTTCTTTTGTTTTTGTTTTTGCCCTTTTTTTTTTTGGCTCTCATTCCCTTATTGCAATTGGAGAAAGGAGTAAGTGTGGATAGATTTTGTTGAACAGACAAATAAGGAAGATGCATTGAAGGTGAAGATTGCGAAGCCAGCCTCTGCAAGTAAAGTTTCTATAACCTTTTCTTGAAAGAGCATTGGGGTGATTATCGCCCTGAGATACTTGCTTTGATGAGGGAGATATTTATTATAATAATGCTGCATACAGCCCTTGATAAGCATAAGCAATGAGGTTTTTTTTTTTTTCAGTTTTTAAGTCGTTGCTTGGCAATTCCCAATGTTCTTAGATGGCTATGATTCTTCTAAATCGTAGATGTGTGTGTGTGCGTGTAAAACACATTTACTCCCATTTGATAATTGGCAGGGGCTTATGCAAGTGTTTTTGACTACTGTGCTGGGAGATGCCGTCATAGTTCTGAGAGTGTGGTGAGTAGCTTCTGTGATCCTGCTATTGAGCTGTTGATGTATTCAAATCTTGAAGTTATATGTTGATTTCTTGTAACCCTATTATACGTTTTGTGAAGTATATGGTGCCTCTTTAGCAAGTTTGCGATGATGTGGACAAAACCTGTTTTGGTGACTTGTCCTTTTGACAAAAGCGCGTGAAGGCCCTACAACTAAGTCTAGTTTTGGGCATTCATAAGGAAAGAGTTTACTGTTTCCCGTCTGCATATACTTAACAAGCAGTTTCAGTAGTTTGTTATTCACAGTTAATTAAATTGTGTTGTCTGATATTTTCACAAATTGTAATTACTGAGGTATATAAACCTACTTTTGGACATGCATGCCTAAAGAAGTCAGAGAACGGTTATTAGTGTTCGAGGCATGTGGAAGAATAATAGGAATTTATATGTCTATGAAATTTTTAAGTGACTGAAGAATAACAAATGTCCTTTTTACAAACAGTCTGTCTGCTTCTTTTGCTTACCTTGTAGCTCAGATCTAATGAGGAAAAATGGAAATAATTTGATACTAAATGTTTTGATAGTGTCTGGCTTTATTTGAAGGAGATAGTTTCTGGCTGTCTCATATCAAAATCAAGTTCTTATATTTTTCAGGTTCATGAAAATGCCTATCTCAGTGACTTCCATCACTGTTTTCTTCTGCCATCAAATTCCTCCGGTAAGTCTGCAGAAGAATACTCCTCCGGTCCTAAATATAAGACCCTTATAGGAGTTTGTAATATTTTCCGGTGCCTTTTTGTTCTGTTAGGCTGCTTATATCTTGACCTACAAAGTTACAGATTTAGTTTTCACCCACAATTACCTAACATTAAACCTTTGGTATCCGCCAGTACAGAGAGACCCAGGATAAACATGAACTACAATATGGTTACAAATTGAGTTGGGTTATTAATAAATTCCTGGAGAAGTAAAAGCTTTCTATCCTTAAACTTTTTAGTTGGATTGTTCTTTGCAATTTACATTTGAATACACTGAATTTCCGTTTACATCACCTGTGCAATTGTTAGATTATTGCCTAAATTGGTTCCTAAGCCAAGTTGTAAAAAGGAAGTGGCTTAAATGAATGGTGCATTTGGTAGAGGAGCAAATTACGGGAAGAGAGGTGATGATTGGATTAGATAACATACCAAGACAAGGTCCACATCTTGATATATTGCTTGTTTTTCTCGTCCTCCATCCCTCTCATTTCTAGTTATACAAGCATTTACAAAGTGGGGTCTGTTAAGTGGAACTAGTTTGTTGCACCTTTTGGAGATGCGAGAGACAAAAATAAGTGTTCGGAAAAACTTTCAGAATTTCAATTAAGGAAGTCTTTTTTTGGCGTTTCTATTTTTGTAGATTCAATTTATATGCTGGTTTTGTGATGAAAGGCTTTTACTGTCTTGCTACAAATACATCATTTTGTGCATTTTACAGCTACATATATGTGTGTATTAAATGTTCTTTCTCCTCGTTTTAAAGCTGGAATAAATAGCATGCTCCCAGAGGCAAGATTGAATGGCATTAGTGTTGTTGTTGGAAGGTAACCTTTTCTTTTTTTGGGGTTCCATTCAGTTTAACTCTTTGCTGCTTCTTGTTGTAACTTCATATCGCTTGTTTGACAGGCAGGGTGAATCATGTGACTCAGTTTGCAAGTTAAGAGGGCAATCGTGTGTCGCAAATAAGCTAGTGGTGCTTAACCAATGTGACATGTAAGTGGAGCTGGAGCTTTATGTTTTACATTGTGTTGTGGATATATTTTGATGGCATTGTCTACCCTGTATTCTATTTCTACTGTGCCTGAGATGTCTAATGTCTAATGTAATTATACGAGACCATATTTACAATGATAAGAATTGTCAATTTTCAATTTTAAGTTTGACAAATTATCTCCAATCCCTTCTGTTGTTAATACCACCATGCCGTGGATGATGCATTGAGCAAAGAAGGAATGTCATACTAGCATTGAAATTGGAGATATTTGTTTGCTTTTCTTTTCATATCATGCTGTTATAGACTAGTCCTTTTTATTTTTTCCCCTGGCAGCATGCAGAAATATATGACTTGCAAGGGAGCTTGCTTAGCAAGTATAGGAACAGATCAACCTGCTGAAGTGGTTCATGATGCTCCAAAGCATTTGGTAATAATTGAATTATGCTCTGAAAATTTAGTGTTTTGAATTGGAATAATGCCTGATCTATGACAAGAGGCTAGTTAGGTTGCAGAAACAGACAGGAACGGTACACTCAGATAATTATATGTTTATATAACATAGGTTGAAGTGTTATGGTCCTGTACCTCCTGTTGTCATAAAATGCATATGTTACAATTTACTAAAAGAGGTGATTGATGGATTATTCCGAGAATTTCCATGGCTTTGTGGACCTTGAACCCTACTATTTCGTTGTTTCATCAGTAATTTCTGGGTTTGGTCGTCCATGTGACAAAACGTAAATTGTTTCAAGATTCGGAAAACAAGGCGGAAGTTATATCAAGTGAGATGAACTATATTAATCAATAGTTGTTTCCTGTTATTTTCAGAATCCAGGATCATGTTTGTACACTCAAGCACAATCAACGCTTTCTTGTGATGGTGCGCATCAGCATACAAGGAGACTGTGCCCCTGTGCATAGTGTAAGCACCTGGCAAGTCATTGGAAACTCCTGCAATTTAACCAAGTTTTGTTCAAAAAACTCTCATCACTATGAACGGCAAAAACTGCATGAATAGTACAGGAGCTATGAGCTATAAAATTCTTTCGTACTGGAAACTATGGTCAAAGCACGCATGGCTTACATTGTTTTCCTCTTTTCTTTTGTCAAGACCGGGTAGTCAGGCATGCTATACATTTGAGAGAAAATTTCCAACTCTACATGTTCTGCAATAAAATTTATCTCTTTGCTGTTTATTGCAGGGCTGGAGGAGTTCGCATCCGGTTTCTGCCATGGGTCTTGTAAACTACAACTACATTGATCAAAAACCGCCCATGCTGTCAGCTATGATGAAATTTTTTTTATCTTCTCTTCAGCGATAGTTCTGGGGGCTGTTATTTTAGGTTTTCAACGGGTGGAAAAGAAATACAACAGCAGGGTAGATGGTCAATGTATCTATAATCTGTTTTGTAAATCATTATCTGGTTGAAGTTGCATCTGACCCATTCGTGAACCTTTCAACATGGCAAAACATTTTAAATGGATGGGATATATATTATTTTCAGACCTTTGGCTATGTTCACTTGTCAATCAGATTGAGACAGGATTACAGGAAACGGAAGGCCCGGGTCTTGATGTTACCACCAAAGGAAGTAACTCAGTACGTCAGTGTTGCTCTTAAATAGGGTTGGAAAGAAGCCCATTTATGGATCATGACTGAATTGCATATTGAAACACAAGGGATTCATGAACAAAAGTCGGAGCCAAAATTAAGATACGAGAGAGATCTGCGGATCCCCACCTTGTCCTGGCACTCATCGCCCTATCATCGGTAACGTAGGGTTCAAGAGCAACACAGTTAGCATCCGTTATAATCGCAACTGTAATAAAAACAAGAAGGCAGGCTTCGCCTTTGTACGTTCATTTGCACATTGAATAATACCCTGTCTCATTATAGATTCGCGCCTTGTGTTTCCACTTTCACCACTAGACTCCTCTATAAAAGGAGAAAAAAAGATATCGATGCCTCTCTTCGCCATTGATGCCTTTCGATAATGGAGGAAGATAGGCATTTTTGAATAATGAAGACAGAAGAGGGGGAAAAAACAGAAAAGGTACAATACAATCTAGCAACAGCTTTCATTAATAAATTAATTGATATGGATACCCAAGTTCTATTAATTTAATTTGTGTGTACTTAGCGGGTGTATGGTGACCGGTATAGCTCTCCTCATAGCTAATCAGAAGCTATAATCTGGTTTGAAGATTCTCTTAGTGAATGGCTTCGACACAGCCTCCTTATCCTTGACTCCACTGGTGACCCTTTATCGCTTGCTGTGTCCTCAACGTCATCTTCCTCCTCTGCAGCACTGAAGGCTGGATGGCCGAGAATGCTGCCAAGCAACTGTATCCCTCTCAAGGCATTGGTGAGAGGCAAGTGACCCTCAGGGGTGTCATCATTGAGTTCCCAAATGAACTCAGTGGGAAAAGACCTGTAATTGTATTGTTCCACCTCCGTGTTGAGCTTCTTCATCCAACCAACCTTGAGGAAAAACTTGGTGAAGTCCCTCTCTGTTTTCTCAAATATCCTCTTCTGCACGCTGTACCCGAACTTGTTATCGCTGTATTGCCTCCAGAGTGCATCTATGGTTTTGAGTTCAGTTTCAGAGATAAATTGGACCTCAGAGAAGAAGATGTAGCCGCGCTTCTGAGCAGCGTCGCCGGCGAGAACGATGAGGAGGCGGCGAGTCTCTTCGTCGGCTTGGCGGAAGTCACCGGCTGCGAGGTGGAGACGGAGTTGGTCGAAGGAGAGGGGTTGAGTGGTGGAAGTGGAGGAAGAGGTGACGGGGGAGAGAGAGAAGGCGATAGTGGTGGTGGTGGAAGAAGAGGAGAGAGAGGCAGAGGAGTTGAAGGTGATGGTTTTGGGGAAGAGCGGGGAAGAGAGAATGGAAGAGGAATGGTGGCGGTGGGGAAGATTATGGTGGTGGTGGTGACGGTGGCGGATGGAGTGGAGAGAGTTAGTGGAAGCCATTAGACGAGAAGAGAGACGGAGTTGGGGAGTGGAAAGAGGAAATTTTGATGGGGGTATGGAGGATGGAGTGAGATTGTGAGAGAGATAAGGAACATGTGAAGAGGAGGAGGAAAAAAGGCTCATCAAAAGCAATATAATACGAGTTTTTCATTGGCTCCCTCCGGGTGAGGTTTGATCACTACCCCCACCCTATCTCCCTCTCTCCCTGTCCCTTTCGCCATTGTTAAATCACTAGTTTTATTTTCTTCCTCTTTTTTGGTTTGCTACAGAATTCAACTGAAACCAAAACTTATTAGTAATGGACAACAAAATAAATTCATAATAACGATAATTCGATACCTGCTTCCTCTTCTTTTTTAAATAAAAGTGACAAGAAAAACTTGAACTAGAGACAAACCAAGACACTCCTACTGATATCTTCTTTAAAAAGTAAGTCAATTACTCTCTCATCTGCCCTTTTTGGTCAAAACATTCAAACCAAGTGAACTGAACCCATGCTCTCTTTTTTACATAGAAAGAAAAAAGACAAAATGGGCCAAATTAGTTTATATCTGTCTATTGAGTAATATTTTCTGTTGGAATTCAAAAAAAAAAACAAAAGAGATAATACTTTCTTGGCAAGACAGTCCACTTCCACGTTATGGTTTCTCCTCAAATGAAACAAATGCACCTCTCAGTCCTTTTGGAAAACTTGTTTGATTTCTTGGATGATATCTCCACCTTATCGGCACGAATATCAGAATTAGAGGCAGCAATAAGAGAAGATCATGTAAGCAATCACTTTGAAGCCAAAACATAGAGCTTCGGCTCAATCACGCCGCAACAAAATATTATCGTCACTGTTTTGATAAAATGCATCCGCGTTTAAGAGCGTTAATCCCATGTCTTTTTCTTGTTACGTGACCGCATGGTTTTTTATCTTCCTCCCATTTTTCGCGGTTGATATGAGATAGTGCAAAGCCGTTCAATCCAAACATCAAAATCGCAGTCACTTTGGTGTCAATTATAAATATGGATGATGACTTCAATCTGCCTACCAAATTGTCAAAAACGTATTCACCCTCAAACTGTTGCACATGATCTTACTACACGAGAAAATTTCCAAATACTCAATTTAACGTAGCGTGGCAATACAGTGGAACCGTCCATGGCTTTACTTGACCACCACGTTTTTACAGCGTCTCATCCAATGATCTGTATAAATGAAACGTAATTGAGAATGAAACACAGAAACCAGATACACACGATGGATTTGCTTCGCCAGTGAGAATTGATACTCAAATTAATCTCAGAAGTTGTGCTGCAAAAACAGCCTCTCCTGAGGAGAAGCAGGTCCAATCTCTTCCTCTAGACTCCTCAAAACGTCGCCACCACCCACGTTCCCCAAGTTCTTCACTTCTGCATTTTTCCCATCCACATCCCCCTCTGACACCGACGATTTCCTTCTCTGAGAAGAAGTAACACTTGGAAAAGTGATCCACGACGGTGCTCTGAACTCGAATCCTTGATCCTCAGCTTCCCCCACGTCCGTTTCTGAAGTTGACTTGTTGGAAGATCTTTGAGACGATTTCTTGTGTAATCTGTTACTCCCCAGCACCACTTCGGTGGGCAAAATTGGCTGCTCGTTGCTTGGGCTTCCCATTAGTTGTGCAAGAGCTCGCTCCAAAGTAGTTGTCACTTTGTCCATTGATGGTCTCTCTTTCCCTCTCATCCTCACGCATTTACAGGCCACGTTTGCAATCCTTTTCAAGGCTTCGAGATCAGGAGGAGGTTTTAGAACTGGGTCTAAAATTGCCGTGATGTCTCCCGCCTTAATCAACGGCACGGCCCATTCAACTATGTTACCTTCTTCGTATTGCATGTCAATGGCTTTTCTGCCACTCAGAATTTCCAAGAGCAGCACGCCAAAGCTATATACATCAGATTTCGTGGTAAGATAATGAAGTCTGTAATATTCAGGATCAAGATAGCCAAGCGTTCCCGCAGGTAGTTCAGCCAAGGGGGAGCTGCTATCAGCTGGACCCAGTAATGACAAGCCAAAATCAGAAACTCTGGCATTGTGTTCTTCATCAATGAGGATATTTGAAGATTTGATGTCTCTGTGGATCACAGGTGGGCAGGCATAGCCATGCAAATATTCAATTCCTCTAGCTGCTTGAACTGCAATTGTTACTCTTCTAACCCAATCCAACTGTTCTTTGGAGGCCTTGTTTTTCCCATGGAGATGTTGGTGCAAGGAGCCATGCGCCATGAACTCATAAACAAGAAGCCTTTCTCCGCCTTCTTCACAATACCCTAGCAGGTTGAGTAAATGGGCATGGTTCAACCTGGAAAGTAAGTCAAGTTCTGTATGAAACTCTTTGGAATTCTTTTGCATGTTGGGAGACATTATGGCCCTTTTAACTGCTACGACAGTCCCATCTTTTAACACTCCTTTGAATACACACGAAAAGCTTCCTTTACCAACTATGGATTCTTCTTTGAACCCGCCTGTTGCTCTTTCAAGTTCCTCATAGTTAAATGTTTGAGCCCTCCTGATTTTGAGCTCCTCTAAGTCTGGACTGATTTTGCTGTTCTCTTTTTGGAGGGAAGAGTTGCTACCATGAAGTTTCTTCACGTTTGATCCTTCTATGGAACACCTACAACCTCGTAGCTTGTAGCGAACATATAAAACAGAAATTAAGGTCACAAGACTAACAAAGAAGACAGCAAAAGCAATCTCAGCGATCATCACCGGCAATTGCAAAGACCAAAATTTCTCATCTTTCTTCGCCATATTAGCATTGGAATCTGAAACAGAGCAATTGGAGAAGCATTCAAGGGAGGAACAACTAGAACAATTGTATTCACATTGTCTGTCAGATGTATAATTGCACTCACTTTTCTGATACATGTCAGCAGGACAAGCTCCACTGCATGGCATGCAAAAGCGAGAATCAGAGGACTTGCAAAGACCCTTTTGCTGTTCAATTTCATAGAAACCAGGAGGACATGGATTAGGCTGGCATTGCCCAGGAGAGACAGCTAATGGTAGAGAAGTAGGGAAGCCAACACCCCAGCAAGAAGGAAGAAGAGATTTCTGAGCAAGTATTCCACACGTAAAATAGTTTCCAGCAGCAATCTCGAACACCTTAATCCCACTTGGAACTGGGGTACTTCCCTTGATAGTAAAACCCCAGCAAATCACCCCATGATCATTACTTTTGATACCACAAGCATGAAATCTTCCGCCCACAACAGAAAGCATAGGTTCATTTGGAGCCAAATCAACGTTGCCTTGACCAGAACGTTTCACCACAATTTCTTCCTCAATGCCCAAGCTCCTTCCCCAACAAATAGTTCTGGAATTCACCCCTTCTAAAATTCCACACACATGAAATCCACCTGCAGAAATTTTCTGGAACTTCTTATCTTTAGGAACTAAGCTGATTACTCTGCTACTAGTATCATCGCCCCAGCAGAAGACTGTTCTGTTCTGGGAAAATAAGCCACAGTTGAATTCAGAGCCTGCCGATATAGATTGAATCTGGCCATCAAAAACATGGTTCTGGGTCATGTTGTATCCCCAACAATCGACAAGAGAAATATTTCTCTGTCTTCCTGTCAAGGGTTTCCTTAATCCACAAACATGATAATCCCCAGCACTGATTTCTAGATACTCTGCTCCTTTCGTCATAGGTTGTGGAACACCCATTTCGATGTAGCCACTACTACCCCAACAGTAAGGTTGGAAAGTATCCATTAGGAGTCCACATACAAAGCCATCACCTGCGGTTAGACCCAAAAGTGGGAAATGGGTTGGTATTCCATAGACTACGGCTGAGTTTGATCCGTAACAGTTCACAGTATGAGACCCATCTGATCTCAGGCCGCAAAAGACAGAACCTTTTTCCCCGTAAGATATGGCAATGGAAGACATGGAACCCAGACCCGAAACAGACCAGCATGAACACGATAAAAAAACTGAAAGGGCAAAGAAAACCCGAGGTTGCCATGGGATCACATTCAAGAAGGAGATCAAGAAATGTCTTACTGAGAATCCCATGCTACGGAGCCACTCCTTTGTGTGAGAAAAGGTGGACCCTTCACCGACGGTATAGGCTGCTCAGTAAGAAACCCGGTTTAGGATGAAATCAAGGTGGAGAAAACTATGCTTCCCACTTCAGAGTCAAAAGAAAACGTACCATCAAAAAAGCTCCAGTAATTTCAACGATTCTGAAAAGAATAAAGAAACGGACATTATCCGGATCATAAATTGGATCTCTATAAACATTCAGATTTTGTGAAGTGTTCATTAAGTTGCATGGTATGATGGTGAAGAGGTGAATTGATTGAAAGGAACTCAAAGAGAAAGATGGGTTGGAGAAGGTAGTTGTGGTTGCAGACCATTGCTGTTGCAGGCAAGAAAAGGGGGGGAGAGAGAAGGCATTAAATGGCAGAAACTGCTGTTTCTATGTATGGACAGAGCGTAGGTGTAGGCATTAAATGAGAAGTTAATGCAGTTTGATCATTTCATGCCGGATTACTGCACATTGAGCCACCACTCCCTAATTTTATTACTCTATATGCTGCGAAAGTGGCTCGGCACTACTTCCTGGGCTTCTCACTTCTCACTTCTCACTTCTCACACACGCCCCAACACAACACTTGCGTCCCTACTTCATTTTAAATTCTGCCTTGCTCCCTTGATCTTATAATCGTATTTTATTTCTGCTTTCCGAAGTTGGTGCAATGACGTTTTTTTCCGTTATATTCGTTCCAGCGCCACGTAAAAACGTTCTTCTTTTTTCAATCGTTCAATCGCTCGTCTCTGTATCTTTTCTCCTTATTGCATGCATCGTTCGGAGAAATATATTAGAAAATCAATGTCCTATATTCGGACGATGGACGTGGGATAATGATCCATGAACGTCCTAAATATTCACTGATTGACTAATGACACTTCACTGGCAGAGAGAAAGCAGGAACAAAAATAGCAACAGGAATCACATGTATTAAATGATAATTAACTGCATTTAGTATTGCCTTCACGATATGGTTAGCATCATGTCTCCCACTAGAGAGGGTGAAAGAAACTGCCGTTGCTTCATTAGTCTATAAAAGGCCATAGTTTCCTCATTCGGATCGAACCACAGAGTGAAGAAACCCACTCTTATCCACCATCTGATGTTGACAAATGGGTTAAATGGGGCTTTGAATTCTGGCGAAGGGGCCATTAAAAACCTCATTATATGCATCTGGGTCATAAGTTGTTTACTTGGAGTGATGCTCCACTAAATACGCAAGCTTCATGTTAGATCTTGGTTTACTGTTGATATTGATTGATGAGTGAATAACCTGGGGACAGTTAACACCATAACTTGAGGTTGCCCCTTGCCCCGCGAAACGGGAAAGGTGGCTTCTTCCTCCTCTGCGGTGAGGGGGTTGAATCACTTGAATGTAGCTGCTTTTTCTTTCTCTGTTTTTTTTATGTCTGATATGGTATAAATGTTTATACTACTAGGTATTTTGTTACTCCCTTCGTTGTGTAATATAAAAATTAGTTGACTAATTTAAATAAATTAAAAAATTTAGTTATTTGTAATAAATAAGTATGATTTTTCCTAAAATACTCATTAACTAAAGCTACTATTGATAAAACACTTAACACGTGTAACTGTTATAAAGATCATTTTAAAAAAAAATATAAATATAAGAAATAAAATATATTTAGATTTAATATTTAAGATCAAACTGAACGCTAAGAATAAAATACACTGCATTACAATGCTGAGGCACATGACTTGGGCGTGATGATCTGGAAATGCACATGCTTACGGGAGTTCTGTTCAATTACATTCATTCTGTGCTGCTCTATCCCATTGTCTGTGCCATATTTTCAGGATTTGTTTCCTTCTCTTCTCTTATTCTATGTTAGTCAACCGTGCTGCTTCTACTTTATTCCTCCGGTTGGGCCACGCACACCACACTTCTCTAATGCCGATTCCTCCGTCAATCTTGTCCTCATTTGTCCCAGAAAAAAAAAAGTCAATTTTAGTGCCAAAAAGAGTCTTGGGGCCAACCAATTAACTATTCTGATTTTTTAAATAAGGATATTATTTGATTCATGAACAACGCATATTATTTTTAATTATCTGTGAACATTTTTTCCGTTTATAATGTTCCCTTCAGAGTCCCCGAATACTTCTTCGATGAGATCATTTTAACTTTAGTTGAAAAATTACTTGAGAAACGGGAGCTCCATCAGGGCATCGATTTAGGCCACGTGGCAAGTAGGGGTTCTCTTTTTTTGGGTCAGCTAAGTGAAGGCGTAAATAGTCCAAACCCCGTTGAATGAATAATGAGCCGGATTCACGAGTCGGCAAAAGTGTAAACGGTGAAGAAAGCAAAGAGGAGATTGCAGCGCACACTAAGTAAGTCGTAAATTCAGCTCAGTGATTGGGAATTCTTTCTAGCAAGAACAAAGGAGACTCAAGATTTGTGAATTACATCTCGAAACAGTTATCCTGCTTGGGCTTTCGGTATGGAAATATGCCCCAAGTATACAGATAGTGAGAGCATCAAACATTGAATCTAGAACAATGTGGAATTCAGTGCAATGACGAATGAAGAAAACAATATGAGAGCAGGGGTAGGCCAGATTTGAAGAAAAGAAATAGGAGGTGCTTGCGAAGACTGAATTGCAGTAGCAACTTGATCTGTACATTGAAAGACCGTAAGAGGGTGATGTAAATGAGGAAAGGACGTAAATTTGAATATTTGATAACGATACAGAGCGAGGTGGCCTGTACACGTGAGAAAGCAGAACATATATCATTTATCAATGGGGAAGGGAGCGTGAGCAAGGCACTGTGGGTTGGACAAGGTGAGGGCGACGTTGATGGCCGTCAGTGCATTTTGCTCCACCTGAGACGCCAACAACCCCTCTCCCGGCGCAGCAAATACCAACGGTCACCGCAGCACCGCAGCACAGCACACGGGGGTTTGCACTTGGACGTCGGGGCGTTCCAAAAGCTGGACACCGACAGCAATAGCATCTCTCGGGGGTCATCTCATTGTCAATTATGACTTCGGCCACTTTGGTAACTTACTCATAGGCCTTGGTACTCCCTCCTCTGCATCTTCAGTAAAAAACTAGAAAGTCTAGTAAAGCTATCTGTTTCACAAGAAATCTCTGTATATTTTGAAAATAAAATACTATTGCATGATTTTTGTACAACGCAGGAGGATTTTGTATAATTCTGCTCAAAATCTATATGAACACAAGCAGAAATTTGGCAACAGAATAGCTAAGGCTGCAGGACGAAGCCAGAAGGACAAGAAGATCAAAAATTGTGAGAGGAATACAAGCTTTTTGTATAAATTTTCTGATCTATGTGTGCTTCAAACATGAGTTAAATTCTATAGTGACCATGACCCATCTAAGCAAATAGACTGGTGGCTGATTTAGGAGGAGCAACACTGGAATGAGAGACGCATATCTCAAGTCCATCTTACAACCTGAATACAAATAGAAGCTCAATTTCATGAATTATTTATCTCACTTATGCACGTGCTCATTATGTCCACGTGCTTCTCGAAACCGGGATGGGGTCAGTGGTACCTGCTGAAAGCCATTTTCCCACTGCGTAAACAGCAGGTTACTACTCTATCAGAAGTCAGGAAACAATGCCATCATATGCGGCCGCAGGCTCCTTATGAACTCACTGGAAAAGGAAAACAAAACTTGAGACAAAAAAGTCATCAAGCAAAACATTATTTAATTATTTTGCCCGTAAATAACATGGACACGCTTGTGTGGGTAAGAGTGCAAGTGAACAAGATAGCTTTTCCCAGTTCACTAGAAAAGTCGTCAACCTATCAGAACAGTTAACAATCAAAAACCACAACAGTTCTTAAAGGCAAATCTACATTGGGAATTTTAAGAAGCAAAGCACAGTAACAATTTTGGAGGCACAACAAAATTATTTGAATTTGATGCATTTTTCTCACCATTATTAAAGAAAATGAACACTGATATTAAACTGAATGTACTCTTGTTTACCAAAAAAATGAAGGTATTCTTTATTTTCAGGTTCTAGTTTCATTTCCTAAAACAATCTACTTTAATGCTGGAATCATACATTAAGAAAAGCTAAGGCCCCTTCCACTTGGAGAATAGCCGTATGGATCTTCTAGGTGCCTTCATGCTTCTTAATATCCTTGTAAAAGGTTCGGCACTGTAATCTTGAACATTGGAATCTTTCCGTTTCCTCTTTCTCTGAAGCTCCACTTTAGAATCTTGATCATCAGACACTAGACCAGACTTAAGTGGGTCATCAAACTGGGAACATCTGAAAGAATTACACAATCATAAGCTCCAGCGAATTCGTAAATGCCAAAATATCATTAGAAAACTTTGTTGAGATGAGGGATTACTCTGAACTCTCCCTTCCATTAACAGTCTTGTCGAACTCCTGTAAACGACAGTTGTTTCAAATATTAAACAAGTAAATTCACCAGAAAGAAGACAAAGATCAGGCACTTCGTGAGCAACAAAACAACAAGCTTGCTGGTGATCACCGGACAAGAACTGTTTGGTTTGCAAATATTTAAATAACTCTGTTCTTTTCCTTCCCAAAACACATGTCCAATCACCTCCTCCAACACAACATACACAAGCACGAAAAGTCAAAAGTTCGTTTCACAGCTTTTGGAGTAGACCAAGACAGTGGACCACTCAAAGAAATGAATAACAAGGCATTGATATTCAACTATCAAGATAATGAAATTATGCAAAAGATAAAACTATAAGATGCCGAAACCATTACAAGCCCTGTTGTGAAAACTGAACCGACTTAAGTAAAACCCTTATAAGATGTGACAAATCTCAAAATCTGACTTCAAGAGGCAGAATGATTTAGGCAACGGAAATTATGACTTGATAGTGTCAATCATGTGATGATGAGATTCACTTCACATTTCTTTTCCATACTGGTGCACTTCACATTCTTCATTGGTTGATTGCATATAAAATATGAGTTAGCCTCAGTAGCATAAAAAGGAAGTTTACAGTGCACTATAGTATAGTTTATAGTGTTAAAAATTTAGTGCGATCTTCTGCAGACATAACATCCCATTCTCAATGTAGAGAATAATAGCAAAAACAACTTCATCCTCTAAGGTACCCAAAGTTTTATCTGTAAAATAAATTGATATGCCGTAAATGAAGCGCCAATTTGTGTTTTAAAATTTTCAATCACACCAATTCTTGCATAGTTTTGGAACAAACTTGCTCCCTCCCTCAATTCTTCTAGACAAAAGAAAGAGAGGGGGGATAAGGGGAAAAAAGAATACATACATCTGGAAAGCTAGAGAAAGCACTATACCCATTCTTCATTAAGTAGAAAATCGTTCCCATTGGTATCCAGGTTAAACTTGCTTGAATTGACTAGCTCATCCGGTCTTGTGGATGACATATTTGGATTCATTAAATCCAGAGTTCCATCATTTTCACATAGTGAAGCTGAAGCATGTTTATGACAACTTGCAACTTCTGAATTTTGAAGCTCTGCTGAACTGCTTACTGAAACTCCGGGACATACAACGCCAGGGATCACAAAGCAAGAACCATTTAGCTGAGTTAACTCTTCAGAAATTTCGTTACCAGGTTTTGAATTTTGGCACTCCATTTTATCAGGATCTGATAGCGAGTTGCCAAAAGAACCACACATTGACTTGATAAATGCAGTACCAGCATCTTTAGATGCATCTTTAGCACAAGATTCAGCTCCAGATATAAAATTGTTGCGTGCACCATAACCTAGTTCAGCGGAGACAGTTGATTGGCCTTCTTTTGAGTCGCCTACCATGTTTCCAGTCAGAGCTGCTGTGACAATTGTTTCATTATCTTTTAATTTATCTTCAACATTTCCAGATATGCTGAATGGTTTTAATGCATCAGAAATCAAAGAATTGTCACCGATATCTTGTTGATCAGACCCCGTAACATCATTTGTCAATCTAAGGTTTGGTTGAGATTTGGTCTGTCTTCTACGGGTTTCGATTTGGTTGGGCTTCATATTTTGAATAAAGGAACTTTTTCTTTCAGTAGAACTTTCTCCTAAGCAACCAATCTCCTGCCAAAAGCTCCAGGATTCATTTTGATGTAAATTCTCAGTAATGCAAACCTCTTTTCTAAACCTGTTGGTCCAATCAGAAGGGGATGAATTTAGATTAACATGGAGATTAATTCCCTCATCTGACCAGACGTAGAACTCAAAAGAAGAGGGAGGAATCTCTGTAGACATTTTTAGCGAAGCCAAATCTTTCTGCACCAATGGTGCACCTGCTTCTGCGGCTTGGTAATTATTTTGATGGCAATTTTGCATTGCACTGCCTTTAGTTCTATCGGGATGATCATCAAAGCTTCTTCTTCTTCTAGGCAACTTCTTCAAAGCTTTTCGTTTCATTGTACGACCAAAAGCCTCCTGTACGTACAGAACATGATTACTTGAGCACATATTATTGCGGAAAAATAACAAAAGTGCATTTATTAATAAAGCAGTTCCAGATCTCAAGAGATCCATATCCTCAACCATTTCCATCTAAATGTGCGCGTGTGCTTGGTAATAGGAGTGCCATGTACTCTCTAAGGCATATTATGCATAACTCATGTTGATCTCTGACATCGTTTTTATAATTTGAACACTTGCTTGAACCGTTCGATTCAGTATCATACTAATACTTTTCGTATCTTCCTCTCAAGAACAAAAGATGAAGCAATTGACATCTGCTAAAGAAGCATTCTACCACCTTATAAAAATTGCTTCATAATCTTTTTAAGATGCAAGAAAATAGTTTGACTAAATAATTCATAAATTTAAAGTGGAATGTGATGGACATTTATAAAATATAATATAAGTGAGTTGTAGACAACATTTCAACCAGACAGTGGTTAACTTCCTTGATTCTGGGTAGATTTACACTTTTGAAGAAATCAGATACCTAGGTAGAAAACCATAATCAAGTGAAGCATATCACCAGTGTAGAATGTAAACTCTATAATCTCTTCGAAAATATCTACATTTCCAAGCGCCATAAAATAGAAGCGTTAATACAGGAATGGATATTGATAATGACCTCCCAGCAAATTTCGAATAATAGAGTGACTTCCCAGTGAATATTAAGAGAAACACAATTTCCACACTCCAAACATGACAGATTTCTTGAAGCTTTGCAGAGTACTGTTATCTTTGTCGTCAACCCTTCTATCTCATACCCATACCATAGTCACAACAGCACATAAAGTATTCCGACATTTTAATCTTTTCGACAAGCTAGAATGGTCACTTGCCTGGAATCTACAACTTGCTGTCCTCTATCCACGTTGAAGTAAGAAGCTATTTCAAAGAAAAATTACATAAGTTCTACAATGACAGTCTACGTGGAAACTTTCTTGCCAGAAGCTTAGAGAGGATCGCGTACAAAGTGAATGCATTGGAGATGTAAATCAGAATCAAATGGTTGGGCGGAGGTTGCTATATCTGAAGATTTTAGCATACATGGTTCATTGGCATGCTATCGTAGTTACTGTAACTAGGGGTCTAAAATTTTATTCTTACAGGCTCATCGTCATCATTTTACGTGTTCGAGTCGATTTAAGCCAAACAGTAAATTTAATATCCCAACAAATTTGCCTAGTGCTGGAAGCAAAATGTGGTGAGCGAAGCTACATTATCACGAGTTCCAGCTTCCAAGCCAACTTCTCTGATTTTTTGGGACTATGCCGCGCCAAAAAAACAAAAAAGTTCTTATGGGTCGCCAAGTCCAAGCGTTGACGACCTGCATTGTAGAACACGCATGGACGCACCCCACCTGACCGGAACCCCGGTTATTGCAACATGACCGGAAAATAAAAGTTTCAAGCTCATGGGATGTCCCTCTGAGCCCTTTTTAAGAAAGAAAATGTGTTAACCAGGAATCTAAAACATGATTCTTAGTTCTTACTGCACAGCTTGGTTCGGAGGACAGAGAAAGTTGTCCAAATGCAATCGAAGAATTTGAAAACAACAGAGGGCAAAGCAAAGAAACGAGAAGAATACCTGGTCATAGATCTGAATAGGAAACAGGAGTTGCCGAGAATGTGAGACAAAAGGAAGGAAGACGGCCTCAAAATTTTGTTCAGACTTGGGGCGAAGAGTCAGGTCAGCTAGCCACTGAGGAGCATGGTACTTTGGTGAATAAGGGTGCACTTTTTGGTCATTTTGTAGGCGAAGCATCTGGGTCGGGTTCAAGTACGGACAGGTTCAAAGGCGACGGTTCTATTGGCCCTGCATTGACGATAAGGGCGGTAACAAAGCGGGGCAGAGGACCACATGGAGCCACATGTATGGCTGGAGGTCTTCGCATTAACGCGGAAACCAAAGCACCAGATTTTAGCCCGGGCTGGGATTAGGTATGAATTTGGATTGTCGCATTCAGATTTGGAATTTTGAACTAGATGCTGGCGCTCTCAGTAAAGCCATAAAGCTGGGGAGGAACAAAATAGCTCATCAGAAATGAGCATCGTGGATATGCTCATCAAAATTTGACACAGGGAGAAAAACATTTTGAGAAGGAACAGTGCACTGCCGAGTACTAATAAGCAGTAAAGTTTGTACTCGGGAAAAAAATAAGTGATAAAAGTCATCAAACACAGCTAAGTAAATATTGTCTCTGTTATTTAATATAAAGCTGGTTTAATTTTTATTTTGGTTTTAAATATAATATTTCAGTTTATTTTTTCTCATATTTATCTATTTTTTTAATATAGTTCTTATAATAATAGTAATCATAGTTAATATATTTGATTAACAGGAATATTTTAGAAAAGAAAATATCTATTTATTACAAATAACTAATTTAATTATTTTTTTAATTTATTTAAATTGATTAATTAACTCTTATATTAATAACAGGAGGTAGTACTATTATAGAGCTGACCAATGGATCCACTTGGAAGGCAACCTCCTTGGACGGCCTCAACCATGAACTGGACTGGCCCAATGCAAAGAGATCTAATCACATGCCTATCGGGTTAGGGCATGCCCGTCTTTATTATTTTCCTTTTTTGTTTTTCTTGAGTTTCATCTTCTGCTTCCCTTTCTTTTACTTAACTCATTATACAAGACTGACATATTCTCAACTTGCTGATCCTCCACCCAAGGAAACGGAATGACGACAGGATGAGGGGCCCGGCCAGTTCAGAGTTGAAAGAGCACTCTCCTGAAGGGAAAAAGCATTAAGTCCAAGGTAGCTAAACCACCTTACCTAAAATTAAAGCTTCATTGAATGGCGTGCTCTTATTCCAGCTGGCAATCAAAACGAAATGTTGTTTGTATTGGCAAAACCAATAAATCTTCTTTATATAAGGAGTTGAAACAATTGCATTCGCAAAGTCGCTTTGGCCGAGTGGTTAAGGCGTGTGCCTGCTAAGTACATGGGGTTTCCCCGCGAGAGTTCGAATCTCTCAGGCGACGACTTCTTGTTTTTGGTTTGGTTTTTAAAAAAGAAGGAGAAGTGAACTTCACCTCTTTCATTTGTGCACTTTACAATCTCCGGCCCCTTGTCTCATGCTGTCAGCCGCAAGCATGCCATTGTAAGTCCACGTGTAAAGGAATCAAAGTCGTCTTTAAAGCTGGCACTTCGGTCTTGGCCTTTTTCTTTCTTTCTTTCCAGTATTCCAAGCCTAGCAATTTTCTTATGAACGGGACGCGGGGAGTAATACAAGTCAAAAAAATATAAAGGCAAAATATAGGTCGGATCATCAAATTTTCAAGTCCATACACCATACCATGTAGCAATGTCCGCTGGGGAAAGACTAAGATTATTGAGTTGAGCTCAAAATACTTAAGGAAAAAGCATAAACTCGTACGTTACGCTTGTCTCGAATAGTAATGTAAAGCTTGATGAGAAATAGACATATATACCAGAGCAATACTACTCTGCATATATATATATATATATATATATATAAAATATGGGTAAGATGAAATGACGAATGATTGTTAAAGCGTGAGGGATGGAGGCCCTGCCTGCAAGGTGGAGACAGATGAGATGTGCTTGCTCTTAATTTACTTGCCGGCATCCATCTGTGTCCCATCTTTAGGCAGCAACTCCCCGGCTTTGTCCACGCCTTTACTTTAATCGCACCAAACCTCATCAAATTCTAGTTTCCATATACATTGAGCATATCCTCCAAAATAAAAATTACTCTTGTATTTACATATCCTCGGTAATAAGCCAGTAGATAAGCCAAATAAAGTTATTTTATTTGTCCAGTATAGGCTGAATATACAGCCGAATCGCTTTTTATAATTTGAAATCACCTGATTGGATCTCGTGAGTGTTGTCTCTTCGATCGTGCATATGTTATTTGTATAGCTTGTTATATCAATATTGGTGCATGTTGATTTAATTGATAACAGCATTATTGATTATAAGCAAATTAAATGCCCTTTACATTATGTGCATAATTAATACTGTATATATTAATAATTAGTTTGTGATTATCTCATCTGTACATGTCCTCTTAGACTGGCGCCCCTCTGGCAAATCACATATGCGCATTCGTTAAACTCCAAACAACACACACACACTCTCTCTCTCTCTCTCTCTATATATGTATGTGTTTGTGTTTAGGAAATCGGTAATATGTTGATTAAGGAAGTTATGTAAGTTAGTTAATATAAGAAACGTGACATATTTTTCCTAAAACACCATAATCATCTTTCTTAATACCTTATCCCTCTTCTACTTAACTATGATTGAAGGAGTATCCACATAGATAATTTAGAGAAAAATTGATAAATATAAAAAATATGTCTTATACTTCCTCGTCCTTATTAAAGAGACATTTGATGCTTATGGCATGTTCCTATATATAAGAGACACTTAAAAGTTGTCTCTATTTTTTTGTATTGATTTCCTATTTTATCCATATTATTGTCTCCAACTCACACTCTCTCTCCTTCCCACTTATCTTTCTTAAATAATTTACCATTGTTTTCACTCATGCTCTCTCTTCTTATTAATGACGGTATTTTTGGAAAAAAATTATACTTTTACATATTGATTGTTCTTAACTATTTTAACTGTTTTTTGAATAACGTAATTCGGTTATTTGTCTCTTATATAAGAAGGAACGGAGGGAATATTTAGGACCAAAATCAACTTAATAATTGAGTCATATATTAAGAATCGGAGGAGTACTATATAGATAAAGGGCGTTGTAACTTAACCCTAATAAATAATTGGCCTATGCGCTAGACTGCGGCCTTTCGTTGCTGGCTGTGCCCTGCGTGTGTGAGTAATATATTTAAGGCAATAGGTTTTTAGTAATTATTTATGAGCCGAAAGGACATTGCACCAAAAACATTAAACGTTAACGGACAAACAGGAAAGGACACATATTCAACGGTTATGTAATGTTGTGTGTGTGTGTGTGTGTGTGATCTGTATAGAAAACACGGGGCTTTATTGGTATTTAAGACATGGTAGGCCTCGAGAGAAAATGTGTTAGATTAAGCCTAATATTAAGCGGTGGACATTATAAAAATGTCGATGCCTTGATTTTTTTTTTGTTTATAAAATCATATTAAGGGCACTAAGAAATTAAAGTTCCCACAAAATAAATATAGTTAACACTTCTATACAAGTGTTTATATTATATATTATATCAAAAGATTGTATATTTTTTTCTAAATACATGTGCTGTTTATGGAATATTATTGATAATATCTGTAGCAGTAGTTGCTACGGTCATGGAAGAAGTTATTTGAAGTTTTTTTTGACCGGGTATTTGAAGTTAAAAGTATTTAAATATAATCATGCATATTAAGATCATTCATGTTAGAAGCCAGATCTAATATGTTAGTCATATCATCGATTGGGGTGAACCGTTAGAATTACTTGAGTGTAAAAGTTAAAACTTTTACTAAATTTGCACGGAATATAATTGGGACAATAACAAAAAATTTTTTTTTTAAATGTCAAATAAAGAATGTCAACAAAAATTTGTTGTCATTTATAAATTCAAACTTATTAATAAGAAATAAAGTTATGTTATCAAATTTAATTTAGAATTTATAATTTCTAGTTTTTTTTTCCTCCTGTCATTCTTTCAGTATAATTCCCATTTATGACTATTCATGTCCCGTGTCAGAACAGCCCTCCAGCATCTAGTTACAATTTAATGTTGTAATAAGAGGAGCATTGAGAGTTACTACTTAACTTTATCTTGATGCTTGTACCGTCTAAATATAGTTTTAGCCATCAAAATTAAAAACTTTAAAAAATAATTTTCTAAAATAATATTATTTAAATTAAATGATAAGCATCCAAAGTGAATCCAGAAAAAAGGAAACGGGAGGCCGGCCTGGATGGCGCATCCTAATTTAATTGGATTAGAGGCAACCAACCAATAAACATTTAGATCCGTCATCAACGGTCACCGCACAATACATGTTGCCCCCTTTCCCTTTCTGGTTTGTCGTTTTCAAGGCAGGCATGCAACCCTCCAATAATTGTCAACGCGTTTTTGACATGGCCATGTCCTAATGCGCGTCCAACAGCCCCCCTTCCCCCACCAGCTTCCCTTACTTTCTGTTCTATATTACTCTCTCCAGCTTAAAATACTCTTTCTTAATATAAAACCCAATTAGTGAGTTGGTTTTGGTTCTAAATATAAAACCCATTTTTCATATTTATTAATTTTCTCTAAATTACCCCTATGCCTATGGATACTCTTTCAACCATAATCAAGTAGAAGAGGAAAATGAAATATTAAAAAAGATGATTATGGTATTTTAGGAAAAACGTGTTACATTTCTTATAATTAACTAACTTATCTAACTTCCTTAATCTAATCAAATTAGTTAAATGGGTCTTATATTAAGGACCGGAGGAGTACTAAGAAACTAATTAAAATCAGTTTAAAACAATAAACATGTAAGACATATATTTATTTTTCTTATATATCATTATTAATGAAGAGAATAAGTAAAAAATATAATAAATAAATTAAAGAGGAAAGAGAATATATTGGGATAAAATTAGAAAAAAAAACTCATTAAATGTTTAGACAAAAGTGAATGCTATTTTATAAAAAAAAAATTAGTTTATATTCTGAACAAGAGAGAGTATCCTACTATTCCGTCTTTTACTATAAGATCATTTTAACTAAATTATGTAGTTTAACAAAATAATTAAAATTAGTTAAAAACAATTAATATATAACAAATACAGTTTTGTTTTTAAATAGACCCGTATATATAAATGGATAAATATGAAAAAGTAATAGTGAGATAAATAAAAAAAGCGAATGTACTAAATATATTAAATTAGGGATAAAATAGGTAATACTGCATTAAATACTCAGACAAATTCAAAAAAAATCTTATAAAAAGAGACAAATATATTTTAAAAAATTAGATCTTATAATAAAAGACAGAGGGAGTGGTAGTTTTAAATTTCCCCCTTGTCTGAGAGATTAAAACTGAAACTCCCATCATTAAAAATATTTTTAATAATAATAATAATAATAATTGTGACTTGTTCAATCAGCTTTTGGTCATCTGAAATGGAAAACCAACCCCACACCTCTGCGTGTCTCCGTGTGCCTATTTAGAGCCCCAAATTCATCTCCCACTTTTTCTCAACCGCCGTGCTTCTCATCCTCTGATGCCAACTATTTTCGTCGCCTTCTTCCTTCTTTACCAGCCCGTTCATTCCTTCGTCCTCTAATCTTCTCCCTCATAAGCTTCTGCCTAAATTCCTTCCTCACTCCGTCCCCGCTCCTTCCTCACGTTCTCGGGCTCTTAACACCATGGACCCCGTTGAGCTCAAGCGCGTTTTCCAGATGTTCGATCGCAACGGGGACGGCCGAATCACGCAGAAGGAGCTCAACGATTCGCTCGAGAGCCTCGGCATCTTCATCCCCGACAAGGATTTAAGGCAAATGATCCAGAAGATCGACGTCAACGGAGACGGATGCGTGGACATGGAGGAATTTGGGGAGTTATACCAGGCGATAATGGAGGAACGGAATGAAGAGGAGGACATGAGAGAGGCATTCGACGTGTTCGACCAAAACGGCGACGGCTTCATCACCGTGGACGAATTGAGATCGGTGTTGTCCTCGCTTGGGTTGAAACAGGGAAGAGCCACGGAAGATTGCAAGAAGATGATCATGAAGGTGGATGTGGATGGAGACGGGAGGGTCAATTACAGCGAGTTTAAGCAAATGATGAAGGGAGGTGGCTTCGGTGCTCTCGGCTAGCGTCTTTCCTGCCTCTTGTACATACTCGCAAAATTGACTCACTCATCGCAATGAACATCATCACCAATTCGTGTTCGTGCATCAGATCAAAGACGAAGATGCATGCGTTGTCCGCCAAGACTGCATCTTAGCCGTTAGATGGTTCGAGCGAATCCATGAATCCTGGAAATGGTGGGAACTGGGAGAAGGGCCATGAATGGGAATGAGCGCTTACCGTAACCCTATGTTGTTTTATTTTTTTCGAAGTAATTTTTTTTGACAGGTTCTGTTTTCGGTTTCTATAACTGTTTTTTTTTAAAATTTTTTTGCTGGTGCTGGATTTTGATATCCCCATTTTGATTGGTTTGGTTTTTGTTTTGTTGTTTCCCCACTTGATGTATTTTCATGGATTTGACGATTTGGATCATTCACGTGCAAAGTCTCTGTGACAAATTCACGCTGGAAATGCTAAAAATTTCCCTTTGTATCATTTTTATTCATAGAATGAATATGTAAACTACATTCGTTTAAAAAGAGAATGACAAAATAATTCTATAAGAGACTCATTCGTAATGAAGTATGATGCCGATAGATTTATGGGAAAATTATGATAGTAGCATTAGGAAATTCGAACCCATAAAAACTGAACCTTTTTACCTGATCAGTTGCCTGTTCTTTGTGAAGAGCGTATCGTTCAACGGAAAAAAACCAATTTGAAAATGTCTAAAGTTTCTACTTTAAAAAAAAAAAGTCTAAAGTTGATCGTTATGTTTCACCAAAAGGGGGGAAAAAAAAAGTTGACCGTTACAATACAGTGAATAGTAAGGAAAAGACTCAGCAGCGGCCAAGAATGAGTGAAAATAATATGCAAAACCTTGAAAAATTGCCCAGACTTGTTTGGATTGACTTATAAGTAGTTTTTCAAACGTCATTTACAAAATATCAGGTAAGTATGTAGGGAGAATTTTGTCTCGACTTACATGAATTTGATTAAAATCCGTTTTGAACAAAGCTCTTAGCTCTAAGTCCCTTGTGCCATGTTATGAGAGACCAACTAAAAAATTCTCTGATCTTTTTTATCTTTTTTTTGAATTACAAAGGCAATCTAAACTAAAGTCTAAAACCAATAAGCTCAGAGATTTCAAGGTAAAAAAAAAAAAAATGGGGAGATTAGCGGCTCCTCTGGAAATCTTCCAAGAAAAACTCCCAACATCCCGCTGGGACTCTCAGAATAAGAGTTATCTCTTCATCATTTGATTGTCCTTCTCTAGCTAGGAAGTCAGCGCACTTAATGGCATTTCTACTCGTTGCGAAACAACTGGCATAAAACGTTGTACAAATTTAGCATTGAATTAAATTTAACACTACTAATAAACAAAGCTACATTTCCTTTCTTACCCTCCCCTTTAGGTATGAATCTTGTATGCGCACACTACTACCTAGTCAATATGTTTATTCCATTAACTTGATCTATTTTGCCAACAAAAGTCACAATTATTGATAAGGATACAACTCATAATGGTCAACTCTTGCTGTTAATGTGATTATTTTTTGAGCATGAGACGCAGCATGATTTCAGTGAGCCTCAAAAACTCAATTCAGCACGAACTTTTCAATCGGAAAAAATGATGTCCATTCATGAGTTCTTGGAATTTTAATGTAGATATTACTTCATCATTTGACTTTCTTTACAATAAAACTTTGTCGAACTGTTGCTGGGTTGAATGTCGATTGCACCACGCATGAAGCAACCATGATAACTAGGAGCAAACAACGCAGTCGACAGAGCACCACTGAAGGAAATATAAACATTCGGAGGGTACATTCTTAGTCTAATACCGTTATCCGATATCTGAAAAGTGGGACAAGGTCAGATTGTTGGAATCCTATACATATAAGGGAGCCTTGGATCAAATTCCACGAAATCAGTAATGGAATGATTCAACTCTATCAGGGCATTTGAATGCCCGTTATGGCTGTCATTACATTGTTAGACAAACTTCATAAGAAGGGACTCAAAGGACCTGTACATGGACTGAATTAGATTCTTCTACCGGCGAAAATTACCATAGAATTAGGAGGGGGGGAAAATAAATTCTATAAAAACCAAACAAAGTGAAGAACACTAGAACATAACCACCTGACAACTAGAACTGGACTGGTCCGCAGCAAATACTGTAAGTCAGCAATTATCAGATATCATTGCATACTTCGTCCTGCGACATTTGACAGCAGCGGTTGTTTTCATTTTCATCTAGTGAAAAAATAAATAAATCAAAGACTAACTTGTTGATAGTTGACCCTATCTATGACTCTGGGCTTCTTTGCTTTCGATCTCCTTCACACTGTCTACTATGTGCTGTATTTTCCTTGAAAGACTTTCATTGTGCTCCTCGATATGCTCAAATATCAATTCAAGATGCCTTTTATACGTTGCAGCTCGCTTTTTCTCTATAGTCAACTGTTGGGAGAGTTCCCGAATTTTGTCATGTTCATTCTGCAAAGAGCATTAGAGAAACAGGGTAAGCATAAAACAGAGCTAAAAGCAGTACTGAATTTCACCCAAAAAAAAAGGGGGTATTAAATCAATAATTTATGCACTGCTAAACATGAAGAAACGAGCATGCATATAAAACAGGGAACATATCAATATTGTCATAACATGCTATAGCTCTATTAATCATGCATTAGGCATTATAGTAAGCTAATAATTTTAATCAATGTCTACAGATATAGAACATTGATGTTGGATTCTCTTCGATATTTGCTTCTAACAAATTCCTTACCTCGTTTATAGTGCTAAATTATGATGGATGAATTCATTAATATATAAAAAAATAAAATTGTCTGAATTGTTGCTCCAAAGTTTAATGAGCCTAACTCCATGTTTTATACAAGTAGAAAAATTTCATCCATTTTGAGCCTTTCTCGAACTAGTGCTAGTCTTAACTCCAGGCTCCAGCCATCAACTATCAACTAATATTTAAAAACTAGATTCTCTTGCTGTTGGTGATCTAGTTTTTTCTGAAATTTAATCAATTTCAGAATAAACTCATCAACAATAGTTCCTTTTTTTTTTTTTTATTCATAACAATTGTTTCTTTTACAAGCTGGCAGCACGGTGTTTTGGTCCTATCAAAATTTTTAAGAGGATTGGTAAGGTAGATCAGGAGTTTTACCACAGTACAAGAGACCCAGGTTCACCCGATTTACCAAGTTTCTCTTACAAGTGCATGGTTTCAGGGGCACCAGTCAGCACCATGGTAGATGAAAATGGTCGGTTTGCTTTGGAGCCCTTAGAAATGCTGACAAGAGGAGTCACTTGCCTATTACTCAGGTTTAGTGTTAGATGGAAACATACTCAGCCTGATGATGCTCCTCGGAAATCTGGCTTTTATTCAGCAACTTCCAGACTTTCCTTTGCCCCACCTTATCAAACCATCATTGTGGGCAAGGATTTTTATTTTCTATTTTTTCTTTTTCTTTTTTTGGGGGGGGGGGGTGTTGAGAGGTGTGAGAGGTATAAACCAACTAGTAGTTTTGTTAGCTGTAGAATTATTAACAGCCAATGCAAAAGAATAAGAAGGTATAAATATCGCTATTATGTACTTTGAATGTGTCTAGCAAATACCCCACTTTTAGCACTTCTTAGCAGACAAAAAGACAATGAATTACCAATAATAAAAGCTTGCAAAATATAGTCAATGGCAGGCACCCAGGTGAAATGGGGAACCTTCGCTCAAAAGCTAGCGGTTCAACCGGAAGAATCAACTTAATGTGAGACTCAGGCGTGTTATACTATCTCCGTCAATTAACTTCCAAGATCATTGTCAAACATAGATTTCACGAATGATTGCAAGCAATAATGACACGTGCTAAGGCTACCAGCATGACTTATGATTAGTGTTCTAGAAAATTGTGCATGTAAGGATTTGTATAAATTTATAAATAAACAAAAAAAAAGCAGAAACATATTTCAGCGTATTTATAGCTACATACTTGGGGTGTGTGATCTTAAGCAAACTGCCAAACTGAAATGGAAGCTCAAGCAATTATAAAATAATGCCTTCTAATTATGGAAAGTAGACAGTTTCCCCGCCCCAACCCCCCTTTTCTCTCTTTTCCAACTAGTTTTAAGAAAAGAATGAGTACTGACCGGATATTGTTCATAAATGCAATCCCTTCTACCTTTTCCTGGTGTCAAAGGATGTGTGTGATCTTTAACAAACTTTGTAACCACCCATTTACCAGAACTTACTTTCCTGACCAAAATCATCGCCCTACAGCCAACCCTTGTCTCTGCCCTTTGCCTTACAATCTTTTCACGCTTGTCAGGCATTCTGTAACCCTCTTTATTGCAAACAAGTGCCCGTCCAATAGCAGACCCATCACGTCTTGATCGAGAGAGTTTACTTACACGTATGACAAATCCAACATTTGTGGCATATGCATTATAAAAGGCATGTGCTGCTGCTTCTGACTCAAACTCTTGACCGACATAGGGCTCTTCAGCCGAAACAACTGATACTGCGGGAACTGCTGATGGAATTGTATCCCCTCCAGAACAGTCTTGAGCCAATGCATCACCTTGATCTTGTTTATAAGTTGGTTCAACTGAACAACCACCTGTTTTGCTTTCATCCTCTATACAGCTAACATCCCTCGTGATAGCATTTCCTACTGTCTCACCATGAATAGAGCCATCAATTCCAAACTCCACTGCACCAACAAGGATCTGTTATAAGATTATCAAAGCCAGAGCAATATTGTAGAGAATATTGCCTATATTTGATGAAATACTCTTTACTAAAAGTTATTAACAGTGAAACGAATCAAATGCATATGTATGTGTCAGTGAAAATAAAGCAGCCTATAAGAGTTTATGACACAGTATTAACGCCTGTAATTTACACTAACTATTCAAACACACTCGTCTACAGCAGCTAAAATATATTATCACACTCTAATCATGGCGCTCATCTTATCCCCAGTAAGTATGAATGCAGACTTCCTGTCTTTTGAAAGGTTTCCTTATTATGTAATAATCAAACGTGCCACATTATGGCACTCCTAACAAGTCCCCCCCTTCTTTGCTTGCAAACAATTATAATGAGCCAACGACAACTCACCAGATCTGGGTACAATGTAGTAACACACCCTCCATGTGAAAATGCAATCAATCCATGGACAAATTCCATGACGATAGAGTCATGCAAAAATAGGCACGAACCAATTATCATGGTGGTCGGATGGCTCCTTCCCTTTTAGTTTGTCCTACTCCAAACAAGGTGAACAGAAAGGAGGGACGGCAACAGTTATAAACATTTTTTCTAACGAAAACAACAATTCTAAGGTTTCATCAATATCCAAGGGTGAAGGTGTGGCTGCATTATACGGTTTCCCATGGATGAATTAATTTCGGCCAATAAGTCCCATTGAAATTGAAAAGAAAATATAGATCGACTAAAATATGTCAGCGAAAGGCCGCGCACCTGAGTGCAGTCTCATCCTTTACTCAAGTCTGGATCCAAGAGGTGTCCAGCATAGTATCACCACATAAACTCAAATTCAGATTCTAAAGAGATCAACTTAAACTTACTACCATCCATGAGATAAAGGTTCAGTCAAAACCTCAAGCTAGAAGGTCCCAAATGAAGGAATCCATTCCTTCTCCCCCTCTAAATTTCCTCACATACGACTGATAGCGTGAATAGGGGTTCCCCAGCCTACGGAGAGAAATTTATGAGAGTACAAAAGAAATCCAAATCTTTCAGCTAAAGCGCGCTCGCGCACACAGAGAGAGAGAGAGAGAGAGAGAGAGAGAGAGAGAGAGTATGCGACATGATCAAAAGGTAAAGGAGATTAGACGAGAGAGCTGTATCTTGCAAACAGAAGTTTAGAGGAAGAACATAATCTCCAGTTCGAGGTGTTCATCACTTCCCGACAAAACTCTTTGCAGAGAGGAAAAGAAGCAGGATTAAATCGCTTCTTACGTGACAATATACCACGCCATTCCAGCATTTAATTCATTCATTCATGCACCATAACAAAAGAAAACCCTAGAATTCCATTGACATGAAATCATAAAAAAGAACGTCCGCATAGTAATAATGAAAATTGAGAAACATGTAAAACAAAAACTCACTGAAAATTCTTCGATTGTCTTAGAAAACTTCTCTGATTCTGCTTTATTTTTTTAAAAAAAAGGAAAAAAAAAACTCCCGTGGCGAGAAGGGCAGATACAGGGGAGGGAGCTTCAGGGAAGAAATATGGAGGCTCAAGTCTCCCCTTACATGTCAAAAAACTATTGGTAAGCTCTTCAGTAAAAGTCAACTTTATCGTGTGGTCAATCGTTGCTTGCAAATATTAGTAGGGCACATAGATATGGGCATAGACATATGATAATCAAAGATGCAACGAGATTGGGCCAATTAACTTTGACTGACCATTCTGTTCATATCGGCCGGATCTGGCCCATACCAGACCACCCGATCCAAATGTGGCGGGTGCAGATCCTCCGCTCCTGCGTGACTGAGGTTCTTTTGCTGGCGCTTCAACGCAGCCATGGCGAATTCTCTGTTTCGCAGCCTTCGAAGAGCTTCTTCTGTTCTCAAAATTTCATATTCTGCTTCGATATCGCTCAGGTTCTCGCTTTCTGCTTGATCTTTTCTACGTATTCAAAGAGTCGGTTTTTCTACTCCATAGAGCAGTATTTTTTTGAGCTTCTAGCTTGACTTAGCTTATTTTCTCGTTATTGAGCTAGCCTTACGGAAAATTGACGGTAATAGGGGCTTGTGAACTTTGGCGTAGAATATATTTATGTGCATTTCGTTTCCTTCTGCAATGATTCACAACTTCCGTGCTAATTCTTCCATGTTCTAGGTCAGTTGTCAGAAATCAAACACCAATTTGCTCTCCATTCAGGCAATTCATACCGCTCGAGCAGCAAATCCCAGCATGGGTTTACAGAAACTTCAGTCATGGTTCTGTTAATCTTGTGATATCGGGCGGGAAAACTAAGTTCGAAACTCACGAGGTTGACCCTCCAAAGAAAGATAAGTGGAAGACCAAAAAGAGGTTGAAGCAACAGAGGAAGAGAGAGAAGCAGAAGAGAAAAGCGGCAAATAAGAGAGACCCTCGTCGGCTTGGTGTCAAAGGGAAGAAGAAACAGAAGTTTGCCAATGCAGAAGAGAGAATCAAGTACAAGATTGAAAAAGTATGAGCAAAGATTTTCTTTTTCCTAATAAATAAGGATCCTTTTGCCGCAAAGAACTTTATAATTTGCTCCCTTTTCTGAGTAACAATTTTTTATGAATGCTTGATAGCGTAGATGACTTAATCTCTCCTGGAAGAGGATTTCTTCTTTTTGGTGCCTGGAATCTATTTGGAAGTTAATCTTACCACGACATGCTGAAGGACCGATAATTAGCCTGATATTTTCTCTTCAGTATATGCTTTTCTTTGGCACTATTGTATAATTTGTAAATCTTTGCTGCAATGTATAGGAAAGTTGCTTACTGAACCTAAGAAATGCATGATTGCGTTCTCCTTAGTATAGACTATAGAGATATGATCCCCACCCCAGTCATGTATTGCTTCACCGGTCTGAACTTATTCTTTGCCCCTATATTCTAGTGCAGCATATTGATAATTGATAATCATATATTTCATGGAATTCTTGTTTGCCTAGCCATTCCAAATACGATGTCTAATCACCTGGTTTAACCCCAGGCCAAAGTTAAGGAAGCATTGCTTATTGAAAGACTCAAGCGATATGAAATTCCCAGAGTTCAGGGCCCTGTGGCAAAACCTGATGGCTTGACCGGGGAAGAACGATTTTATTTGAAGAAAATGGCGCAGAAAAGCACTAATTATCTACAAGTTGGAAGGAGAGGATTATTTGGAGGTGTTGTTCTTAATATGCACATGCATTGGAAGAGACATGAAACTGTTAAGGTCATATGCAAGCCTTGTAAACCTGGACAAGTTCATGAGTATGCGCAGGAAATTGCCAGATTGAGTGGTGGTATTCCAATTCATATAATTGGGGATGACACGATCATATTTTATCGAGGAAAGAACTATGTACAACCTGAGGTTATGTCGCCAGTAGATACATTGTCCAAGAAAAAGGTGACCTTCTATTTTCTTTATCTCAAATGCATAACCACTATATTTTAATTGATCTTATTAATATTGCCATTTGAATTACACGTCAAAAATTACCTGCATTTTTCATTCCAGTTGGGGTCTTTTCACGCAGATAATATCCACAATACTTCTCTTTACAGTATCACTAATGTGTTAAGTTATACTAAATTTATCTCTCGCTTTAAACTTCACTTGTTAAAAGCATTACTTTGAATTTTCATAATGAGTTTCTGTGCTGAAAACAGTTCTTATAGTGAACCATTTAATGAAACTAATACATCTGTCTCGTTGAGCTAGGTATTGAACTTGATGGGCAAGCATCAATTGATTATTTAGCATGTTTATGTAGCTTATAATCATGTCATAGTTGTTTGTTGTTGCAGGATCTCATTAGCGGTACCTGTTGTGTGGTTTGATTTGTCTAGTTGTGTGACTTGTCTGACGTAAGCGCTTTGATGGTTTACAGGCACTTGAAAAATCCAAGTACGAGCAATCACTTGAGTCAGTGAGGCGCTTCATTGCTATTGCCGAGAAGGAATTAGAACTATATTATAGGCACGTTGCACTATATGGTGACCCAAATGACCGTGACCCCTTATCAATATTGGAACGTCCAAGCGGGAACTCCTGGATAAAAAGGAATCATGGACTGAATGGAAAGAGAAATTTCGTTCTAAGCAGTGATAACTTTTCAACAGATATGTCAGACATGGAAGCGGATTCCACGGATATTGGATTTCAGATTAGTGAAACTGAAGCCAATTCCGAAGGTGGCCATTTATCAATTAGTGAATCAGATTCTGAGGAAGACAGCTTATTGGATTTCAGAGGTGAGGAAAGAGGGGCTTATTATGCTAAAATGGAAGATGACGGATTGGGCGCATCCCCAGGTTCATTATCAATGTCCAAACGCAGCTTCCATTACAATAATCCTTGTTTATTATCCGAAGGGATTCCAACCATAAGAGATTGATATAATATATATATTGTATTTTAAATGTTAATTTTATGATTCCACTCCCTTGATTAATCTGGAAGGCAGCGGTTTTAGCAAAGTTGTTACAAGGGAACGGGTATTTCCTTTCTACTTTTCTTTTCCTTTTTTAGTGAGGAGAGGTAGCAATATAGTATTCAAGGTATGCTATGCTCGTGCCTGGCTTAGAAGGATAAGAACAATTGCCCGTGCAGTTGAATGGGAGGATCCAACCGGTCTTTTGGAAATGACTTGCAAATCTTAAACTCTAGTTCTATAGTAAGAGGAAAAAAGAAGTGAAGTTGCTTTAGTTTTAATCTGATGTATTGAAGGGAAAGTAGAAAGGAAAGGAGAATCCGGCAAGGCAGGTTGGTAGAAGTTCCAGTAGATGATGATTCGTGTCGTGTATGTGCAGCCATGGAATAAAGGAAGCTGTGGTGCTAATGGTCAATGGACACGTTAATGCATGGGAAGTATCAATGCTGGGTCGTGTGTCTTTAGGAAAACACCGCCACCACATGGAGACGTATCAGCTTCCCCTTCTCTTCTGTTTGGGTTTCCCTACCAACCTTCTCCCCTTTTGCCACTCTGATGCTGCCTACATCTGGAATTTTTGGTTAAACATTTAGTTTGCATACGTAGTTGTAAATTAATTCATAAATTTTAATTTAATACCACTTAATATTCATAGTTCTAACTCGATTAAAAACTAATCCCCTCAATTTTAACTCAATTAGGCTCACTTCTTACAATTTAGTTACTGAAAATACTAGTATTGAAATTTGGAGAAATAACTTTAAATTATCAAAAGTATTACCACCGACTCACCGAGTAAAGATTGAGGGATTAATTTTCACCCAAATCAATCATATATTAATTGAGTGGAAGTATAAAGTAGGGTTCTGACTATTGGCACCAAATCATTATTTTGAAGGAGAAAAAAATGCAAGGACGAAGGAGCGAGATCTGAGATGTGATGAGAGGGACAGTGGTAGCCGTAGGAGATTGGCGAGGAGTGATGAGCATGGGAAGATGGGGGCAGTCCACCTTCTCTTGAAAGGCACGCTACTTCCAAAGGTATCTTCCCATTTTCAGATCTTGGCCTCTCCGGGGGGCCGAGGCGCAGATGTGGAGCCAGACGAAAGAGACAGTATAGAAAGCTCGCCTGACCCGAAATCAACGGCACTGATTTAATTGACTATAGGTTGCTAGTATTATTTCTTGTCACTTTAGTTTTACTTCTTCAAATTTAAAACTGATCATTTTGGCCCATGAAATCTTAGAGATTAAAAATCTTAAATTTCAGAAACAGAAAACACTAATTCTAAATTTGAAAGGCCAAGACAAAAACAAAAAAAAAAAATCAAATTTCATGAATTAAAGATGATAATGGTCAATATTTTTTTTTTTGGCCATCCAAGTGAATACACATTTTATCAAATTAAAGTCATCTTTTTTAACTGGTGATAACTTGGCAAGTCATTTATCATTTTTTTTAAATATTTCTCATCATCCTCGATTTATCTCCATAACATGTGCCTCATAAAATGATAATTCCAACCTTCCCTGTTTCCTGAAATGAATATTTTTTCCCCATTAAAGATTGATAATCATATTTCCGTGGAAATATAACCACCTATTATGGTATTATGTAACGTGTAAAGTGAATGGGGATGTGAATGTCCAATCGGAATCTGCAGGTGAAAAGTATCCACTAGAAAACCCAGGATAATATATTAAGAGGGGTATTGCTAAATAATTAATTTATTGATAACTAATAATTTTTTTAAAATTAGTTAAAAATAATAAATATTTAGAAACATATTTTTATTTTTAAATATATCTTTATAATAAATGATAAAAATAATAAAAAAGAATGTATAAAAAAAAGTGATAAGAGAGTATAACAAAGGAAAAAGAATAAATAATTAAAAAATGTATTAAATGTTTAAACATATCCTTCTTAAAACTTATAAAATGGACCATATCTCTTTTTAAATTTGAAGATTATAAATATAATCGAGAGAGTACTATTTATTATTATGTAATATTATTTTCAATCTTTAATATAAGAGCTAATTTAACTTTTAATTTGGTCCTAAATAAAAGATCTTAATCTTTTTTCATATTTATCTTTTTTTTTTAAAAATGGTCATTATAATAATTACATATGTTAAACATTTTATCAAATAATAGTTTTAATATATATGATTAATAAGAATATTCTAGATAAATAATATTTATTTATTATTAATAACCAATTTAATTAATATTTTTAATATCTAATTCCAGTATTAAACGTAAGTAGTAATATATAATATTGGGAACAGTGTCTGGAGGTGGACCCCCGTGCTGCGCGCATACCGTCAGCGGCTTTCGGGAGTTAGGTAAGGTCACCGTCCCTGCCACCTTTTGCTTGCGTGGCATTTCATATTTTGACTCTTATTTCATTATTTCTTTTATTCATCTAATTCACATACTATTTTTTTTTAAAAAAAATAATTTCTGCGGCCTTCTTCAACTGTTAGGGGTCAACTCTTTAATTCACCTAAGGGAAACATAATTATTTTTTGTTTGATAAAATCAAGTCATGTATATATACGAAGAAAGAGGACATGTAGGACTGTTCGGATAAATATCGTTTTCATTTTCTGGTTGCAAATAATATTCAATGAGTTTTTGAATTATAATTGAATATGAATTAATGAATAGAGCTTTTGCTGTGGCGACTAGTATATTTTCGTATGATTGTTCTCTTTTAAACAGAACTAAACTTATTCATGACCAAAAATTATTACTGTGTTAATTAAAACAAGAAACACACACACAGAGAACCTCCTTAACCGGTAACAATAAATATATAGTTCATTTGTGGATTATATATTTACGTTGGTTAAAATTACTTTTAGAAATGTGCAAATTAAAACACGACCAATATTTGAAAGTTTGGCTGACAAATATATATAGGGGAAATCACAAATAAAGACCCTTGAATTAGCAAAATCACTCTATGGTCACCTGAATATGCTAAATTACTATGAGGGACCTGGCCTCAAATTGTAATTATGAAATCATGGTCAAATTACCAAAATACCCCTCTTTAATTTTTTTTTTTTAAAAAAAGAAAGCCACTCCTCACCGGAATCCGGCCACCGGCGCCGGAGCTTCGGCGGCCGCTTCCGGCCACTGTCGACGGCAGGACGCCGGAGTCCGGCCGCCGGAGCTCCGGCGCCGGCGGCCGCTTCCGGCGGTCTTCCTTTGTTTTTTTTTTAAATTGGGGGGAAGTGAGGTTGGGGGGATTTGATCCCCCAACCTAATGCTTCCCAAAATAAGGAATGACCATTGAGCCAACAAATTTTTGTTAACATTATGATGCAAAAAAAAATATAAGTTAACTCATTTACTCTTGTTCCAGGTGATAACAACAATACATTTGGAAATAACAAGTTCTGATTGTAAAATAACACGTCTGGAATAAAAATTTAACAATATGTTTTTTTTATAACAATAAATTTTGTTGCAGGCAATAACAACAATACATTTAAAAATAACAAGTTCTGATTATAAAATAACAAGTTTGGGATTAAATTTAACAACACGTTTTTTTTATAACAACACACTTTATTTCAAGTGATAACAACAATACATTTAAAAATAACAAGTTCTGATTATAAAATAATAAGTCTGGGATTAAAATTTAACAACATGTTTTTTTATAACAACACACTTTGTTTCAAGTGATAACAACAATACATTTGGAAATAACAAGTTCTAATTATAAAATAACAAGTCTGGAATTAAAATTCAACAGCACCTTTTTTTTATAACAATTAATTATTTTATACTTTTGGAAATAAATTATTTATAACTTATAAAAGTACTTGTAATCTATTTAATTTGCTAAAAAATAATTTTTATCTCCAATTTATAATCAGAACTTGAAGTATAATTTTTTATAGATTAAAAATACTTTTTTATTGTTCAAATTTTTAAATAAAATTTAGGGAAAATGGCAACACACTTTTTTAATTTTTTTAAAAAAATTTTTAATCTATATATCTATACAACTATTATAAATCAAACTACTACTCTTATAAATTATAAATAGTACAATTTATTGTGGATTAAAAATACTTTTTGACTGCTTAAATTTATAAATGAAATTTATCTCTAATTTATAATTAAAAATACTATTTTATTCTTTAAATATAAAAACTATTTTTAATATTTAAAGAATGAAAGGATATAAAATTTATACTATGATTAATAAATCAAAAATGCCTTATTATAAATACTTTATAATTTATAAGAAGTAGTTTGATTTATAATGAGTTGTATAGATATACAGATTAAAAAGTATTTTTTTAGAGAAATAAATATATTAAAAATATTTTTTATAAGTTATAAATAATTTATTTTTTAAAAGTATAAAATAATTAATTGTTCTAAAAAAACGTGTTGTTAAATTTTAATCCTAGACTTATTATCTTATAATCAGAACTTGTTATTTTTAAATGTATTGTTGTATCACTTGAAACAAAGTGTATTGTTATAAAAAAAACGTGTTATTAAATTTTAATCCCAAACTTGTTATGTATAATCAGAACTTGTTATTTTTAAATGTATTGTTGTTATTACCTGCAACAAAATTTATTGTTATAAAAAAACATATTGTTAAATTTTTATTCCAGACATGTTATTTTACAATCAGAACTTGTTATTTCCAAATGTATTGTTGTTATCACTTGAAACAAAGTGTATTGTTATAAAAAAAACGTGTTATTAAATTTTAATCCCAAACTTGTTATTGTATAATCAGAACTTGTTATTTTTAAATGTATTGTTGTTATTGCCTGCAACAAAATTTATTGTTATAAAAAAAACATATTGTTAAATTTTTATTCCAGACGTGTTATTTTACAATCAGAACTTGTTATTTCCAAATGTATTGTTGTTATCACCTGGAACAAGAGTAAATGAGTTAACTTTATATTTTTTTTGCATCATAATGTTAACAAAAATTTGTTGGCTCAATGGTCATTCCTTATTTGGGAAGCATTAGGTTGGGGGATCAAATCCCCCTAACCTCACT